AGAATTTCCAAGGTGGTGGGAGAGTTGAGTTGTGCCAAATTCGTATCGCCCGCCCGTCCGGCTTCTGCTAACTCCGCATCGCCGAAGGCGTTCGTGCGGAAGGTGTGTGCGGGGTTTGCAATTGTGCATCGCACACACGTGTTTCCTCCTTCCAACTGTCAATCAGCTCCTCCGTTAGATCCTGCTCCTTCGATAGGTCCTGCGCTGGAGCTGCCTCGACCGAAGGTGCATTTGTCGGCGGCGCTTCCGCTGAAGGCGCAAACGTCCAAGGCGTCTACCGCCATCCGTTGAGCCGAAGGCGGCTCGCCTGATATCCCTTGGCCCGAAGGCCCTTCCGCCGAAGGCGCACCTTCCGGCGGACTTCCCGCCAAGGGCGCGTTCCCCGCCGGCTCCCTACTTGCAACTCCTCGGCCCGAAGGTCCTTGCGCCGAAGGCGCACTTTCCGGCGGTCTCACCGCCGAAGGACCTTGCCCCGAAGGCCCTTGAGCCGAAGGCGGATCTTCCGCCGGCTCCTTCCCCTTCCTTCTCTGCACCGGAGGCAACTGCGCCGAAGGCGCTCGAGCCAAAGGCCCCAGCCCCGAAGGCGAGTCCGCGTACGGTGCTCGTGCGGCTCTCCTATCCGCTGCCGGCACACTCATCGGTGCCGCGTGTCTTCTCTTCTGACCCGAAGGTCGTCTAGCTTCCGCCGAAGGCGGAAGCTAGACGACCTTCGGGTCGTCCGTGCCTTCGGCGTAGGGAGGTCCGCTGACCACTCTGCCGTCCGTGCGTTCCCATCCTCCTCCGAGGAGAACGTCTCCTTCTCTCCGGCGGCACGCACTATCTCCGCGCTACTTGCAGGCAATACGAGCCTGCGTGCTTTCTGCTTCGGCCGACTGCAAATTTCCTCTAGTGGCCGCTTCCGTTTGAGAGCCATCGAGTCTCGATGTGGACCCTCCTCTGGTTCTCCCTTCCATCTCCGCTTCTGCGGCACTTGTGCTGCGAATGTTTCCCTCCCCGCACCCTGTTGGGTTGGTGGCGTGAAGGCCGGAGTCTCTTCCGCGTCGGAGTCGATCTCGTTATCCCTCACATACCTCCCGGGATTGCTGAGTGACAGCAGCGGATACTGAACCCGTTCGGTCGCGGTTAAGCAATCCATCGACCGATAAAAGTTTATCAAGAAGGGGGAGAGATGATTGATCGATCCCCCCTTCTCCTCAAATGCATGATGTCACATTATCTTATGCAAGATACGCGACCAAGGAATTGAAGCTCCGGCCAACGCTAGCTCCACGAAAGACACTTGCCAAGAAGTGATGTATGTTGTTCGGTGCGGCTGCAAGAGTTGCAAAAGTGCCACCGCTACATTCCTACGGTAGCGATCCTTGTAGTCACGGGTCTTGTACCCGTTCTTGCTGGACTTCTCACTATTGAACAAGGCCGCGAAGGAGATCTCTTCATCCTTCGTCACCTTGATGCTCTCACTATCAAATAGGAGGAACCCGTTCTCGCCTGCACATCTCCCCAGCACTTGTCCCCAATCTTGAACAGTCCAACGCTCTACGTGCGATCGAAATCCGCGTGTAGGTTGGTGTCTCTCCCTTTGCCATTCGCGCACTGTAAGACCAGATATTGCATGTGTAAAATAAAACTAGAATTAGCCAAGGAGTTAATCATGGTTATGATAGTTATGACTAAATCTAGCTAGTTATGACTAAGTCTAGCTAGTTTAGCTATAATGTCTATACTTGGCGGAATAACTAGAGAAGTTCTAGAAGATTTGAGTGAGCACTTCTATTTTGTCTTGTACAAAAGTCTAGATTCCAAGAGAAAAGACTTTTGAACTTCATGTTTAGTTTTGATTGGTTTGACTAAAGTAAGGAGTATTCCATTGGTTAGACTAAGTCTAATGTTGACTTAGTGGAAAGTGGAAGTTCTAGAAGTTGGAAAGGCACAAATGGTATGTCGCCATCTCAATCTAGGGATTAGTAAACATCTAGAAGGTTTAGAGGGCCAATGGCATGTTGCCACATATTGATAACTAGTCAACCTTACTATGGTTTATCTTCGTAAAAGTAAGTTAAATAGAAATTACCATTTGTTACTATGGTAAATTCTCAAGTAGTATATATAGAGAGGTAGGGAAGAGACTCTCAAGCAAGTTTGGAGAGTTCATATGTAGAGACTTGTTTCATATATGAAAGAGTGACGAATTTTCAGTACCTTGAAGTGTCGATGAGTGTATGAGTTGGAGTGATACCTTGAGAGATTGTGTGAGAGTGTGTTTAGGTTATGAGTATGATGCGGAATCCTAGTCTTCTAGAATCATGATGAGCTACCGAAAAGCCATCTGAGGTAAACCTGAGTGAGAGTCAGCCCAGAGGTTGCAGCACCATGTCCTGGCACACGTAATTCCATCCCCATAGGAGGAAATCGAGCTTCACCGCAAACAGCCGGTCTTGGAAAGCGAGCAACCCAATCTGCGGGATCTTCAGCGAAATCATCCGCAGTTGAGTGGGCTTCGACATCGCGTTCTTGAAATTGGATTTCGTAAACTCTCCTCCGCTATACTCAAGCTTCTTGCCCGCGACTGCGATTCTCCTTCAAACTCTAATCTCTCTCAATTCCGACTGTCACGCACTCAATTCTCTCTCTGTCACCTTGCGAGTCTCTGCGCGTCGGTGTCTTGAATTTCTCTCGGCCAGAAGGTGGACGCGCGCAGCTCGCACAAGAAATTGAAATCGCAAATTCAAGAATGAAGTTTCCGCCCTTGGCTCGCAGGTTATCATTGTCGACACTTGGTCGTGAGTGTCGACTCACTTGATGGCTGCGCCGGCTTGGAGGCATAACGGCCCTCCTCTCGCACGCGCGGCTTCACGCTCCGCCGTCGCGCACACTCACACGCTCAAAATTTCAATTTGAGTTCCGCCATCGTACTTCGCTGCAGCCATGATCGCGTAGCGCCGAAGGCGTCTTGCTTAAGGCGCGGCGGCAAAGGCTTTCGCCTCTGGCCGACTCGCTACTCGCATCCATGCCGCACCGCCGAAGGCGTTCCGCCGCACGCGCTTCGCCGAAGGCATTGACTTCCAGCGCCAAAGGCGAACTCCCTAAAGATGTCTGTCGCCGTAGGTGCATCGCCGAAGGCGCAGCGCCGAAGGCGGCTGTGCCGAAGGCGTTGACTGTGGTCAACAGATTTCGTCTTGTCTGTTGATCCCTCTTGTCCCTCCGCAGGTGCTCCTGCCGCCGGAGCTATGTCCCGCCGAAGGCGCACGTGTCCGTCCCGCCGAAGGCGTTGAGCCAAAAGTGGACCGTACAGAGTTGCTACCCCCAAAGGTACTTACCTAATCTTGCTGCGTTGGCGCCGAAGGCACCGTACAAAAAAAAGTCACCTCCGAAGGCGAACATCTAGGGCCGAAGGCGGATATTCCGCCGAAGGCGAACTCCTTCCGCCGAAGGCGGACGTCTTCGTATCTTCCGATAGTGACAACTCCTTGAGTTCTCATCCGTTCTAAGCGTTCTTGGGCTCGTTAGAACAAGCGTGTTGAGCCCTCTTCAACGAGACCCTAACCCAGACAAGGGGTTGTGAATTGAATAAGCTCTGAGGGATTTCCCTAGCGCCAAAGGCGTATCGCCGAAGGCGGATTTTGCGCCTTGCGCCGAAGGAGATCTCCTTCAGAATTGATCGTTCAGGTCGGAGCACCTGCTCTGGACATTGCGCCCGACTCCTGGATACTACGAGATCATATGCGATCCTCGATTTTCCATCTCCACTCTATTTAAATGTACCGATTACCATTTACACGGTTGCTACGGTACTATTTTCCAAAATTGTTTTAAATTCCGCACAGAAACAAAAAGTGGGTTACCACAGTGATTCACCCTCAAGATCTATGTCCACGGAGGAATACACGCAAGTGACTTTACTACTCGGGTGAAAGCACAACAATGCCCGTAGCACAAAAACATCAGGGTATATATATACCTAACATAGATGAACAATCTCAGCTATAAATAACTGCATATGAGGTTATTCCTTAACTGGTGTTAATCTTAACAAATATGAGCGTTCAAAATTTGTAAGACACTATTGAATCTCCCACCCATAACTGTGAAATCTTTGAAAGCATCACTATTTTTATCCATATGGAGCTCAAACTTTTGATAATTATTTGCTTTTTTCTTTGCAACTTTGAGTATATTAGTGATGGTCATAGCCGTTTTTAACTTGTTTTCTTTCTTTAGAGTTTCTTTTACTTTTTTCTTCTTCACATTGTATGCGTCAAAATTTAATAAATACATCTTTTTGATTGAATTTTTTTAGATCATTTGCATGATGTCATAAGTCTTTTCATCTTCTACTTTTTTTTTGTCTCCTCTTTGCTTAAGGCACAAACTTTGTGCTTTTTCTTAATAATCATTTTGTAGTCATATAGAGTCATTTTGTTGTCTTCCTCCTCTTTTTCCTTTTTTCATGCCATACTAAGTGACTACGACATCAACATGATTTTTTTCATCATCATTCTTTTCTTCTACGAAAAAATGGTGATGGCAATGATTAACTACTTTCTACTACTCTTCTTAGCAAATTTTACAATCTTTAACATACATTCGGATCATCATCAGTAAGCTTATTGGCTTCACTATAATCATCTTGTTTCATCTCATTGTCACAACTAGATTCATTGTGATGATTGTGTTTGCATTGTATTCGACGATCATCATCATTTTCTCCATAGTCACAACCGCCTCCATCTCTATGTAAGTTATCTTCAAAGAATCATTAATTTTGTTTGTATTATCTCTTTTTTCTTGCCATTCTTCATGATTGTAACATAATATGATTTATAAGCGCTTTGTTTTGAGTTAAAACACAAAGCTCTTACTTTAAGCGCTTGCTTCATTTGCAATTTTTTATAAAGGCATGTCCGTATGTACAAAAAGATTTGTACATGTATTCTAGAGTTATAAACTTTGACATATGTTTTCAATTTCAATTTAAGAAATGTATTTTTGTTCATTGTTTTGTTTAGTTTAGACTTTATACTATATTAGTCAAATATATATATATTGTAATACCTGCATGCCTTTGTTCTTGAAACGTGACTCAACGCTATGCTCAAACCGCTGGAGCGTCATCGTCATGATCAGAAGATTGGAGGAGAGAATGGATAGCGCAGGTGCGTTTATCGTTAGTCACGCGGCTCAACTTGCCAAACGGGGAATGGACTACTTAGACGAACTATTGGAGCTTGAGCCTTGGTAGAAAATGCGATGGCGATTGCGATCGCTATCGGCATCACCGGATGTTGACGATGGTGGTGATGATGGTCGCGGTGGTGAGGGGGTCCATCGTAATCCCATGGGCATGGTCAGATCCAATGGTTGGATATTGCCACCCGGAGGTGTACCTGACGGGGAAGCCGAACCGCCGTCGACGACCATGGGAACGCTGCCTTGTGGACCCGTACTATCGATTCGAAATGATGACACGGGCGATGTTCCTCGAGGCGAGGCATGGCGACGAATCGGCCGTGGGCTCACTTCGAAGCTCCTCGGCAAGGCCGAGGAAGAAGCAGGTGCACTTCCCGGCGATGGTTCTCGAATTCGGACTGCCAGTTCGAGACTGCGCTGAGCTGGAGCTTGCAGACCTGGATTTTGCGGGGGCAGTGCTGGCAGATTCACCTCCGCCACCACGCTGAAGGAAGACAGAGAGGGAGTCGGACTCCCGTCCGCAGATCCCTGCAAACCTGCTCCAGAGGGGTCAATAGCGGGGGCAGGAGGGACTTGGAACTGCTCGAAGGACGTCATTTCGTCCTTGTCGACAATGTAAGCTAAGTCGTCATAGAAATCGTAAGCCGTCACGGGAGCCTGCGCCGGCACGGGGGCGGTGGCTGGGGGTTGGTAAGGAGCTTGAGGGACTTGGAACTGCTCGAAGGACGTCGGCACGGGGGCGGTGGCTGGGGGTTGGTAAGGAGCTTGAGGGACTAGGAACTGCTCGAAGTACGTCATTTCGTCCTTGTCGACAATGTAATCTAAGTCGTCATAGAAATCGTAAGCCGTCACGGGAGCCTGCGCCGGCACGGGGGCGGTGGCTGGGGGTTGGTAAGGAGCTTGTTGTGCTGGAGAGGTAGCTTGTTGTGCTGGAGTCGGGGGATCTTGTTGTGCTGGAGTAGGGGGATCTTGTTGTGCTGGAGTCGGGGGAGCTTGTTGTGCTGGAGTAGGGGGATCTTGTTGTGCTGGAGTCGGGGGAGCTTGTTGTGCTGGAGTCGGGGGAGCTTGTTGTGCTGGAGAGGGAGCTTGTCCTGCAGAGGGAGCTTGTTGTGCTGGACAGGGAGCTTGTTGTGCTGGAGGGGGAGCTTGTTGTGCTGGAGAGGGGGGAGCTTGTTGTGCTGGAGTCGAGGGAGCTTGTTGTGCTGGAGAGGGAGCTTGTTGTCCTGGAGAGGGGGGAGCTTGTTGTGCTGGAGAGGGAGCTTGTTGTCCTGGAGAGGGGGGAGCTTGTTGTGCTGGAGAGGGAGCTTGTTGTCCTGGAGAGGGGGGAGCTTGTTGTGCTGGAGAGGGAGCTTGTCCTGGAGCCGGAGCTTGTTGTCCTGGAGAGGGAGCCTGTCCTGGAGAGGGAGCTTGTTGTCCTGGAGCCGGAGCAGGAGCTTGTTGTCCTAGATCCTGGTCCGGATCGAGCTCGAACCGCCACAAGGAGGGATCCTCCGCACTGGCAGATGTACCCTCTGCTGGTGGCTGGAACCTCGCGAGGTGAATAGTCTCCTGGATTCGTACTCGGAATCTATCCCTTCGTCGTATGTTGGCTAGGACATTCGCTATGCCAGGAGAAGTAAGATACTGAGTTCTTTCATTACCGCTGATGGCTACGGCAGTCAAAAAAATCTCCTCCTCCGTAATTGTATTATCGTTATCGCCATCAGCGACAGGGATTTCCAAAGGACCATCAACTGGACCAAGCGATGCTCGGATTCTATTGAGTTGATCTCCGACAGTTCTTGCCCTTGCTTGCTGTCTAGCCAAATCTTCTGCTCTTCGAGCTCTCTGCTGAACTCTTTGCTGCGTGTTGGCTGCCAAAGAACACCCGGAAATTTAGAACCATATTGCGCTTTCGTTACTTCATGTTCTGAAAAACTGGAACTGAATTCGTTTAGTCGTTGCCTAAGTATTATTTAAAATTGCCTTTCAAGTACTCTGAAAAGATTTGCTAGTCACGGTATTGGCAAATTTATGTAAGCGCGAAATATATATCCCTCGTTTGCGGATTGAGTCTGTGTACGTGGTTTCCTGTTTACTCTGACAAAACACACGTAAGACTTGTTTCTGTGAGGATGACTGAAGGAGAGCGTAGACTATAAGATTACCTGCTTGATCGCAGTGATCGTCAGATCTGAAATGTGCGAATGATAGGTCCAAAGTCTATCCTACAGCTAGTCTTATTATAATTTAAGCAGATGTTGCATGCTTTTCATTCACTACAAGCTTGAAGAACAATCAGTGTCAGTGTCTTGAGTAATCAAAGTGGAAATTACAACACCTTTAAATTTTTTCTCGAACATTTTTACTAGCTAAGATATAATTCTTTATCATTTTCTCAAGCTGCAAGGATCATGTTTCAATAGTTAGCATGAGTAGTACAGTATGAGCAAGCACGCGAATCAAATTCGTACGTTGTATAATTTAAGCATAAAAGTTACCTTGTTGTGCAAGTCTTTTCTGAAAGTGAGCTTCAGCCTTCTCCAGAGTCCGTTGTATAGTTGTATTTACATGTTGTTCAATGAATAGATGCGGTTGTTTCCAGCAATCCCTTAGACCGGGAGCTCCGTCTTGTCGAGCTAATTCATCGTAAACTTGTTCGGCGTAATCCGAGTAATGATTTCCACTTCTCTTGTTTCCACTTGCTTTATACCAATTCTTAAGTTTGTTTCTCATCTGCAGGAAATCTCTAAATTGTTTGAGAAAAAGCTGGGAACCCAAAACTCCTGGTCTTAAACAAAGGCTACTCATATTTATCAAAAATATACTATGATCAAGCAGGGTCAAGACCTATTAACCATTGATACTTCTCGTCGCGGTGTGAACATCTCTTTCAAGAGCAAATGTCTGATTTACTAGTTCATCAAATGTGATACCGTTTCTTCGCTGAAATCAGAGCTCGAGAACCAAGTCATGCAGTCGATGATTAGAATAGTGTAATAGTTATCTACTTTATTGTTTGCTTGCCTCTGACGATTAAATCTCATTACCAGTTGAGGTATGCTCATATTCGAAGTTATCATGAAACTGAAGAGTGTAACATCATGACACTTTACCTTATATGTTCTAACTTTGCTCATCTTCGTAATCAATACTTCTTGTACCTCTAGTCATAATATGAATTACATTATGCAAGAGCTCGAAAACTGATAACGCTTCTATTTTCCACCTATCCTAGCCTCTTCCTTTATGTGCATTTCACTTGACCCTTAACAGCACCGCGCATATTGCATGTTAACAAACAAAGATGAATAGAATGAATAGGATAGGATGCGGCTAGAAATTCAAACTTTGATGTCCAGAAAAAATCCTTGTTTCTGCTACTCTGACACAGCTACTACCGTGGACTGGGCTCAGTTGTAAAGCATATCCAAGACTAAGTGTACTCAACATTTGTAATTTTTCGTTTCAGTAATATACATCTCCATTCGATGCCAGAGAGGCAGAAATTTAGCCCTGTGAGTTAAGTGAACGCATTTTAAGTGAAAGGATTGGATCATTCTCCCGCTTTCTTCTATTTTATTCTGAGTAGAACGCCTTCCGACTTTACAGGGTAAAATCCTATGATGGATTCTGGAGTCTTGTTGATTAGGGCAGATTTTGCACATGAGGTGTGACGTGGGTATTCTGGACAGACAAGCATGTTACTAGATCATGTAGCGTACCTTTTGGTCGTCATAAGCATTAAGATCTTGGCAACGTCTTTTAAGATCATCAATATCTCTTTGTGGAATATTGGTTACCGACGTATTACGTAGGTCTCTCACCATCCGCGGAATCATGTATTGACTTTATAGCAGCATGAAGATGTACGTGAAAGCACGCAATTTACGAGTATCTCGGTTAGTGTATTTGGGATATGAATTACTGGGGGTATAAATTAATTCTCAGAATACTTCTACCCGAGCAGAACAGTAGGCATCTAAGAAGGTGCAGTGCATTTCCTGAATGGATGTGTAAGATTCGAAACTATCTGAGATTCTAACAGATTAATTCCGAGATCATATTACTTGCAGGAAGTAGGAACTCTGAATTGTAACCGGCAGGTTTTTACTGAGTGTTATTTCACGCTTTCAGATGACAGTTTCACTTTGAGATTCATACTATCTACTTGACTATCGGAATAACGAAGTAACAAAACATTCAAGCAAACTTTGAAACCCATTTTTCCTTCACAGCAATATGTACCACTACAATCTCTTTACTTACTCGATTTGGAGATTGTCCTCTGGACATGTCCATCTTGTGGCGGGAACAAATCTTGGTGCGTTGGCAGGCAGAGCCATATCAGCTTCCCTTCGTTTCAATCTCCAGTTGTCCATACCGTCTTGTATCTGTGGACATGAACTTAGGAAACTTATAAACTTATATACTTAGAAACAAAAACAGTAGAATCGATTTCGAAGAATTATCTACAGTCGATACACTAAATTGAGTTGCGAGTGTTTTCTTACACTTCGTTCGCATATCAGTTATTGTTACTACAGTATGCTTAATCTAATGCTTTTTTAACAAGGAACAGTAGTGCATGCTTGGTAAAATCCATGTGCTTCACATGGTCAGCTTTTATTCTGAGTTTACGATCAGTGTCAGGGTTTAGAAAATGTCAACTACTATGATCCATAGATATTGTTCGTACCATTTTCATTGTTAAACCGGTCAATCTGGCCAACAAAGTTGCCTGTGGGTCACTGAGATACCAGAAATGCCCTAATGACGGCTCGCGTATCCCCGCGTGCTGTAGAAACGCTCTAGATTACAATAAGCTCCCATCAGTTGACACATCTTTATTCCAATCCATAGGCTTTGCATTGGAACTCTTCTAACGAGCCATAACTATAATTTGATAACTCGATCTCCTTCGATATGCAAATCAAAATCCTAGGGAGAATTGCATTCAAGTATCTTGAGTTCACTTTGATTATAAATAGCTACTTTCCAGTCCTCCTTTCTATGTCCACAGAATTGATATGCACTTATATACATATATATATATATATAACTCCATATGAATTCTGTGGCTCTCATGGATAGCCACAGGCGGTAATGCTGTCTGTCTCTCTTCTCCTATCTTTAGATAATACTTACTTCAAGTTAGAATATTTTCTAAATTAATATATCGCTTGATCTATGTTTTGCAATGACCAAAGTTTTGAAAATATTTTATATGTTTTGAAGAAATATTCTTAATGTCTAGTACAGACTGGAGTGCTGGTGTTAGTGGGCTTCATCAACAGCGTCACTGTAAACCTGTGTCATTTTCTACAACAAATAGGGTGGTGACAGATACTTTGTGCCAGTTACGAGTTGGAGTTGGACGTCCACGAAAACAAAGTCCTTCAAAATTAAGCAAAAGATATACCAAGGAACTAAGTGAGCTATCATTTATACCTCTTTGACGGATATGGTTCTAGATTAAGAGGATTCAACTCACCTTATAAACACTTTCACCCAATGAGGCCAAATAAATGATTGATGCCTTCTGACATAGTGAGGATTTCTGGTCTCAAACAGAGGATGATTCTTGACATAATCATCCAGCATGGCAGTCAGAAGCTGAATTCAAAGCCAGAGTATGGTCTGAGCACTTTGTAAGACAGCAACATGAAACGATCAAAATATTACAAAGAACAAGAAAAAGATATCAATTTATAGGGTGCCCGATTGCGGCTTGTGCCAGCAAGAATAATTAACTAGCGAGTCTTATCAGAGCATAGGGAATTACAATGAAACTGGATCTGCTTAAGTTGAGCTCACACATATTTCTGATTTCAGTCGACGAAATGTTGTATGAATGATGACTTTTAAGGTTCACGCTTTAAGGAAGGTAGTTTGGATTTATCTTCTGAAACAGATAAGAATTCTAAACACCACCGAGGCCACCATTTGGTTCAGTGAGCTGCATATTACCCTCTTAAGTTTATCAGGAGGTCTCCGCTCAATGCCCTCAGGTAACATTCGCATTTCGTCATCTATCGTTAGCTCAGTCCACCTATGTCCGAGTCTGTCAGCCCAGCAGTGACAACGATACGCAGGTATGCTTTTTGCCGGATGGCCGTCGTGTTCATGCTGATAATCAAGGTGGAATGTAATAGGGCGTCCGTACGCCTGCAGTTTTCAGAAAATGAATTAATCGAACAAGTAGCTATCGGACAACCTAGGTCTCCACACATTCCACTAACACTACCAAAATACTCGTACTTTTAATCAGAGCTGATATGAGTAAGATGAGACCATCTGTGGCATCGAGTTAGAGCTATAATTATTTCTGAAGTTTATTTTTCGTGAGTCATATTTCTGACTCAAGTAAATAAGCTTTTTGTGCTCTTGCAGAGACTTCACTGTCTTCATCTGGAGTCAACCAGGCCCAAAGTCCATCATATACGAGTCCATTACCGTTATGATTAGCCCAGAATGGAATAGATAATAAGGGACTGGTTCGAGCCGGACAATCTTACTGCCTTGCAGGCTCGAAACTCTTCTGATGTCTCCTGCCTTGATATAACACTCTTCGAATATGTGAACAAGTGACAGGACCGAAGACAGTGCTTCTAGTCAATCTGTCTTGAACAAAAGCGTAGAGCATAGCTGAGCTGAGCTGCATAACACTTTAGATAGTACTAATTACAGATCGGCCGCTTGACAACTTAAGGACTTGTGTCTCCAAAGACCGACCAAATGGCCGATTCGATCAATTTCCAGAATGATGATTATAAATACAATGCATCCTGAACATGCTACAAGAGATTTGACCCGAATCCCAGCTCGCTTAAAAGACTTACATCATACTCTCTGATGACGTTCCACAGCCGGTGTAAAATGTACCCGTCGGGAGGGTTCGTTCTAGTCGGCCCGCCCGGCCAAAGGCTCGCCAGAAGAGTCTTGATGATTTTTGGGATTCTTTCCGAAAGCAGAGATTTCCTAGCTTGATCTTCACTCAACACCGGAACCAACACTGTCCGACTACCTTGCAAGATCTCATTCCACGAAGTAGCCGAAGCTCCGTCGCCGGAAGGCCCCGCCTGGTCGACCTGCTGCTGCTGGGACGGGCGTTCGCCAGTCCCATCGTCCGGTGCCGGTACCAGGACCGGACCTGGCGGTGGCCCGGCGATGTCTGTGTCTGTGCGCAAGTCCTCCAACACGCCTTCCATCGCACTCACGAGCGCCTGGATGGTGACGTCCTCCTGGACCGTGAGCCCGGGCACGGGGACAGTCACGGGGACAGTCACGCCGTCCCCGGCCGTGACTGTCCCCGCGCCCGGCATGGTATCCCCGGCCCAGGCCATGTTGCAGCAGGGCTGCGTGCACACGACGACGCCAGCTTGAGTGCGTCGCCGATGCCTGCCACCGGGCGCCGGACCCGCGCCGGGAGGTGCGTTGTCCGGACGTACGGGACTGCCCGGCCCCGAGCCCCGCATAATCGGAGCATTTGCAGCGCTAGGAGACGGGGCGACAGGACGTCGCGGTCCGGCAGCTGCCACAGCTGCCGGCGCTGGAGCGCCGGGAGCACCAGCGGGAGGCTGACCTCCTCCGCCGGCAGCTGCCGCCGCTGCTTGCGCTGGAGCGCCGGGAGCACCGGCGGGAGGCTGACCTCCTCCGCCGGCAGCTGCCGCAGCTGCCGGCGGAGGTTCAGTCCGAGACCGACGGGGTCCTGCGAGACCTGCGCGTAAACGCCCAAACGCCTGCGAGACCGGCACCGCAGATGCAGTCTGTGTCGGAGATGGAGGTTGCGAGGGACCGGGGGCGGTACCGGGGCGAGGTGCAATCTGAATTGCTGGTCTCGAACGTCGCCCTCTTCCATAAGCGCGTTGTCGTGCAGCACCCACACCACTGGACTCTGTATACCCATCTCGTGCAGCTGGAGCTGCAGCAGCAGCAGCAGCAGCAGCAGCAGCTCGTGTTTGTCGTGCTCCTGATGCGGCCGTTCCACTGGGGCCTGCTTCATCGTCGTTTCTTCCCGCCGTTCCACTCGGACCTGCGCCTGGTTGGGCTCTGTTTTGGCTGTCGTTATCGTCGTTATCGTCCCTTCTGAGGAGCGTTCAAGTGCGCAATTGTGAGATCAGATAACATCGTATAACATGTTGCGCTTCTAATAAGCAATAAGCGGTTCAATGACTTCACTGAAGGTACAGCTGACACGTGACTAGTTATGGTTCAGATGTTATGTCAGATGGTGTGATCTGTTGCTTACTTTGCTGGGAATCAACTTCTCTTAGAACAACTGACTCGATTTTATGTCAGAGAGCGTATCACTTTTTAAAATCCACAGCCTCGTAAATAACTAAACTCTCTCATTTTCAACTTCATGAGCATAGTATTATGAAACTGTGCGTTTCATTTTCGCTTCTATTCATTAATTGAACACTATCTGAGTTATTATCGTTCGGAGTGTGTACCTTGAACCACCGTACCAGGCGGCGAACATTTCGGGAATTGTTCTATTCCTCATTCTTACCCTTTTAGTTTGAATATCTTATCAGATTAGACCAGATCTTATCACGCATGACATATGTAGTTGTAGGCATGGCTTTACCATCAGCCACAATAAACTACCGGTCTCGTAGCCTCAATCCGTGCACTGTCAATAATCTTCTGTTCGAACGGAAATCTATGAAAACTGTCAACACGCCATGAAAGTTTGAAAGCAAGCAGAATTCTTTTGCCCTATGTTCTTAACAAACATCGTCGAAAGAGCTACGAGCTTCAGTTATATCTTCTGCGGATCTAGTGTTTGCCTAGCAATCCACGACGTTGGGTTTTCCCGCTCGACTGATTTTACTTCCGTGTGCTTTAATGGATAGCAAAAGCGATCGTGGAAGCGTTGCTCGAGGAAATGTGAAGAACTTTGGAAGAGAGTATGCGCAGAGAGGAAAACAATGCCTGTAGGTCGATTCGATGCGAATTGCCTTTTACTGTAGTTGAGATTGTTCGCGCATGGATTCGATCACCCATTCTTGATTATATCATGTGCAGTCTGCACCTCGAAGCAGCAGCGGTAGTGACTAATCAGAAATTGGAACATCCAAAGGTACCATATCTGACGACCCGCCGCGAGCAAACCTATCATCCCCAAGAACTTCGACGCCGTCCATGCATATCTGCCGAACCTACACGAAACAAAAATTTTCTGAGGGACATGTCGAGCACAAGAACGCTGCATCATCGCAGCGAAGTTCATGGTCACCCCACATGCTCACAAGAGCAGATCGCGTTGAGTAGCATCTCGTCGACGGCCAAAAATCCTTATGACTCAATCGATCATGCAAGCACGTCACGATCCGAGCAAGTCTGGTCACCCGATTCTATTGTCAAATCCATTTCAATGTTCTGAATTCCTCACCGACAATACTAAGAACTAGCGATTCTGTATGGTATCGTGAAGGGACGTAACGATTCATCATGTACAGTCGTCGAGGTTGACGTGCATGTCATTCGCTTCACCAGCACATGGCGGTGGTCAATTAACAAATTCTCTGTTTACAATCCACGATGCTATGATTAACTTGCTGATCCTTTGCGGACCTGATGTGGGATGAATTATGGAGTCACGGATTGGAGGTAGATAGTGCACGATGCTCATCAGCCCCGACTCGTAACTGAATGTATTGCCAGAAATCAAGTCCATTCGATATGGCAGCGGACTCCTCGTGAATTATCGCTTAGCCAGTAGCCAGTAATGAGATTCTCTAACATTTGTAGATGCATTTTTAGAAGTATAGTTACGGGTATCTTCTACTGACATATCATGCAAGAATTCCTCGACAAAGTTCAAAATGGCCTACCACGATAACGCTTATTTCTCGTCACTGGGATGCGCACTTGTGATTGATAGAAGCTTCCAGGCACTTCATAGGCATATGTCCGGTGCAGTAGATTCAATACTCTTGTAATGAGTGGAAATTAAAGGCATCCTGAAACGGTTGCTGCTCAAGGTGTCAAACTACTTCTTTTCACGTCGGTGTTGAGACATTTTCGAATTGCGAGGTTGCAGCTGTGAGTTGGAAAGCCATCGCCTATTTCAATGCAGGAAATCTCTGCATATTATAAAGTTATGATGGAAAGGACAAGTTCTACTTGGAAACTATGGAGAGGATTTTTTGAATAAAATCTATATAGAAAATTTAGCCCTATATATAGATATGGAGAGGATATTTTGTTCTTCGTAGATACTGTACGTTGCGCCGTTACTCGTTATCGGTATCGTGCCGTCCTCAGACTGAAGTGCTGGAGCGTTGATGCCTCCATTATCAAATTATCGAATTATTTCCCGAGCTTCGTTAGAGGCCAATGACGTTCAGCTGGCGCAATCGTTAAAAAAAAACCTTTACTCCGTGTGAATCGGCATTAATCAAATCTATTCATCCGATTTGTAGAAACAAGGGGTCAAAAAGTTTATTCGCATAGTGACTCTATACGGAGAGTACTGGCCATCGGCAACAAGGTCAGCAACGCGTGTGAGATTTCCCAACGATTTTAGCTCGTGCACTTCCCATGAGCTGGCTGCATGGTCGTTTCAGAGAAAACATAACTGAATTGAAAACATAATAATTGAAACAGAAAGCATTCCGAATTCAAGATGCTTGACGTAACACAAATGTTTCAAAATCTCTACATAAAACACGAAGAGAACTCGTTTAGATTTAATCTGGAAGTCTTCTTAGCACATTCATTATCACGCAGGAGAAAACAGAAGAGACATTTCTAGGATAAAATCTCCTCATAGAGTGCAGAATCGCTGTATTCAGTTGAGTGATATTCACTCGCTGTAAACCCCCAAACCCTTGAATTGTATACAGAACAGATTCTCACGACACTATATTGTAAGCCCTTAACATGGCGAAGAGTGTTTGCCTGATAGCAAGGCAAAAACGTCACGAAATTTACTTACTAACTATTCAAGCTTGACACGGTGAACGGAGTATGAGTCCATGACGAGTCCAAGAATTCGGAGATGTTTAAGTGATCATGTCATCTGATCTACGGCTGAGTCGAGGGAAGTTGCAGACTGATGGCAGTCCAGGTTCTCTTCATCGATCCATCGCTGCTACGCAGTGTCCGGACGTGCCCGGCTCTCGTTTCCGCTCTTGTCCTCGTCTTTTCGCACCTTCGGAATCTTTAGAATGGATAATTTCAGCGGTAATCTCGGCTTTGGGGGGAGGATCTCTTTAGACTGGATAATTTCAGCGGTAATCCGCTCCGAGGCAGGGTCCCCCCGGGGGACCCTGCCTCGGGGTAGCAGGAGCTGCAGACCGGTGCGAGAGGTGTCGAAAGGTATGTTCGGCGGTAATCTCAATTTGGGGGGACGCTGGATCTCTGGAGTAGCAGGAGCTGCAGACCGATTTACGGGTGCAAAAGAGGCTGAAGATTGTTCTTCACCATCGCGATGGTCAAGAACAGATCGCGGCGAGGTGGGGCTCGTAGCGGCTGCCGCTGGGGCTGCGTCGCGAAAGCCTCGCCGTGCAGACGGCGAGGTGGGGCTCGTAGCGGCTGCCGCTGGGGCTGCGTCGCGAAAGCCTCGCCGTGCAGACGGCGAGGTGGGGCTCGTAGCGGCTGCCGCTGGGGCTGCGTCGCGAAAGCCTCGCCGTGCAGACGGCGAGGTGGGGCTCGTAGGTGCTGACGAGTGCTCCGAATACGATGGACCTCTCGTTCTTATACCCACCTCTACTATAGTTCGTTTAGCTGCGGATTGTAATGAAGGTGCTAAATGCAGATTCGCGATCAATGTATACTTCCCTGTAGTGAGTCCGGCAGTCGAATCTATGGGGCTCACTTGATACTCGAGTTCTGCGCGTGGCCCGGTTCCCGCTGTCCTGGCGGGAGTTTGTGGATCCACCTTCCTAGCTGCCCATGCGTCGACGACCTCGTCAGAGTCATCTGAGCTCACAGAGATAGAATCGATTTCACAAAATTCGAAAATTGACAATTGTTCCGGCTCATCCACCACCTCTGGGTCGAGCTTGAAACTCCAAGAGCTGGAATCCCCTGGGATCTGGAAGGGTGTCAGATGCAGCGTTGTTTTAATCCTTGTACTCAATTCGGATTTTCTCAGTTCGCGCACGTACTCTGCCACTGTGCGGGAGTTTAGTTTCTGAGCGGGTGTAACGCTGTTTATGGCTCGAGCAGCTAAATGAAGCTCTACCAGCGAAAGCTGGGCGTCGGAATTCTCGGGATCGGCTTCTGGTTCCGGCAACGGCGTGCCTGGAAGAAGCTGTCCAATGTCGTCGAGCCCCGCACGGTCGCGGTGCAGAATGTCGAGTGTGTTCCGAACCTCTTCCGCCCTGATCTGTAGTACGTGTAGCCGCAGAGGATGAGTCCGTAATGTTTGGTTTCTCCTTGCTGCACAAAAAGTTCGCAACGAGGACATTCGTCATCTTATTTTCAGCAGCCCAGATTATTTTTTTCTCCTTCGAGGTTGACGGTGGTTCTACACAGTTTTAACTATATTAGACGAACCACGAGGCATCGCATCCGTTGCTCCTCCTGATGGAACAACGAAGCGCTGAGTCTACTTACCATCCAAGTTCATGTTGCCTGTGAAATTTAGCTTTTATCTTGTTAGATTTAATTTCCCTGAAACCCTTCAAATGAAGGTCGCTTACATCGATTGCGTTTCTGCTTTGGCCTTTGACTTATGGTGATTGGTGATATTTTGATTATTGATTGAATGCATGCTGTGAATACAACGGATGGTCGGATCTATAAACCGTGCAGCATTTGAATATTACTAAATTATATTATGCTCATTCAATTGGACGACTTCTGAGTTTAACTGCGGCCTACGAGAGGAGACATCCATCCTTGGCAAGCCATCAGAATGTGAAGGATTCCACTGAGCACGAGTACCTTGCATCTGAAGTCGTTCTTTCATCTCTTTTCTGGCAATTCCCAGAGTCCAAGCTACTGTTTCACGATAGATATCTTCATGAATCACACCCGTCTCATACCAACAGGTGGACAGATCGGGAGCTCCCTCGGCTACGGCCATGTCATTGTAAATCCGTATCGCATAGTCCATCAGCCGATTTCCTCTTGCTTTCGTTCGCCCACGTGAGAACCAGCGACTTAGGAATTCTCTGACCTGCATTCGTACATTGTCCATCAAATGTGAAGAATGTGAGAAATTTCCACATGAATTTGCACGGAAGGAAAATTTGAGTAGAATCTGAATTACAAACCGATTATGAATCACCGGCTACATCTTGCAATATGCATATAAGCAGATGAGTCTTCGGCAATTGGTACACATGAGACTCTTTAAAGAGAGACGGCACATACCATTACTATTGGAAAATTCGGTAGGTCTGATGTTCTTGCTAATAGCTGATTGATTTCTTCAGCTGGTATACTATCTGTTCGAAAGTCTATGTTTCTAATAAACCGTGGAAGCAGAAATTGACTGCATGTAAGAATGGAGGTTGTTAGTTAGAAACAACTAACTGTAAAATTTGTAGAACAAACTAAAGGCCAAATTCTATTGAAGTGAAATCTATAACCTCCATCACAATGGATTGCAAATTCTCTTCAAGCGAATCTGAACATACAAATAGATAGCTACAACAAATATGAAGAGTAGACGGGTTACTAATTGTATTACAACTAAACAGCTGATATCCAAGTGACTACTTAATGTAAAACATCACCGATGGCTGTTTTATTCAAGGCACGGTACATTTTGTAAGCTCAATATCTTGGACAATGAACTACTTGATGCATATCCATCCATACGAATTTGTGCACTCACTCGATCAGGAAGAATTCGCGGGGATTCAGCTGCAGGTAAAAGGGATTGAGCGGCTTTGGCACTTCTTCAGGCCGCAATTTAACAATGTCCTGATGGGCAATCCTGTAATCTCTCACAAATCTGTGAATCTGTAAAGTCGAGTTAAGATCTCAGTCAACTCTTTTGGTAACAAAAATTGCATGGATTTAATTGTATTTATTATCCAAAAACTCCAAGTCAATACTATTCTTACGACTCTGTCCCAGCAGTTCATTATTAGTAAGTATTTCATCCATGCCCCGATACTTCTCTCGAACAATCTTGAAACTGTATTCTTCGGCCAGGAAAGAAGGCTTTGATCATCCAGCGTGTCTGTATGGGAGAAGCTAAGATATCCGTACCGATCGCACAGAGTATCCGGTCAATCTTCCAATCACCTCACATTGTCCGTCAGACAAATACCAGTACCGGCCAGCTAACGGGATGTGTATTCCGCACAACTTCATATATGCTCTGGAGATAGATACATCTATCAGTGATCTCTGTCACTAAGCACTTAGGGTCTTAGAATCACAGTACTTAATTTTACCGCATACGATCAGTTTCAATTCTTGCAAACAACTCCCACTTGGATCCTCACATCAACATCACATGATACATAACTTTGCAATTGCAACAGTAATCGATCTTGCCAAAGCAGTTGGCCAATTTCAATCTAACAACATTCGATTTGTAGTCTGTTTTCAGTAGTCATAGCTCTTTTCAGAGTTCGTAGAATCTCCCTCTTTTCGTTGGTTCGTGAGGTGATACTCACTTTGCTAACGCCTTTGCCCAGGGAGCCCACTGCCGTTCCTCTCTTTTCTTTGCAAGATGAGGATTTCTGAGTTCAAAGTGTGGATGTTCCGTGACGTAGGAATCCACCACAGCAGTCAGCAGCTGACACATTATGAAAAGCTTACGTAAGTCATCGCTCGGTTGACGCGATCCGAGAAAAGAGAGCCAGCATAAGGTTGTCTACTTTTTAAAGCTCTAGCATTTTGTACATCTCTGGAAAAAATGTCCCCCATACTAATGAGCCAGTCATGAAATCCTGAATCAATTACACCCTCCATGCTTGGAAAGTTCGTTTCAGAGTTCGGGTAGCATGTCATTGCTATTTTAACTTGTTTGTATTGAGCACCTTACAGCTGTCAAATAATTCTGCTGTATTCTGGCGCACTCGTGGTGTGTGAAACAACTGAGTCGGAGTTACATCTAGCCTCCGTAATGTCTAAGATAATAGTTCTTACCCTCTTCAGTTTATCTGGAGGTTCCACTTCAATATTGTCAGGTAACATAGCCATTTCGTCTTCTTTTATCAGCAGATGCCAATCCTTTCCAAGCCTTTTTGTCCAGCACTCGCACTGGTATGCTTCGTAGCGGTCTGCCATTATCTCTTTCATGTTTGGATCGTTTACATTTCTTTTTAGTTCATGCCTAGTGTCAAGATGTAAGCTATATACTACTCCATACATCTGCACACGAGTTCATTTCCAAGCACAGTAGTGACAACGTAAGACAATATCGATACGAACAGCATGATCACATGCAAGACGCTAGTGACCCACACATGTTTATGCACTGGGGGACCTCTGCAGCCTCTCGGTTCTGCGGATCTGGCCATCATCGTTTGTCTTCCACACTGACCACCATATCATGGCTGTTGCCAGTTGTTAACAACAGCGATCAGTAATGAGTGAACTGACTCTCTATTGGATATCTGATCACTGAGCTTGGGTCTTTGAAGGTCCGAAGACTTTTGACAGCTGATGCTGCTTCTGTTATTGAATAGACGGCCTAACATACGAACAGGATGACTGAAACATGCACGGACCGGAGAAGAAATTGATTTAGGCTGTAGGTGCGAAAAACATATAGTTAGAAACCTTAGATACAAGTTCGTAATTTCTCTGCGGTTTAGTTCAGATTAAAGAACGAAATGGGACTCACATCATATTCTCTGATGAGATTCCACATTCTATTAAGAATCCACGCGTCGGGCGGGTCTGAAGCTGAACATCCCCCCGGCCACAAGGCATTTAAAATCGTCCGCATAATCAGAGGCACTCTCTCCGATAGCAGCGCATTTGCAGATTGAGCATCGGTCAACTGCTTCACTGGGCCCCTAGGCCGAATTCCCACTCGGACCACGCTCGTCGGATCTGATTCGTCTGCAAACAGAAGGCCCGGCCACGGAGGAGCAGCGCTGTGTACAACTGGCAGGGCGGGTGCAGCTGGCACGGCGCCTACAGCTGGCACGGCGTCTCCCCCTAGAAGCTCGTTCGTCGTCTTCACCAGGTGGTCCACGGTGTCTTTCTCTCTGGCTGTTAGTACCGGCGCGGAATTGGAGCTAGTACGAGTTAGGAACGGTGCGGAATTGGAGCTAGTACGAGTTATGGACTTCCGAAAATTGGAAAGAAGGTCCTTGACAGTGATGCTGCGTCGGGGAGCGGGAGCGGGAGCGGGCGCGGGCGCGGGCGCGAGCGCACCCGCACCCGCACCCGTGCTCGCTCCGGTTCGGGTCTCCGGAGGACGTTGAACGGGCGGACCTTGGAAAACCAGCTTGAGTTCCGTTCGAGCGCGGCAACGGGCGGCCGCTGGGCGCGTGCGGCCGTATGCACGTTGTCTCACCGAGGCTATTCCGAACGTCTTGCTCAGCTCCGAAAACAATGCATCATCCAGCGTTTCCATCCATCGCTGGTCGATCGCATGAGGGGTCCCCGGAGGATCCTCATAGGATTCGCTCATCGATGCTTCTTCGATCGTTTCGCTCGCTCGCTCGTCGATCGCACTCAGTTGTTCTTCCCGTAGCTGAGCCTTCGCAGGTGATCACGACTGTGCCCTCGTGTGATCATCTGCAACCACTTGGTCCTTTCATTCGTCTTCAATTACCGCTTCGTTTTTGCTTTTGTGGAATTTTGCCAGACATGTGCTATTGAATCGGAAACTGGATGTCTAAAACGTGGTGAATTGATTCAGATTTGAGATCTTGAGAAGGGACGAGGGATCAGGTTTAGGAAATTTCCTTTAACGAGTCCTTTTTCTCGCGCCTTGAGCTCGGTGATGGGGTGTTTACTCGACGGAGATCCTTTTTCTGCCAGGTCGATCACAGCAAGTATATTTGGTATCCGATTCCTGAAAGTTTTAACTCGGAGCGAATGAGGGAACTCGTACTGTCAGCAAGCAAACAACGTAGTCGAAAACAACAGAGTGACGGTTGTTACGGTGGAGGAAAATTTCCCCCGTTGGTGGGGCATGTGCATTATCTCCCCTACTATGGTGAAATAGAATTGCATGGAACCGTAATCGCACAACGCACAACAAACAACATGCTCACTGACGCAATTTGAATCGCCCGGCAGCAGAGTTTTCGATATTTGATCTCACTTCATCCCCTTGATCTGCTCCAAAACAGTATGACACCTTAAAACTTTTCCCATGCGGATTCGAAAAACAGGTTAGTCATACCATCACCATTGAATGCCGCCCTCGAGTTCTTGACCACGTCCTGAAAGCTGCAAAGAAGTTCAATTACGGAAAATTCTCTCTATCCTTGATGAAAGGACGTAACGATTCAGCATGTACAGTCGTCCTAGGTGATATGCGGGACGCTCCACGAGCAGAACATCGGATTTAGCTACGTTTATCTGCCATCTGTGCGCTCGGATGAAGCGGCGGGTCTCATATTGCACGATGCAAGCTCAAAGAGAAAGACTTCAGTCTTTCGGGGCCGCCGTGACCCTGCAGCCCGATGACTGAACTTGCAAGACATTTATTCTTGAATTGTGTAAAAAGGTGAAGCATTACTTGGCCCTTTCGACCTAGAATGAACGTGGAGCATTATAGTTCATTCTGCCATGTTACTCAAGGTGACGTGTTTCAAGGACTTCGAAGGCGCTAATTTAAGCCCCATTCAGAACAGATAGAATAATATAGAGCACAAAGATTTCTAGCTGCCCTAGTTTGACTTGAAAACGCAGTAGCTTACATTCCTGAGAATTAGTAGCGAGGAATTCATTACGATTTTCATCTAGAGCACGTAAAACATAGTAATGAACTATAGCACCGACCACCGTTTATCGAGAAGCAATAGTTTTGATGCAATTTGTGAAAAATTACGCAATTGGAAAACTTGAACCAACATTTAAAGGTGATACTTCTATCACTTATTGCACTTGTAGATCAATCAAAACTCTCCTGGATTTAATTTTAAATTACATTCCATTGATATTGCAGAATAGTACATTCTGAACATTTCAATACATTCACACCAGTAAGTACCAACGAACACAGACTCAAAGTATGTGACTACTAGCTACAAAAAATTCATATTCAGTCCACAATATTTGGAAATTAACGCGATCTAACAAAGTTTGTTAGAAGAACTAGTCGACGATGGAGTCCGGGAACGTTAATTCTTTTTTGGCGCTATTTTGGGGATTTGTGCAATTTCAGATTAGTATGAAATACTTCAAAAAAGTTACGAGGATGAGCATGACGTAACACGCCTCCACCTAGCCAAAGACGTCCAAACACTTGTCAATGTTATAATAATGTTCAAAATAAAAACTTGAAACAATTGTATGGAGATCTCATTCACATGTTTATCACCGTTACCTGATGAGAAAAATATGAAGTACCAGCTTACTGTGACAAAAAAATTCAAGTGGATCTTTTGGTATGAAATAGCAAGTAAATCCCTGCCCCAGATCACAGAGCTTGAGGATATAAAAATAATCGAATTTTCTTAAGCTGAAGGTCTATGGCCTGGTTAACTCCTAAGAATACGGGGATCATACATATGATGACATTTCTTAGACAACGTGTATTTCTAAGGAATGAATGATTTCACGTATAACAAACCAATGGAGAGAGAACTTGTTCAAACCAAAAAAGAATTGGCTGTTAGGATAAATGCATGTATTAATCCTAACAAGCACAGAGTATTTTGAGTGACCAGTGCATTACACCTCCAAATCTATGAGATCAGATGTTCAGCTAGAACCAAATCAAGCCCCATGTTGTTCAATTTATCATCTATTTCATCGCCAACAACTGTAGCAAAAGAAGGCTCGTAATAAACGGAACTTACTGGCTAGCATATACTTCAATTTAGAAATAGAAAAAGAAACATATGAGTGTGGTGGGCTTATGAACTGACTGCGGTTCGCTGTTTAAACTATCTCTCCTTAGAAATATTTTGATATATCTAGAGCATACGAGGTCCTAACAAGGTGATGGACTAAACAGATCATGTGACCATGATATGCATGGTTGCTTGCCAAACATTCACGTGCAGAGACCGACTTTAAGTTTTCCTCAAAAGTCTCTTGACTGCCAATATTATTGCATCTCAAGTGCCAAAGTATTTTCAATGAAAATCTGAGTCAGATCTTTTTGAAAAGCTGGCATCAAAATTGGCATTGCTTGAGAATCTTATAAAAAGGCATTAGAGACTAGAGAAGGTTTATGATGTTAAATCCTCAATTTAAAAAAATTGGACATGATACACTTATAACAATTCTGATGTCTAGAAGCTAAAAATGAAAAGTAAAAGAATAAATATGATACATGTACATGTGAACGGGAACTGCCATTAGTTCGCAGAAGCAAATTGTGATTAGAAGAATGATAGTACAAAATCCAGTTTTGTAATCAAGATATGTAAAATATCATCAAAGTGAAAACTTTACAAATATTTTTTTTATATATTAGTACCAAAAATTCATTGAAATTAAAAATATTCTACGATAAAATTCATCTCTTAATTATCAATCATGTCAGATTATAGAATCAGAAAAAATGATCAACTGCGTAAGTTCAAAATACGACCCATCCTTTCATCTATCCAGATTGTACAATATATTCAAACGTCATCCATGGTGCACATAGATTAGATGAAGTCTAGAAATCAAATACAATTGTCGTAAAATTAGGATTATCATGTCTTGTTGTTTTACGGCTTAGAAAGTATAAATAAAGCACAATGCAAGCTTGAATCTTCATTTTATGCAAGTTCTAGGAGCAAGAGAGTTTTGAGAGTGTGTTAGAGCTGGGATGAAAATCAGTTGTGATTTATATCTCATATATAAATCAAGTTCCAATTTTGTCTCACGATTAATCAAGATGAATCCAACTCCTAGTGCATTGGTATCGCCTCGCCTCCGCTCAGATCATAGCTAGTCATCTATGGCTTCTAAATGAGATGTTTTAACTCTCGACTTCAACATGTTGAAATGAAAGTTTCACTTTGCTAAAAGAAGGATTGAACTATATACATGGATTTTTTCAGGGGAGTGCAAAGTGAATTTTGGATACCACTATAGCTTTTTCCAAGGTATGGGTGGGTTGTTGAGATTTCTCTTTTAAGCCATTTAAGCAACAAAAATATGCATATGACCTACTTAGAGTTTAATACTGTTATAAACGGTCTTGACAACTCATCATATATGAGAGTGGTGACAGTGAAGAACTCAGATAATTGCAAAATAAAAATATGATACAGTTATCACTATTTCATACTTTTTGGATGATAAGTCACTTTCATAATCCCCATACTTTTGTAGGCAAGACATTTGAAGTCAAATAAAGAAGGTTTTTGTGACATAGAGTCATGTAGTTTATGAGAGGAATAGAAGATGTGGCTTGTTACACCCCACAAGGAGTTGAAGAATGATACGTGGGAAGCTGTTCACTTATCCAATGTGAACATGGAACATATTTATTCTTAAATCACCTGCATATTTTGATTGATGTGACAAAGAGATATTTTGTGGGGTGCTGAAAAGAAAGAGGAAATGACATATGAGGTTCAATTAGTCTAAGTTCAGTTTATGCTGGATTGTTAGATAGCTTTGTGAATATAGAGGATGATGACAACTTGGACCAGAGATCTTGACTCCCATTTCATCGATATGAGAAGGCCGACGCTTTAGTTCTGCGAGGACATTTTGTTCTTGACGCACATGAGTAAATACTAAGAGCTCATCTGGTGAAAGTGAAGAATATAATCCAGCATAGCTTTTCAGAACTTTGAGTCTCTTCCAATGGATAAAATAAGCACTAGTCCAAAATCAAATAATGGCTGAGGTCTGGAAGAAAGAATTTGTTTTCATGAGAGCTAGTAAGTTGAAAAAACTAAAAAAATTTGTTTGAATCAGAACTAAGCATACCGTCATGTTCAAGCGAAACTGTTTGAAGAATAGAGAAAAATTCGTGGTCAGGCATGCTGAAAACATTAATTTTACACCTTCAAGACATTGCATTGTTTGGAATTTATTTTTTTCAAGATTAGTTCAAGAATCAAAAGTTGTAAAACAAGATATGACACAGATGATACTTAGAAAGTTATGAATTCAAGAACTGTTTTCTAATATTCAGTTATGAAAAGAAACAAATTGAATTTTCAGATTAAGCGTAAATTAAATATTTTTTAGAATGAGATAAACAAATATTCGGATTTTGAATTTTGATCAATAAATTGTTGAAATCAAAAAGTATATACATTTATACCTACCTTGCTTTTATGAAAATGTCTAAAAAAATAAATTTTCCAACAGATATTTTTTTTCAAACACATTATGTTTTGCATTCAAACCTAGATGTGGCAAAAAATATATGTTTTAAACCAGATTTTGGATTTCTCCTACTTCAAACAACAACAAAAATACACAAAGAGTATTTTAAAAATAATTTAGTTTCTTGGTTGATGACAAATTAAAATGAAAATTCAGTTAATATTTTTCAATACTTACAAGAATACCAAAATTGGTTTAAGTCTCATCCTTTCAATTCTGCAGAACTTAATTCATAAATCTTTTAAACCATCGTGTGCGGTGTTGTATGTTATCTAGACAACATTTTTTTAAATGAAAATATTTTTCTTAGAAAAAATATTTTTAAAAAAGTTGTCTACATATAACAATAGATTTGATTTTAAACATATATGGATGATCATATTTAGTTTTCTTCCATAATATTTTGGATCCAAATAGCAGTTTTTGATAAGCAAATGACTTGAAATTTAAAAATAATGCTTACGTGCATTTGTTAAATTATAAAAAAGTGTAAGATACGTTAAAATAATGTAAATATATTAGAGTAACAGGACAAGACAAGAACAAGTTCATAAGACTTTTTTTTATAAAAACATCATAACAATATTGAAATACTTAGGTGAAAGAATTATTCAAATACTATACGCTCTTATGTTTTTTGCTCTATGCTTTTGAAAATCATTCAAATATGTAAATAGGCTAAAAAATCAAAATAAATTTTATCATAAAAAATATTAAATATTAAATGATTAATTTTCTTGGTTTTCTACTTAAAAAGATGTTTAAAAGTATTATTTATTCTGTGATGACTCAAAATATTTCAATTTCAACACAATTTTTGAATTTTGTAATCATATATGGATCAGAAGAAATGATATTTCAATTCAGACGATTATATACTTGATTTTTTGTTGCATTTTTTTCCAGATTATAGTTGATTATATTATATATTTCTGTAATATGAAATCCTGAACTGAAAATTTTAGATATGAGTAAATATTGATTTTTAAGTGTATAAGATTACAAAATATACCTGTATTATTTTGATTTTTTTATAATCGAGATTTCGTTAATCATAAAATTTTTATTTGAATAGAATAAAATTTTACAAACTGAAATAAATTGATGATACGAATCGTCAAAACCCAAGTGAAGAAGCGCCGAACTTGGAGATTTTGTAGCGAAGGTAAAAAAAATTTTATGTTTTTTTTTGGCGTGTGGTGAGATTTGATTTGAATGACATAACCTACTTTATAATCTACCACGAACTTCGTGTGGCAAAGTTTTAGTAATCTTAAGCGTACAGAAGTATATTGGTGAAAAGTTAAATACCCAAAAGAATGCTCTATAGCCAAACGTTAGGGTGAATTAGGAACAATATTATGTAACTGCGAAAATGTCATTCAAAGATGATCATGGACTACTCTTGGCCACAAGCACAAGCTTACTAAACTGATAAAAATTTATCTAAGTTCTCCTTTGACCAATACTGCATACTCATCATGTGATTCTTCTTCCCTAAAGTGGTTAAAGGAGATTGAGAGATAAAAAACCACTCCGTTTTCCTTGCAATGAGTATGACAACAATGTCATACTCATTGCTGTCAAATTTGTACATTGTCTAAAAAATTCATTGAAATTGAATGGTTTTTATTAATACAAATCTGTATGTTACGTATTTGGATATCACCGTGTACCTTCAATTGGTACGGAAGATAAGGAAAATTCCGTATATAAGGACTCCTATAAGGCTTTATATCCACAGACTTCGTACATGAGGCAAACAATTCGTTTCAGGGGCTCTTAACAACGTTCGGGCTGCATACCCATCACATTACATTATGCCCACATGTCATTTCAAACAAACCTAAAATAGTAAAGGGGGAAAGTGTTCTGTTAGGCCAAATGCCTTCTTGTGAACTCCGATGCTTGCTCGAAACCCGACAACGTTCCCCTGCCGGAGATCAAGACGGCGGGCACGAGCATGGGCCTCAATTTTTGGAGGTTTCCGATGAGTATATAAGCCTCGACTTCATTTACAGGAGTCGCTGCCTTTTCACCGTGTCGAGCTCGAGGCCTTGTGGTTCGTTTCTCCAACTGTACACGGAGCTCGGATTCTGCGTTTGACCACGTATTTTTCAAAGTCCGGAGGTTCATATTCTCCCGCGTTTTCACTGGTCTACTGCCTCAGATCCATTGGTGGATTGCAGGCACTCGAACCAGGAATCTTCTTCCGTGGGAGTGTGCTCTGAGAGAGCGAGAGAGAGAGAGAGAGAGAGAGAGGGATGGCAGCTTCAAGCGTCCGTAGTAATTTGCGAGGCTTCGAGATATTTGGCTGCAGCACGTCTGTCGAGGCCGACCCTGAGATTTTTGGAGTTATTCATTTCTGCGGAACGCCTCCCGCGACCAGAAGAGGACTCGGACTCGAAAGCCACACTTGACAGGACACGGTGATGAAACTCCCGCCTCTCCTCGTCGATTCAGTGTTTTTGGTGCTTCTTTGTCGCAGAGCATAGCTCCACGCTCGGGCAGACCCTGTCACGCAGTCGTGATCGTTCAGGCTTCCTTGCTGTCTGGAAGTCATGCCGGAGCGAATTGGCGGATCAGAAAGCCGTGTCAGGGATGTTCACTTGATCGGTTCTTGGTTTCAACCGTTTGCTTCTCGAGGTCTAGAATGAGGAGGGAATGCTAGAAGATATCGTGTCGAGGCTGGAAAGCCAATTATCCATACGAAGCGTGAAGCTGGAAATCAGAAACGAGTCGTCATGTCGGTGAAGAGTGGAGATGAAAGTCAACCGGGGACGACTCCTTATCGCTGAGGATGACAGGGTCGTAATATAGAATGGTTGAGAAAAGCGATGGGCATATGGACTCCCACGTCTTCCCCCCTTGGCGTTCTTTGACCTCCTCTGCTCCGGGCGATGCCTCCGTCCATAAATTATTGTCAGTATTATATGCGGGGGTTTTGCAGTGCCCTCTGGCTTGCTTTGAGTGGAGTGACTCATTTTTAAGAACACCATTGAGAACAGGTGTGGATCAAGGAATTTGAGTCGTCTGTATATTTCGCAAGAGTTCATGTCTGGCACGCGGAGAGTTCACTCATACGATCCGCCCACCGTGCTGTAACTTTTTTACTGTCATTGTAGCACCCAGTGCACTATGGATGAAACTAAATGGGGTCAAGAGGATGGGTACGGTTATATTTGCGCCATCTGCGAGGATTTTGGGGAGCTATTGTGCTGCGAGCAGTGCCGGCAAGGATTTCATCTGGCCTGCATTGGCTTGGAAAGCTGCCCTGATAGTGAATCATGGCTTTGCGACGATTGTCGCCAAAACAAGGTTGGCTTCCAGCTTATTGCCCTATGCATTCTTTATTCTGCATATCTTGGAATTTTGATGTCTTAGGAATTTTGTCAATGAGCACCACCCGAGGTATCAGATGAATTGTCCCTGGCTCCTGCCGTAGTCGTACTTGATCCGTCAGCTCATTATTGTGCTTTGTGAAGATTGAAAGTTAGTCTCTGCTTAGTGACAATTTGAACTCAATGAAGAGAGCACACATGTCGAACATATTTCGGTTATTATTGAGAAGCAGAAACTGGTTTTGAATGCTGCGTGGATGTTCATACAACAGACAATGCACATGAAGATAAATAACCATCTGGTAACCTATGGACTCGGGGCATTTCTGAGAATTTACCCAAGCTTTCCACTCAGGTCTACGATTAGTGTCCAAAAGCCTCTCTTCTGCAAGCAAAAGATTATTAACCTTCCTCATTTCTTTAAAGGCCAAGGTCGGCATCATTCAACTCCAGGTTGAACGTTTCTGACACATCTGCATCTCTCACGCGCACTCAGTACAGGGTATTGTCACGTTGATCAATCCTTTCAAACGGCAAAACTACGATATGCGCGTTGTTTTCATTGTCCTTAGTGTACTCTACTCAGAAATATTGTTTCCTTCTGAATTCCCAGCCATGAGAATTTACCGGTCGGTCCGGCACATTACTATTTCAAAAGGAGAGAAGAATTTGAGGACGGCATCACTTCCCGTCCCCTTTTCGGTCTGTGCATCGTATTGATATCATTTGAAGAGCTCATCCAAGGGTTAAAATGAAGAACTCAAGAGAAACCAGCCTCTTTGAGTGCATTGGTTTTGTTCTACCTCACTCCCCGGAAAGGTGATAGAGATGGTAAACAGTCTTATGCATCAGGATATGCTTGTGTATAATCATGAGATTTCATGAGGTTTTGGTCAGTATGAAGGAAGTAAATTGCCTCTCGGCCTTTTTTGGGTTGATTAGTCAGTAATGTTGTTGTTATTGTGTCCGTAGCCTCGTGATGCTCTGCTGGTTACAGGACACCGATAATAATTATTCCTTGGTGACATCGCCACAGAGTGGTTTTCTTCTGTCTCTGACAGCCATCGTATCAGGTTTACCCTCGAGTTGAAGGAGCAGTGCCAAAAGCCTAATTCGCGGAGGTCTTTATTTCTCTATGCATCCATGGTAAACCTTAGGAAGGATGAAGTCCGGATCATGGCTTACTTCGGACTATTTGCTGCAGACGATTTCGTTTCCTAGTCATGTCTTACTTTTGATTTTTTGCTGCATACGTAATCTGTTTTAGCCAGTTGTCAGTACTGACTGTCGAACCAATCCTCAGTCCTATACTATGTGTATCCTCCAGCTTATGTGGATCGATCTTTTACTTAGTTATATAGATCTTCCATCGTATTTATTTGTCGTAATTCATCTTCCAGTTCGGTTGTTTTCTGAACTATTTCTGTCTCATCAATCTTCATAGCCTGTCCATCGCTCCTACTTTCACTTGCACTGAAGGAAATGGTAAGTATTATCTCCTTCAGTGCAAGTTAAGTGGTCAGTTGCATCCACCGAAAGTTATTGACTCTTCTGTGACTGCACATAGGAGGGTGAAAATTGACGCTTGAATCAACTGAACTACGTATATGATGGCCTAGGTAACCGTCATGAATGTCAGAAGACCTTTCTACACTATGTGATAGCACTCAACCATATATCTTCTCAACGTCCGTAGACGAGGAATCTCCAATGGAAGTCCGAAAACGTTTTCCTGTTCACGCAGTAAACACCTAGACAGCACTATTTCTGAAAGTATTCTCGGTGTCCAATGTTGGTTTCTCCTAGTTAGACTAGAACTGCCCTAGTAAAATTCTCAGCCTTGTCTTCCAGAGTACTCGAATGGTGATCCCAGAACCTTTCCCACCTCCAAATAATCTCACCAGATCACTGTTGGAGTAGGAGGTGAAACTCTGGTAGGGTCGAACAAAGTATTTGTAGAGAATAGGGTCCAGTATTTATTCAGCTCAGACAGTACCACTGTTTGAGTTGATAAGAGATGGTTCAAGGACGTCTAGAATTGACAGGGTATACCACAAATGAACTCTGTTGGATGAAGGATGAGCTAGTCGCTGTTGGATTGTTCTCTAGTCTGTATAATCCTCTTTGTGCAGCGAATGATTCTCAAAGTCAAACTATACTCTTCTGCTCTTGCCGTTCAGGCAGTTTTTGATGTTTCTATCAAGCTTCCGATTTCTTCGCCTGTCTATGCCTTCACCTACTAACTGGTCACAGCTGAGCAGGTGCGCTGTTTCGACTGCAAGGAGTTTGGATGCTACAAATCGGATGCTTACAGATGTACGGTGAGAAGCTGTGGAAAAATTTATCATCATCAGTGCGCGAGCAAGTGGGAGAGGCCTCTGTCGAAAAAAGGTGGAATTGTCTGTCCCCATCATTACTGCGACGGATGCTGGAATAGCAAGTCCAACCGAGTAAGAAAGGAAAAGATCTACAGATGTCTCAAGTGCCCTGTTGCATATCACGAGTTCTGCATGCCGGACGGTGGAGGAGTACTAGAAGACATACCGGGGTTTATGCTTTGCCCTAAGCATAACGAAGAATGGAAATGTCAAAATGTAAGTTTTCTATCGCCCCGAACTGAAATTTTACACCGCATTGGATGTTAGTGTTCATGGGCCTTTTACTAAGAGGCAAATCTTGATATTTTCTTCAGATTCGTAATGCAGTTGAGTCGAGTTGTGTACTCCTCTCCTAATGTACTGCTCGCTTAATAGACTTCTCGCTTTGTTATTTAGAACCAGACCTAATGTTACTCTTTCATGTCATTATTGTAGAGGATAGATGTCAGTTTCGCGTCTCTAAGATAGACTTTGTGCTCCAAATGTGTTCATGGAAAATTGGGGTATAAACTATTCAACACAATTAATGTTATCACTAGCTTTCCTCACGTCGTTTTCGAGAAGCCAATGTGCGTGTCTCCAACTATTTTCTATTTTTGGAGCGCCGAGTGGGCACTTTTTCCGGGTCTGAAACCGTGGGATAAGTCGCTGAAGACAAGTGGGATCATCCAGTGTTTAACCCTGCCGTTGCCCCAGTTCCGACCTTCTCTCAGCCTAACACTGTGGAACAATTTTTCTTTGTGTTTCAGGATGGGGTGCCGACTGAAGACGTGAAAACTGGTTTCGACAGACTCCCTCTTCCAAGTGTGCCCCAAGACTTTAAGCTTCCACAGTCCCTTCAAGCATTCGCCAAACGCCTCCAAAATAAACCTCCTGCATACGTGCATATTCGCCGCAGTATCTTTTAGAGGTTATATTCCAATACAAGTTGTTAGGAAATGAGTTGTTTTTTTATCGAGTCTTCTCTTTTCACTAATATGAAGACTTTGTATCTCGGCACGTTATTTAAAGAAATCTTATCGAGTCGCGATATCATTTTTGACAGTTTCTCTAATGTCCTTCAATAATGTGTTCTATAGGTTGTTCAACCTAGTCTTTCTACCGTTTATGTTGTTCGCATACTTTGTGGTCGCTCTATGGTCGTCACTGCTCGTAAGGTTTGTCCTAAACATGAGAAACAGATTACTATCTTGGAAAAAAGCCGAGGAAGAGACCCGAGGATGAGAGTATGCAGTGCTCGTGTCAACCATCCGGTGGGTCAAATGTTGCTTGTGATAAGGATTGCTTGTGTGGGTACGTCCCCTTATCTATTCCGGTCCTGTTGCTTGTATAGAATTAACTCGCAAGTATGTTTCTTTTTTTAAGGACTCACGAACAGACTTTTGATGAGGTTGTATGATAACTTTTTCCTTTCAGAATGCTGCTTACCAGCTGCACCACAAGCTGCAAATGTGGGGATGCGTGCTCCAACGTACCTTTTCAGAAACGGCCTGGTCGCAAGATGAAGCCTGTTAAGGTTAGTCGATCCATGTCTGTCGAAGAACTTGGTACTTATAGATATACTTTTGCATGATTGTTAGAGCCCTTGCGATTGGACCTCACGGGTTTGTGCTATTCGGTCTTGTAAGTTTTAAGTTTGGTCGATAATGTTGTATTGAATACATATTGAATATTTTGATTCCTGTCAAACAACTTTCGAGTAGTGTTTGTAGTTTCATGACTTCAACTCTCGTCTATCGTATTTGCACGTAGAGAGTGGCGTCCAGACCGACACACATACCTACATGGGAAATATTGTCACATCTTTCATATGTCATCTATTGTTCCATTTTTCCTTGATACCAACGGCCCCTGCCACATGCTCATGACTACGCTAGTGGTGCCAATTCTTTACATGTAAGAATAGTTTAGCACTAGCTAGTAAAGTTCAAGGGAAGAAAAAATCCTGCAATAAAATTCGTCGTTCAGAGCACATTAGGTTATTACATATGCGGTGGATATCTCATCTATCGAAACCTGGTAGATGTCTGGTGTATCATGTCAGTGTCTATCTCTTGATTAATAGTCTTTGCCAAGTACTGAATCGAAAGTCCCAGTGTACGTCAACCGACCTATGTAGAGAGTCTTGTGCAGATGCCTTTAGTGTAGAGAAGAGGTTCTGCACTCGAGTGGACGATCTCGCCATTGATTACCACTGTGAAGATATCATACATATCACTCGACTTGATTCCACTAGTCCTGTGGGTTTTCAGGCAAATTTATAAGCTGATAAGCATTGTTTGAATTCGCTTTTGTTCAGATTAGTTCTGGTGTGGATACGTGAGAGCAAATTGAGTCGAGCATTCAGTACCAAAATGCAATACATCCTACGTATCACATACCTCTCAGTTTCATAACGAGTGTTGTGTGTAATATGATTCTCTTCCCAGACGGACCATTGTGGATGGGGCTTAAAAGCGGACGAAGCTATCAAGGCTGGTGACTTTCTGGTGGAATATGTTGGAGAAGGTAAGTATCTTATTTCTGAAGCTCGAATTAGTTCATAAAAATTATGGCTATATCATAAAAAAAATCAGTTCTGGCATCTACGGTTAGTCGGGAGAAGAATATCCTTTGGTGCAATAACCACAATTAGAGAGTCAAAATACTGCTTCGTTCCAACTCTAAGCTTGCGTAACGCTGGAGGGAGTTGTCAGGATCGCAAAACCTTGCCTGTCTTAGTCTTAGACAGAATGTCAGATGATCTTCTCCAGAGTGTCGGTTAACCATTGATGTCTGAAGGAGATAAGCATGAAAATAAACTTTGCAGAGCTATAATGGCTTTATATGGAAAGTCTAGCATTTGTGTCGATCGCGATTTGACCAGTTAGTTAAGACTTTCAACTTTTCTTCTAAGTGCCTTATAAATTGCTCAGATCGATTAATCATTGAAAGTTTTACTTCGTCAACTCAGTGATAGATGACGAAACTTGTGAGAAGCGACTATGGGCCATGAAAGAGCAAGGCGAAAGTAATTTTTACATGTGCGAAATAAGCCGGGAAATGGTCATTGATGCAACTTTCAAGGGGAATCTTTCTCGCTTCATCAACCACAGTTGTCAACCGAACTGCGAATTACAAAAATGGTAAGTTTCAAGCCCGTTGCCTTCGTTTCAGAGAGTTGATCTTGTCTTCAAGTTTTCTAGCCTGCTTGCAGATAATGTTCAGCAGAAGCAGCTGCTGTGGCCATGAAAGATGTTTTGTATGAGCAGCTCCCTGTGATTCCAAACATCAGATGAGGACTGTTGTTACGAGAGCCCACTTTCTTTGATGAAAATGTCGGGATTCGATCTTAACCGAAACTTTTAGTCGTACTCTCCACCTTCTGCTGGACTTAGGATAGGCGTGGGGTGCATGTTGCATCTGAAAAGTTTGAATTTGAGGGCGTTTTGAAACCGTGAAGCTATGCGTAGATCACAGTGCAGTAGTTAATAGAGAGCCATGATGTCTAAGAACGGCTTTGTCTTGAGTCAACTACTTGAGCATCGAACGATTAACTTGATAGTATTGTCCATACTATCTATCTAATAACTCTTATGTTCAGGCAGATTGATGGAGAAATTAGAATCGGGGTATTCTCTACGGTCGACATTAAGAAGGGAGATTACGTCAATTATGACTACCAGTAAAGCTGCCTACTTCATCACCCTTTGAAGTTACTTTAAAGTTTACACTCTGTTCCGAATCTCTTTTTATTTACAAAACTGCTCGATTTTGCTTTCACTTTAAGTCGGTTCAGAGAAGAAGAAATTATCGTGCAGATTTTCTGGCGGATACCGTTTTTGCAATGCAATCAGGAGCTTCAGTGACGCGGGAACATGGCGGACTATCTGAGGCTAATTTTTTTTCCGTGCATACAGGTTTATTCAGTTCGGAACAGACCAACAGTGCCACTGCGGATCTTCGTCTTGTAGGGGACAGCTGGGCAAGCCCCAAAAGCAGAAACTTAGTGTAGATTCCAGGGTTGACGGCATAAGTAGCGACCTTATTGTCCCAAGATCTGTGAGAAGGTCGAGGCTATGCGGGAGATTCAGTCTTAAGCGTGGATTTCCTCCGGTGCGGCTTTCTTACCTCAAATTTGATGACCTTACGCGTACTTCATGTTGTATATCTGTTATCTATATATAACGAACCCAGCCATTTATTATACCTCTTCTTGAGAGAAATGTAGTCAAGTATATAATTTTGTTGAAAAAGTCGGACCACTCTGGTTTACGTGGCATTAAAGTGGTGTCGATTTTGTGCAAGAATCTGATTGAAGTTTCTAAGTTTCCAAGGATCAAGCAGTGGATCGTAGCATCTACTGATTGTGAAAACCTGATTGCTGAAACACTGTGTGGTACCAGATCAACGAAGTTCTCCGTCATCAGAAAAACTCAATTGGTGAGGCCTTAAAAGACGGAGGTTTGTGAGCTGTACAAAAGGCATTTCTATTCCATGGATGTCTGTCATTAAATATCTGGAGAGTTCGAACTCTGTGAAGCTTCCTTATTGACCTACATGACATACATGCTCTCTTTTATATACACAAGACACTGTAAACCTTGACGATAGAGATGTTGAAAGTAATTAAGTTATCTGTGTCCGAAGTTTTCTTACAAGGTTCTAACCCGGTGTATTGAGGCTCACTTCATTTGAAGAGGCCTCTTCAAGGAGTTCTAAATATCAGAACACTATGATTCGTGTTCCCTGAGTTGTGAGCTTCTTTGTTAATATTTGTGACTCAGCTTAGGTAGGAGTACGCCACACTCACTGAGTTAATTGAATCATATGTTTACTGAAACCATCTGTAGGCGATGCTGAACATTGATATTGTTTGTGTCCTGTGCTTTACAGTGGTTCAAGCAGATCTGCATTATCAACGAAGAGGGGAAGAAAATCGTGTTGGTCTCCGTGTTAAAGTGTGGTGGCCTCTAGATCAAAAGTAACTACCTGAACCTTTTCTTCACACGTAGCGATCGTGAAGTGGAGTGACTTTGTCTCTCGTTTACGATGCTTGCAACCCTTTTATTAATATGACGGCATGTTGTTGAACCTCAACACTTGGAGTTTTTTCTGGTTCTAAGATTCCAAAAAATTTGTAGTAGTACCATTGACTTCTCCATGTTGTTTTTCCAATTTGCCCCTTGTAGATTCCTAGAAGGACAACGAAGATATCAGTTGATTTGTAAACAGGAAGACATCTTCATTTCTAGCTAATTGATATTGAAACTTTCCATAGTTGGTATATCCATAGAAGTGGAGAACGTCATTATGAGCCTCTGTTGGGGATCTATTATTTAATATGTTATCTGACTGAATACGTGTTTCTACCAGATTCTACCATGGACAAATCGTTCGTTACGATCCAACAATCGGTAGCCACCAGGTGCACAATCTAACCACTAACAATTTAATTGTTTACCTGTGAATAACCATTCTTGTTTTCCGTGTCACACGATGTAGCGAAGACTGGTATTTGTTCTGTAACGCTGCGTTGTTGCAGATTAAGTATGATGATGGAGAACAGGAGTATATTCTGATGAACAAGGAGAGGTGGGAGGTTGAGGTGACGCTGCCAACACACGTAAGAAATTATGAGTAGAAGTCTTACTGCTGTTAGTTACCTGTTTCTCTCAATTCAAATTATTTTTCTTCCAAAGCAGTATAGATCTCGACGTTTTGACCATACCGGAATATGAGAGAAGATTTCATACCGCTGCTTCGTTCAAAATCTTCTTCCTTTGTTTAATTAATTCTTGTGGAACATTTTTGAAATCCCATTGCAGCGCAAGAGAGGCAACTCGCGCATGATGTGCAAGTGAGTACATGTCCATGTTTCTTGCTCTTGGCTTATTCCTACCCTGACACAAGATGGCGCGTCAATGAGAAGGTGCAAGAACGAATTTTTATGACTTCTGCTGAAATTGATCATATTCCCTTCTTGAGATGGGTTCGTTTGAAGGTGTTAGTGATTGCGCTAAAACAATCTTGAACTTATTGGTCTTTTGCAGGAAACGGTTTTCACAAAGGATTGAAAAGCAAGGAAATTTGAACAAAAAATCAAAGTTTGAAGAGATGCAAAGGTCACCACATTATACAACTGCATCTCGGAAGATGAACTTTGGTACATAACCCATTGGAAAGACTAAGAGCCAAGTTTGTGTTTCATCTCCTTAGAGGCCTAGATTCAGTTCTCTGGCATGGATTGTGACATATCAGAGAAGTCGCATTAGTTATTCATATATAGGACGAAAATCTTCGATTTATAATGTGGGATGACCAATAAGTCCTACTTTCAGCACTGTCATTAAATTTTCACGCGTAATTTCTGCAATAATGTCTAATCTGGCAGAAAGCTGTTTACAAGGATATATACGAGCGAATTGGGTTCTATCCCGAATTCTTGAACTTGAGAGTTGAATATGATTGACTTTGACTCTTCTATGTGAAGCATGCTCTTTCCAATTAAAATTCCTGGCTCTACAAGTTCGTCCTAAAGTTCTCCTTTGGTACAATTGCTGCGCAAGAGCAATAATGGTCGTCAGGGGTGTTCGGAGGTGGTGAGCAAGACAAATTCGTGGAATGTATGGTTTGACAAGAGGCCATCACTCCAATAGTCATTCTTTGCAGTCTCTCCGTATATGCCCGCCAAAGGTTTGTCGTTCTTCTCAGTCTGCTATTAACGGAAAATATATTGGCATACGCAGGTGAGTGTTATGGAACAAGAAAAGGAGTGTTTTGGAACTTTGAAAGATATGGAGAGTCCATTTAATGTTTCTACGGCTTGAGGACTTTGAAGACAAATCTGATGGTTGGGATGTAGTTTCTCTTTGGCCTCGATACGAAGTCGAAGAAATAGATGCACTATGATGGAAAGGTAACACAATCTCTCAAATATCTCAAGTCCCGCATATGCTTACGAAAAGCCATGAATCGAAATCGATATATACAAGAAATTTGCATGTAGCAAACTAGGAAACTGCTTCGGGAATGTGATGTCATCTTGCCATTTCCTAATATGTAGACAGATCTATTCTGAACGAGGTGCTATGATGAGAAATTTCAGTAGGACGGGGGTTCTCAGCTTTCTAAAGGAACCAGACCGAATTTTTTTTGTCCGCATGTCACCCTTTCACCGGAGGGCATTGGACTAATAAGAAGCTCCTTAAGACTAGTTGATGAATCTGGATTCTTAATGACGTGAATATTCAATTGTTTTAATATCATGTAATTGTAGCTTGAATACGACTTGACTGCATGATCGGTGTCGGTGTGCTTATCGGTGTGCTTATACCCAAAAGACTAGAGACGAACAGGTTTGAGTTTTAGCTTCTTCTAGAACTTTCTGTTATGTATTTGGAAGTTTAGTTGTTGAGTCTATGATTTATTCTTTCTTTCTCAAAGTGGAAAATGAGGAGCATATTTAGCCAAAAGTCGAATATCATATTTAAACTCAAGTCATGGTGTAAGAAGTGGCGAATTGATACAATATGGAGCCAAGATTTGTTGGGGATATGATCCATGAAGTGCAATTTTCTCTTTCGTTACTGTTTACAGCTTTATAAACCCTACTTTAACCATTTGCTTCGTGGATTTCAGGATTCAGAAGGCAGATAAGAATGCATTCTTGGCGTCACATGTTCCTACTCAATTGACGAATCAGTTATGACTTCTTTGCCGTGATTTTGATTAGACCGGGACGAAAGTAAAATAGTAGGAATGAGGACTTAGAGGTCAAGAAGATCGATGGGTGGAAATTAGAAACTGGAACGATATAGAGGTTGCTAGAGTCTGAAAAGGACCATTAGCTTAGCTTAACGTGCAAGAAGATCTCATTCCCGGCGGACCTCAGGATTCAAGTGAATGCATGTTGCCTGTAATCACATCATCGCGCCTAAATCTTCAGCAAAGGTTACCGAGATTCCTGATCGGTTGAAGTCAACAAGTGTACCAGTTTTCCTATTTGAGACCATTATTAGAGACCTTGTTGTGGTGAATACAGCTAATCCTACCATGAAGTCGATGGATGGTACAGAATTTAATGTTGTATGACATATGGATCTCTTGAATGAGTAAAGGATGTACTGTATAGTGCAATCCGGAGAGCCTTTCGCTTTCTTTCCTACACCTTGCTCCTGGTGACTTTCTTTTCTCTTAGGGACGCACAGATTTTGATGAATGTCGTGTAACGCTTCTAGATTGATTGGCTGTTGGTAGTAAACCCCAATCCGACAAAGAATTCTTCGCATTTTTGAACTTCCAGAGTGTGATCTCACAATCTTCACTGCAAGCCGAAAAAGCCGAACAAATCCAGCACGAACAACTATTCGAGATAAACCGTGATACACCGCAATCCTTGGTAGGGACACCTGCACCACATGAGCCGTCCGATGCGCGATTGGCAGACTTACTTACAGTTGATGAAATTTGGTACATTCACTAAGCGCACTAAGAGAGACAAAGGCCTGCTCGAGCAGATATTTGTGTCTTTTTACTTGTAAGTTTTGACTTATATTATTCCGTTATTATGTATATTATATTATCCTGTGGGCTCAGAAAAGATCCTGGGCTGTGTAAGTGGAAGATTAATTGACGGATCATGTCCAGGCTTTGGTGGTAAGTAGAGTCGGGAAGTTGTTGAATCCGATGAATTGTGTTGACAACAAACTTCTCCATAATTTCGCAAGATCCGTCAATACATTTACTTCGTCCTCAGGCGCAGGGAGATGCAGACGCTGAAACTTTTGGAGAGTGGCCACGTCCAATTCGGTGGTACTTGTCTCCGGTGTAAATATTGTGGTGTATTGCCAATCTGCTGCTGCATACTGTCTTACACACCTCGTTCCACGGAAGATGAGTTGGCTTCCGTGTAGTCAAGCGTGACACTGAGAACTATTTGATTTGCAGATTCTCATAGGACGGATTATTACCTTCACAAGATGTAGTTATTCTCTATGGCCCGTGGGTGCTAACAAGCAAGATAATTTCGTACATGTCTACTCAACGTAGTGACATTCAAGCTGCTGTTGCACATCACAGGTGTAAACGAACGTATTCATTAGTATCTGTTCTCCAAATGTCTGACTGGTGGGCTATCTTCCCGAGACAAGGTAGAGTATTGATCAAATTGTCATCCCCGATGAAAGCTTGAGAATCAGAGAAATTTCTTGTGTTACTCAATGTCGTAGCACGTGAACAATTTTCGGTCTTTTCGTCAAAATGTCGACCCTGAGGTTACGCTAAAGATTGAAAGAATGGGCCAGTTTTGCAACTGCTGATACTGGACATGCTTCTCCGTGTGATTGTAAACAGTGTGAATATAGAATGGACGTCACACATTCAACAAGACTTAGGCTATGAGTACATGAGGCCAAGCTTCAATCATTTACTGATCATGCAAAACGAGACGAAACATGCAAATAACAAGCCAGAGTCGAGACATTGGTGGGTACAAAAGTGACTGGTTTCAAGATAGTTCGCAGTCAAGTCAACCACGCTACGGTCGTCCGACATTCCAGTTCAGAATTGCTCCATACAGCTCATCACCCAAACGTCTTGCATAGCAACATGATAAGAGACATGTAGAGGGTAGTTAGAGAATGATGTTTCAAAATCGCCTCACTGAGTAAACTTCACGTGCTCCTGTCCATCGTACATGGTGCTACTTCACTTTGTTAAATTGAGCTGTTTATTCAGTACAAAAATAATCCTCTGCAAACCATCTTTTGAACTCCCAAGTGCCAGTTGCTTGGACACCTCTCTACAAACACAGCAAAACTGTAACAGCTTTTGAACTGTTTGAACCCAGATAGACAAACAAGGCCATCGTAGTAAAAAGTTTCTAACATAAGACTAAAGTTTAATTGTGGAAACGTAGTATATAATTGTTAAAAGTGGTCAGGATAATCTATATGTTGACTACATGAAACAATCTCTTACACCGTGTACTTGTTCTTAGCACCTTTGTCCAACCTCCTAGCATCCTCCTGCAAAATGGAAGGTAAGAACCAACGATGAATGTTTCATTCGAACCAACTGCAAAGATATGTCGAGGCTAACCGAGATATGCAGCTAGGTCGACAATATCATCTTCATGTCCAGTCCTGTATGTTGAAAAAAGGTGGCTCTCTAGTTGAAGTCAGCGGAGAAGAGAATGGGAAACAAGAAACAAAACAAAGTAATAATATGCAGAGTTGGTTACCTTGCACTGAAATGATAAGCAAGAATATATGTATCAAAATTACAGTGGATAATGATAAAACCTGCTAATTTTCAAAGAAATTGTACAATCCAGGAAGTTGACAATGACTTCTATGCTTCTAGTGTGGAAGGCAAAAAGAGTGTACAGAATGCATTTGAGAACAGAGAAAGCAGATTTCCTATGTTTCTAAACGATAGCGGGAATCATAACAGGTTGGTGTGTGACCACATGTAAGAACTCATACATCAAGTATCAAAGAAAACTTTTTTCATAAACGACAGATGAGTTGTGTTATCGGTGCATACATGGACAAGGTAACCTATCTTGTCGCTGATGTCCAGTACGGACTTCCACTGCTTTCCGATACTCGTCTGAGGGACAAACAAGCAGTTCATCAGCATGTAAACAACTATATAGAACTTCCCATGCAAGGCGTGAGATGTCCATGAAATAGCCGAAACGGGCTGAGCGCAAGAAGTACATGTACAGAACAAGCATTCACGTGTATGCCCCCTCTGTAGATAATTATGTGAGACTAAGGACCAAACATTGCACATGATGACGAATGTGTTGTTTAAAAAACAACATATCGTGGATCAGACAGCTTTCCCAAAACAGTCCGGAAGCTAAGTCGACTTCTACACAAACTATGCTGTTCACTGACAAACATTGCACATGATGACGAATGTGTTGTTCAAAAAACAACATATCGTGGATCAGACAGATTTCCCGAAACAGTCGGAAACTAAGCCGACTTCTACACAAACTATGCTGTTCAATGACAAACAAACCGAAAGTAAAGACTTCCCCACATACAATGTACCCGTGCGTCAGCACTAAGGTGGGCAGAAACAGGCTTACAGAAGTAACCAATTTTACCTGAGCTGCTTCATTAGAGGCAGTTTTCGTCCACAAGGCAATCTTGTCCTGGCGAGTTCGCACGCTCACGACAGCGCCACAAACTTCATCGTACTCATCAAACTGTTCACCGATCATGGCTAGAAGCTGCAAGCCAGTAAAAATGTCAGTCGCAATCGTAACTTTTAGATCTATATCAACGACGATTATAGAGGCAACTTATGGTAACCTACTGAACATGACCTAATTCTGAAATTGTTCTAAGAAAGAGGGGTTTCACCTGATCTACATGGAAGCACCTAGTCGCAACAATAGCCATCGGCTAAACCGCGAAACACTAACAACGATAAAGCAATAATGAGGTAACCAATAGAGAAGGTGAACCTGACGGAATGAATGACCATAGCCTTCGGTGCGATCCACCACAAGAAAATCTAAGACCTTCTTGACAACACAAAAACGCGAGTCCCTACTAAACGTAGATCAACTGGATCTAAACAAAATGTTACAGTGGCCAGTAAGAACGCGGCAGCACAACATACCACAAGATGAGACTCGTTTACGAGACAAACAACAGACTCAGTGTAGAAATAAAGCAGATCATAACCCATATCTATCAGAGCGCCTTCATCTTGCGATCGGATAGAATTGACTAGAATGCGACATCGCAGGATTCATCAGCTGCAAGGTGTCAAAGCGGAGAACCAGGAAAACACTGGACGGCAGCCAAATTTTAGGGCAACAGAGTGAATTTTTTCTGAACAGACGACCTCCTTGAGTCAACCTCGGAGACCCTGCGGTAGTTCGAATCTTCCGCCATAGAGTACTTGAGCAATGAGCACATTCCCAGCATTGGAATCCGCGATAAGAACCTGCTATCGATAGGGGGACGCATTGGCCTACATCCCCTGCATGTCCCTCCAGAAGCATCTAGAACCTCAGCAGTGATACAGCACAACGTGCATTTAGCCCGACCTCGCTCGGTCAGACGGATCTCACACCTCCGCATGAGAAACATTACCTCTGTCCTGTAGCAGGATCGCTCATTCTTCCCACGCCCTAATCTAATCTCCTTTAATTCGGTCTCAAATGTTCAGATTGCTCCTACCGGCCCCGTGAACTAGACGTGAGTAGACAAGAGACCCATCTGTTACTCATACCGTGTGTAGCCAAAATTGGTCAAGGGTAGCCTTGTTGTTGTTGCCCCTCGGAGTACTCGTGCTCCATTTTCCTCCTTGTGCACACCTTGGGTCCTCCCATTTAGGCTCAATTCCATCCTTGAAGCAATGGAAGTCGGCTCCGGCGATCAAATGACTCGGTTGAAGAACATTGTTGTACAAGCTGCAGGTGGGGAAACAACTACGGGCATCACTAAAAGCTCTTCAGCAGCAGGCCCAATAACGCATCTCACTGGCTTCAAGCCTAGCACCGCAACATGACGAGGAAAACACACCTCCCCAACCGTAACCCAACCCTATCACTTACCACCAAAAGTCCTCGACGGTCTTGAATGTGTAAACGGGTCGCAGAGAGCTCCCCCACGTCGCCTGCTTCGATTTTCCATTGGGATTATCGAACCAAAACGTCCACCCATGCTCCAACGGGTGCTTGTTCTCCAGAGAATGCTCTGGGGCGGGAGTCGTCGGCTCCGTGCTCACGATTTCTCCTTCTTCGAGTTCTTGCTTCTCCATATCCACGCTCGCTGCTGGTTCGGCAACTGGAGACGGTTTCTCCACATCTGCCATTTTCAACCCTCGACCGGCCGGCCTACTCACGCCACACTCCAATCCTCCCTAGAAGCTGCTGCAGCTCAGGAATAATTCCACCTCCAGGTGCTAACCCCACCTCTTTCCTATCCCCACCCTCCTCCTCCTACTGCCCTCTGCCTCACTCCCTGTTCGGTTCTGTTCTGTTCTTGTCGCTGCGAGCGGAAAAAGAAAAATCCCGAAATTCTGCTGCTCTGCTGCCAAGGCCCCGAGTCTGTACAAACCAGCAAAACGCCTGCGCTGCGATGTCTGTACTGATCGGCCCCCCGCCCCGCGCAGCGCTCAAGGTGATGCTGCAGCTGCAGGATGGATCGTCCACCGCCCAGCACCGCAAACAGGCGCCCCCACTTTCGCTTGATTCGGGTGCCCCCGCGGGAGCAGGCAAGCAAACGGACGTTTTCCGATTCGGTCCAAATCTAGCGAGGCAGTCCAGGCAGCGGAGAAACCCTAATCTTCGTCCTCCCGTTCTCCCCTCCCCTCTCCTCCCCCCCTCCTCTCCCCCTCCTCTGCTCTGCTCTGCTCTGGCTGGTCCCTCCAGTTTCGTTTCTTTCGGATCCTCCCTCCTCCCGCAGATTCCATTCGTCCATTTTATGAGCAAATGTTGCTCCTTTTTTTCCACGAGTCGAATGTATTGCGATGACGATGGACAAGGCATTCAAGCTAAAGCTCAGACAATCTATTCTTGAACTCATAATATGTTCTCAATATTCAGGATATATAACCAGCTTTGATGAACTATTATACAGACTCGTTAACATGCACACAATTAAGAAACACATTGTAATTTTTCTTTCACTTTCTTGTGCGTGAGTATCCATAAGAAATCAATACGTTAGTTCACAATGTCGTAGTTCATTCCTTTATTTCAGTCTCTCCCCTTGATCTACAGATTGAGAGAAAAGGTAACAAAAATGTGGGTTCTCAGTTTATTTTCCACATTTGATTCAAATTCACAAGATATGAGCATGAAGAGATCTGCATATATGGTTGAAGAAATGGCAGCAAGTATGTTTTGATGACTACATTTGATCATGAGACTCGTATGCGAAGCGTAAAACGAATCTAACAAAGAAACATCCTCGATTAATATGTTAAATATGATCCATACATTCCTTCCTACTATTCTGTGAGATGATGCTTGCTCCGAACACTGACCATTTACTCCAGTCAGTGTTTGTCTAATATATTGTATTTTTAGTCAAAGTAACAAACTTTACGTCACGTTCGAGATTCTTGCAATGTCTTCAACACACATTCGAAATAGTATTGGAAAATCTTATAGAATCTTATTTCAAAAATATTTCGTTACACAGAATAATATAAACATTATTAAAAAAACTTTCAAGTCTGTGGTTGCTTCAGATCTTGCAACTTCTCAGTCGAACCATCTTGAAGATCCATAGAATGACAATATTTCAAACTGAAATAGAAATATATTACATTTAGAGAGAAGAATTATAAAAATTTAAATCAAACAATTAAAAATATAAAAAACTTTATCTTTTCTTACTCATATGTTCATAATAGAAAACACGTTAACTAGAAAAAAACCCTCAACAAATTACCAAACAATCTTTACGTCTATACTACTATCCTGTTAATTTATAATATTTTGAACATCTTGTTTGTAACAAACAATTTTGAACTACTTTTAGCATAAAATGTCATCATTTTATATTTTTTCACACATGTCAAATAGACCTAAATGCCATAAGCCATATATTTTTTTATGAAATCTGAAAACTTATGTCTCCAAAATAAAGAGTGACTACTTGAATATTTAACATGTTCTATATATCTAAATTCTTATTCTTTTAATATAATGTTTATGTCCTTCATGGAATACCAACATATGCATAAAAGAACTAAAATTTCATCCAAAAAAGTGTTGCAAGTTATGGTAAGAAAGATAAATCACTGTATTTAAAAAAAATTTCATAGTATCATAACCCGAAATTATGTGAATTCTTTTCAAAATCAATTTGACAACAGTCAAACTGCAAGCTTCAAGAGCTTATTACTATTATTATTATTATTCAAGAGATTTTTAGAAAATCATCAAACAATAATTAATGCCATAAATAAAATACTAAAATAAAATGTTTTGAGCGACTAGATTTCATTGGAAATTTGAAATATAAATTCATAGTTTTCAAGATTAAAAAAATAATGCGGAGTTTCACAAGACTAAAAGTTTCTTTTTATGTTAAACTAAGTCTAACTTATAAAAGAAGCTGATTTTTATAAAAATAAATTAAAATGACCAAAAAATAACACAGAAGTAGAAAAATGATTTTGAATAATTAGGATACAAAGTAAGAATAATAGGAGATTGTAAAAAAAATACATAATTTATTTGTTACACTTTTTCAATAACAACATTTTAATAAGCATGTTATTACAAAATGTAATCAAGCTTTAGTTATGAACAATTGCAAGTATGATTTAACTTGTAAAGTTTTTTCTGGGAAGATATTTACTAAAAAGCAAATATAAAATTTTCAACGTTGGAAGAAAAAACAATAGAAGAGAGATAATTTCGTTCAATAATAAAGTCTATGCTCAACAACGCAAATACTGTGATTATTGCAAATCATACACTAAGACATAATGGAAAATTTATATGGAATAACAAATTTATAAAGAATCATGATCAATTTAAAAAAGTTATTATTATTATTTTGCATTAAATACATATCCTTATATCCTCATATATTCAAAATAGTTTTAATGATATCTTAAAATCAACAATATATTTGCATTATTTTCACGTGCAAAAATATCGAATTATGTTAATTTAAGGTTTTGATTATATTCAGTATAAAATTTATACTTCATAATTATTCAAAATAAAACCTCACAGAATTCAAAATCAAACTGAAAATTTATTCTATATGATATTAACTGTAACATTATGTATAGTGATGTTTGTGATCAAAAATTAGATAATCAAACTCATCATATTCAAAAAAATTTGATATATCAGAACACAATAAAACCAAACAATATTAACAACATGAGGTTTAAAAATATGATCAGTGCGTTTTTATTTTAGCTTGATGGCCGATTGATCATGTTTAAGAGCAAATACATTCTGTATATAATTAAATCATTGAAATTCAAATAATTGTAAAATTTTCAACACAATAAAATTCAATTTTCTTCTAGAAATGTTACAAGGTAACAACATAAGGAGATATAATATTATATATTATAAGTATATATATAAAAATATATAATTAGTGAGTACATCAAAGCTTCAATGCTTTATGTTCAAAATAGAAATATCAAAATTAATAATAAAATTCATGAGTCAAATATTAAAAAACTACAAGTCTAATGATAAATAAATTATTCACATCAAAATAATGTAAGAATGTAGTACTCAATGCTGAGTTAAATATTATTTGCTTGTTTTTTTATTACTTTATTCACATATAAATGAAAGAAGCATGCTAGGTGAATTACATCACAACTTTAATTTATAGCAATTTCAATGCAATGATTTCCTTGAAATCGAATGATCTTTTTATTTAAATAACTTTCACATTTTTACATTAATTGTATGGATTGCAAACTGATAATTAGAATAAAGTCACGAGATCTATTAAAAAAATATTTATTTTCAAACATATATTTGATAATTATTTATATATAAAGAAAACAGAAGTTAGATCACTAAATATGTAAAATTGAAATATTTATCGATTGATAACATGTTCATTGCAAATAATGATAAATCAGCTTTATTTTCATGATGATTAAATCAACAAAATAAAAGATGGAGGTGAAGAAAATTAAATTAAACAAAATAAAATTGTAAAATATTATGTTTTATTATATTTATATTTTTTGAAACTTATAAAACATATTGTCTATGTAAATTCATATGGTTGAGTACATGGATTGAAATGTACAAATAAATTTAAAATTTTAATATGTTTTTTAATCAAATAATAAATATAGAAATTAACACTACACATTTTTTAATTTAAAATTTCAGTTGTAAATAATTTTAACATCAATGTGAAAATTTGAATTTATTATTATCAATACGTTTGTTATATAGATTACATCAAGGAATCTGAATTTTCACACTGAACAAATATTTACATTTAGCAATAATTTGAAAAGTGATTGATCATATAAAGAAGAAAAAAAAATCAAACTTCTCGTGTCTAACAAGTTACTAACGATACAATAATTGAATATGTCAATATTAACAACAAATATTATTATGATTGTGCTTATAAAAAGGTATATCTTTAGGAAGTATTGAGACATCATAAAAAACACCAATTGTTGCACATAGTTATAATGACAACGTGATAATAATGATGTCACATGATACAATATTTTTTACTACATCATATATTGATTAAAGCATGAATGTGATTAAATTTCATGCATATATAAAATTTAGCCTTATTTTGAAATTTTGAATTTTAAATAAACAATAAAATCTTTCATTTAAAAAAATTCAAAAATCAATAAATATTAAAATCTTTGTTGAATCATAGATGGATTAATCATGGTTAGTTTATCATGATTAGATAAATATGTAAAACAAACATCATGGGAGTATAAATTGAGATTTGAGATAAAAAACAGTTTCTAAGTAAAAAAATTACAGTATATCATATGTTATATGAACATGATCTCAGGAAAAAAAATCTAACATTTTCTAAAGTGACATATATATTTTTTTCATTATTTTTTACACACTATGATGCGTTGCACACAATGATTTCATATATTCTGTACTTTATGTAGTATTTGTTATAAATCCATAATAAAAATTAATTATTAGGTCAAATTTTCAATTGTATGCAGTAAGTATTCAAAATTATGTCTTTTACAATTGTAACTTGATCAATTAAAATACTTATGAATTTCACGTTTTACCTACATACTGGGCATCAAAGCAAATAAGAAAATTTGAATGATGATTATTTATAGTCTTTTTGAAGAAAATTTTAATATCCTATATAATATTTTTTGTAACTAATTTTATATTATAAAATTTTACGTTTCTAAAGATATATAATACATAATTTTAAATTATATCATAGTATGTTACTAATATATAAAATTGCATCAATTAATTCTAGAGCATGACATTTATGAACATATAATCCACATGAACAAAATAATGAAATTATTTTGTTCATGTGGAATATATAATCTCATATTCACGTGAACAAATAATAATTTTTAAGCCATATAAATGTGAAAGATTATGTTTATAAAATACATAATGTCAAACATGTAAAATTAATTGATGCAATTTTATATATTAGTAACATACTATGGTATCTTTCATATTACTAACTTACTATAGTATCTTTCATATTAAAAATATTATTTGTTCACATGAATATGAGATTATATATTCCACATGAACAAAAAAAGAAAAAGAGTTTTATCTTCAACGATAGTAATATTTTTAGCACATAATAAATTGAACATTATTATCTAATTTAATGAAAACAAAATTTATTATGTGTGCTTATCATGAATAAAAATACGTGAACACCATTTACCTAGTGGATTTTTTATATTGCATGTAAGATATCCTCATGAAATAATTTGATAACTAATGTATGCCAAATGACACTTTACATGTATACTTCCCGATAAAATATATATATGTGCTTAGAAAAACCATTGATGTAAGATAGCAAAGTGCAAAAAAATTCTGGTTGTATTATTTATTAAAATTATGCAACCAAATTTAATCATCTTTATATTTATGAAAGCAATTTTATATTAAACTGAAAGATTTGTTTGCATTTAATAATACAATTGTAACGAAACATTTATAAGCAGTATGAACATACAATGTAAAATTGACATTACATACTCTAATAATTAAAATTAAGAATTGAAATAAGTTTTGGAAGTCTCCAGTAAATTGTGAATTCATACGATTACAAAAATAATGTATGAATAATTTCATCGGAGAAATGTATGAACTATCAACTTCATGATTTGTCACTAAGTAAATTCACTTCATAAAAAATCTTTTAAAATAAAATTTTGAATACATAGAAATATAATGAAGAAGATCGAACCTTAAAATGGTTATGAAAACATAAATTTAGGATATTAAATTTTATTTCATAAAAAATTATAAATCACAGTTTTGTTTGTATATGATCATGATTATTATGAGATAGATAAATATAAATATATATATACATATCCAATATAATTTGATAGTTTTATGTAAGATATATTTTCAACGACAGTATCAATGAATAATTATGATACTCCTATTTTGGAGATTTAAAATGTTTTCATGTATTGAGTGTTCTATAGTATTTTTGGCAAGATTGCTTGCTCATTTGATCTTAGTTAGAACATAAAACTTACAATGAAAACTTAAACGAGGTGTTGCTTTGGCTTGATGAATCTGTATACATCTTCATTGATTATGTGTGAATGTGATACTAGTTCAAATGGTTGGTTTATAGTTGAAAGTCAGAAATTGGCTATTCATTATGTATATATGTGATGTTAACAAAGTTGCATGAGGCCACATAACTCAAGAGGAAAGGAATGTTGGGATAAGTTCCGGTCAACAGGACAACTCGTCTACACAGTCTCCATATGTCTAATTGACTAACTATCTTCTCGGACGAGTGGCAACATCAAATGTTTCCAACTTCACAGAATCAACAACTGTATCTTACTCTAACTTTGGATTTTTATACAACCATTAGCATGAAACTGGACAGTTAGTCGAGCAAATGTCTATTTATTAAGATGTAGAATATTGAGTCAATTTATATAATCGGCGTATTTTATGGAATATCATTGTTGGCATGTCATGGTGTCTGTGGGGGGTCGAAGTACACAGCTATGACATACCTTCGTGCATATTTAATGTAGTCTCGGGTCTAAGAAAAGATCAAAGTGGTCTTTTATCCTTCTTGGTTGGCGCCTCGTTATTTCAACTAAACTAGTTCCCAATATGGTTAAGGTGGAATTAATTCCCTATGGAGTACGTGATTCTGACCGGAGAAGCCAACCTCGTCCCCGAATGGGACGGAGGAATAGAAAAGAAGTCTCGATGAGCGGAGATCGGACGCTCACGTGCATTGCAACTGGCGTCCAATAGAACAAGGCATGTGACGAGGACGCGGGCCTGCCTATCAAGTGGCAGGCTGCCGGGGAATCTTTCTCGGTCGGCAGGCTGCAGTTCCTCTTGCTGGTGCTTCATCGGGACCCTCTTCGGAAATGCTCGTCGCTGTTTTAGAATGTAAGCTCGTGACGTCGGACTGAAGGTGCAGTACACGAGGGGAAGGGAACACGAGGCTGATTGGCACAATGGACCAAGATTTGCAGCAAAGGGTGTTGCGAGGTCTGTCGTCGGCGATGGATCATCTGCAGAATTACTGGTCGGAGTTGCAGGGCGTTTTCCAGCAGCACTTCAGTGCGATGGACGAGCAGACCGCGGTCTTGGTCACGCTGGGAGTGTTCGTGTTTACTCTTCTCTTGGTGTACGTAGGTGGGTTGATAACGCGTTTGCTTCACTGTATCAAATCTTTGGGAAGCTGAATTAGATTGTTTTCTATATCGCTGGAGGTGAATTGATCCTTGTTGAGATCTTTTTCAAGATCTTCGGCGATTTCTTATGTGCGATGAAGTTCGGAAATCGCATATTGATCTTTCACTGGAAACCCTAGCTAGTGTCTTAGAGCTAGCACACTCTGCAGTGAGGAAAAACTGTTCTGAAATCTTGATTTCTTTGTCTTCCTCTTTTCTTCAAGTTATTCGAGGTGCTCTGAAGGGGAACAAAAGGGACACGATTTTACTTCTCGGACTCAGTGGAGCTGGCAAGACAGCTCTATTTTACCAGGTTCGTGGAAACTCTTGGAACCATTAAAAAACTTATTGCAGTTAGTTTTCTTAGCAGCTCTACTGATATCTCCTTATTTCTTGCCAGCTGCGGGATGGATCAGTACATAATGGAACTGTTACCTCAATGGAACCTAATGAAGGCCGTTTCATACTCAACTCGGAATCCGGAGAAAAGGTTAATTACTGACCATAAACTCATTTCCGTTTTCTAGATCGCAGCAATCTTTCACCAGGTCTTCGTTTTGTACGTTCTATGCTGAATATCGAAATGTCTACTCGCTTCCTTGATTTTTTTTCTAATTTAGCTATTTCTGGTTTGTATCAAGCTTTTTTGTAAGTTCTTTGCTGATGAAAAAGAAGTAGACGTATTGAAATTACCAAGAGATTTTTGTTCCATTTCTTCCAGTTTTGCTTTTGATGCGAATATGCAGTTTTTTAGAATTCGATCAATGGGTAAGTTTCTCTGAAGAGCGAGAGTCTTTCTTATATATGTTTCAACATCTGGACGTGTTGGAATACGCAGAAGGGGAAGAAATCCAAACCTGTTCATATCGTAGATGTTCCAGGGCATCCGAGGTTGAAGACCAAGATTGACGAGCTTCTTCCTCAAGCAAGTGGAATCGTTTTTGTGGTTGACGCACTGGATTTCATGTCTCAACTTCGGCCGACAGCAGAGTATGTTCCATCTCTTTACTCCAGAACCCGTACCGAACGGATTGAAGGTAACGTGGTCAGCAACAGTTATCGTGACTAACGCTGCATACTTTGATGTCAACGATTCAGGTATTTGTATGATGTGCTTACGAAGGCGTGGGTTGTTAAGAAGAAAATTCCAGTTCTTCTAACCTGCAACAAGATTGATAAAGTCACTGCGCATTCTATGGATTTTATTCGCAAGCAGCTGGAGAAAGAGATGTAAGAAGATTGATACCATTTTGTTTGTTTCTTAATTCTGTCGAATAGTTTTCGATGTTTTGTATAAATGCTAGTTGTCTCAGTAATGAGATTGTGTGAAGTGCGTTGGCTGTCTTGTCTAGTTCTGGCCTATCTCTACAAAATTCCTTCAAGAATGATGGTCTACAAAGTTGATGCGTAAGAGATATTGTCTCCGATAAGTTTAATTTTGGTGTAAGAGTTTAACTATATACTCATTTTTACACCGTTGTTTATACCAGAGAAAAATTGAGAGTCACCAGGAAAACTACATCCGATGCAGATGTCGGAACAGAAATATCAATCGGATCAGACAGTAGTCCTTTCCAGTTCACGCAGTGCTCCAACAAAGTGTCTATCGTGGAAACTTCAGTTCTCCAAGGGAAAATCACGGAAATTGAAGTTTTCATCAAAGAGTATGTACCTAGGTGAGGATACACCGCTTGTAACTTATATTGTGGATTCATTATTTTGCAATGAATTGGAGTATTCATATGAATCAGTTCGCTACGGCCATTCGGCCAGATTCTTGGAGCGGAAGCGGAAAGTTTCCTAGGTGGATGGTGGTTTTGGGACTTGAGACTGGTAAATTCCATGTCTGGACATAGAGCCGAAGATGAACCGGTAGTTGCAATTCTGGGCAAAAGATCGTGAGATAATGTGCGCTGGTTTGGAAGTTTTTCTACCATCTCTTTTCGGAAACTCGTATGGAGACGACGGTCCAAACTGCTGTTGCAAACTTGTGACAACGTTTTCCCTCAAGTCCTCATTCGACGAACGGTATGAACTTTGAATTGCAAGGCGCACTTTGTCAAAAAGATCGGTAGTTGTCGATTGTTTTAGATAGCAGCAGCTGTAGATTATCCATTACACTCGGTGATATTGTCAACTCGTGTAGTTCTGAATGTCATGCTCCCTTTTTAAGATTTGGGAGTTTTACAGTAGTAAACATTAGCTTGGAACCGATTTATTCAAGGATCCGCACAGTCGTGGCCAGACCCTCCCGGAGAGCGTCAATAGAAGAAGAACTAGCAGGCCTTTATGTGCCAACGTGTAATTTGTCTTTCTGACTGAGTCCTAATCAATTGCAAATCAGAAGAGCACCTGAGAAAATATTCTTGACAGCAAGATCTTCTCATTACGCGTCCTGCAAGTTCTCAAACACAATTGGATGCTTGTTCTTCCAATGCAGTTTTGAAGAGCAAAACATTGTCCCACACATTTACACTAATCAGCTAACATCCATCACTTCAAGACCCATACACGTTACTCGTTACTTTGATCCATGTGGATTAGCTCAGCAGATAAGGTACATAAGTGTTCATGTCAGGGCTTGTAAAGAACAACGAATTGATTACCAATACATGTAGTCAGGCCACATGTCTGGAGGACAAGAAGCCGAGGAAACGACGCAGGTTTCAATAAAATGGCTCGCCGCAATGTTTGTTTATCATTCTATTGAGTGACAGGACCCATTAAAATTACCGTTTATTCCTCTATAGTGAGAATGTTATCTAACAGCAGGGCACATAATTTTATTTAACTTTATTATTAAATGAAACTTAGCATCTTCGTTTAGAGTCACTGCTGAATCCATCAAAATGAGTAGCACCGAACGTGGGTGATGAACTAAAACCTACTCATCTTTAAACTTTACTCTAATTTTAGCCGTGACCCTTCAGTTCTCGGAACAGCTGGAAGTACACTCCGAAGTGATCATTAAAGTTGGAAGGAGAATCAAACTCATTAGCTTTTCATTCGATTAATCTGCTGGGATTACATTCCTTTTAACTCGAAGGCTGAATTATAATAGAGTTAAGAATGCTGTCACATGTTAGATTTGATAATGTAAATGGAAGTGGCTGCAATCTTGTTGCAGTAGCAGTTGGCAAGCCACTTTTGTATCACGAGAAATTATTGCTCCACCGCCCTTTTCTTTTAGATTTTGACCTTCGTGAATCGATAATGTTTTGTTTCTTATTACGGTTAATAACAATAAATGGTCATGCAATTCAAATACCATTCTTCCTTTCGGTACAGACACACGCTTGACCATCTTCAAAGCCACATATCCTCCACAATCTGAAATTACGAGGATTGAGCTTAACAGAAGGGGAGTGCGTTTCCCAACAAAAGTGTCCCGATGAAGCGGTTTCAGTTGACTTGGGTTGACTCGGGTAAGTGGATAGTTGAACGATGTTTGTCCCGGTAACGAGGATACTGACCGACGGTCCTTAAAATACAGAAGAGATGAGCTGCAGACCCTGCGGCCATGACTTCAACGAATTGCCGTCGCGCTGACGGAGAGAATCGCGTGACGCAGAGCACCATGGGACGAAGGAAGGAAGGAACGAAGGACAGATAGGGAGATTGGAAGATAGAACAGAAGGGCAAATTGGTGGAGAGAGCCATGGAGTCTGCGCTCGCGCTCAAATTCCACCTTCCTCCAGCTCCGACGTGCGCTCGCGCTCGTGTCCGCGAGCTACGACGTGCACGTGGACATTTCACTCGTGGGTCGTCGTCGTCGTCGTCTGTGTCCGTGCTTTTCCACAAGGCCGTGCGGGAACCCGCATCCCGTCGAGGGATGTCTCTCACGCCAGTTTGCTTCTTCGGCGGCTTCTTCGGCCGCAACAATGAGGGCCCTCCGCCGAGATCGGAGTTTCAGTACCACGACTCCTCTCCACCATTTCCGAGCTCGCTTTTATCTGATACCTTTCTCGCAGGTAAGCAAAATCACATTCGCTCTGTTCTCCTTTCGTGATCGAGAAATCCTGCAATGATTCGTCCCGTCGCCTCTCCAATCTTCCATAGACGAGCGGGGTGTGAGCATTTCGTGAGTTTTATTGTCCAGGTAAAGAGCTGCGATGCTGCTACAAAGCGAGCGTGGATGGATTCAGCGCGGCTCGGTTCCACGAGCGGTGCGATTTCAAGGGACCATGCGTAATTGTGGGAGAGACCGACAAGGGAGTGAGATTTGGAGCTTTCAATCCGGAAGGGTACAGGAGCACCGACGATTACTTCGACACATTTGAAGCGTTTCTGTTTTACTGGCCCTCGAATGAGCCCGAAGCTCGTCCCGTCGTGCTCAAGAAGGTCGGTGGCAGTGGCGCTGCTCTGTTCGACTACGCGCGCGGCGGCCCGCAATTCGGCGCCGACGGGCTGCTGATCGGCCCTCCATTGGCGCCCGTCATGGGCGGCTTCTCGGGGCCGGACACGAACTCCGGCGTCGGAGAGCTCTCGGAAGCGCGCTCCAGGCTCGGCCTCTCGTACGCCACGAGGCCCGATGGTAAGGACTCGGTGTTCGGCGATGACAAGAAAGTGCGTCTGCTCGAGGTAGAAGTTTTCTGCTCTCCGGCCATCGCAGATTTATACTGAGAAATTACTACGGATTATCATGAGCCCCCGTTTTGGGGCCGTGCTGCCATGGCTTTTCGAGAGGTCGATTGGTGATCTCTCCACTCACACTTGTGGCCCCGCTCACTGAGATGTCATGGAAGTAAACGGCAAAGTGTCTGCTTGGGATTTGTTGCCCTTCGAATGCCATAATGAGGCGTAGATTTCAGCATCCTGCGATTACCCTTTCTCAACGATCTGACGAATAATGAAATCTTGCAGACTTCCCCGAGAAGCGCACAAAGCAGCCTGACGAATGTTCTCGGCGCATTGACAATGAGTAGACGATAGATTCAAGCATTCCCCGGTCTGTGAGACTGTTCAGCCACAATTGTGGGCTTCTTGTAAAGGATTAGACGAATGCTTCGATGCTTTCTTCGGAACCTAAGATTAGAGGTATAAGTGGCTACGAAGCTTCCAGAATGAGCTTGTCACGGCGTCATCTTCGAACGCTCGGGAAAGGGAGTGATCTTGCTTGGACTGCGACCGCAGTGATTCAAGAATTCAGACAATAGGCAAGATTTTGGCCTTTTCTTCAACCATTCTACTCGATGCTCCCTTTGTGCGATCATATGTTGGCTTCGAATGCGCCTTCCTTACCATTCGTCGTCGGAGGGGCCGGCAGATCAGCCTGAGAGCCCACGGAACGATCTCTTAGAGGTACGTCGAGTTGCTTGTGGATTATTTACAAAGAACGCAACCCCATCTCAGATCACGAAGGCTTGAGCTCGTTTCGGGCATACACACTTCCTCGCTCACTTGAAGAATCAAAATCCTATTCCTGAAACTTTCACAACCGCAAATCAGTCCTCTCGTTAGTCGAAGGCAAGGGACGTAATCATCGGCCTGCAACAAGTCTTTGCTTCCAATGGCCACCACTAATGGCCAGGGACTCTATCGACCTGAGGCTGCAATCGGATGGCGATCAAACCAAGGGCAAGCTCCATTCTGGGGAATGAAAAGTTCTATATAGAGTATATTTGGTGCCCTCTCGTCTTCACATGCTTCCTTGCCCTGGTAACATGGACATGGCGGCTGCTGGGCTCGTCAGGACTTCTCGAGCTCACATGCGTGAATATAGGAAGATGATCATTCCCTGGAATACCAGAAGAACTTTTCACCGGAGAACTATCACTGCTCAGTTTTCAGTGTAGCATATCACCGAGATGGCCAGGACAGGACTTCACGAATCCCAATCTAGCTGCAAGATTGCCGGACTACATCGACACTGCAATCTGATGCAGGTCAATCCACAGGGGGCTGCATCCACCCCAAGATGACGCGAATCCAATGGCTGACATGCTGCCAAGTCAGGCATCCGGATAGCACATACTGCATCCTGGTTTGCTGTGAAGGACGACGACCTCTGCACGACAAGTGCTGAATGTCGAAATGTCGATCGGGCGCTGCTCGTGGCTCCGCTCATAAAGTGCGGAAGCATTTCGTACCGCCAGCTTGAATCTGGCGACATTCGTTCAGCGGAGCGTTGCAATGCCCCTCCTCGCTGCAGCAGTGGTCGGACCCTGCCATTGCCCAAGCATCGTGGCAAGCGCAGGAAAGGGCCGGAAATTTTGCAGCAATTTTCCTTCAGCGAACAGTTTGCACTTCTCCGATGTGAGAAACTTGTCGAGGGATCCCATCGGCCTGACTACGAAGTTGAATTTGCCTTCGAGAAGGCATCGTCGTGTGTTAGTAGTCACACCAGTGGCCAAGATAGCAGAAGGAAGTGTGCCTGCCTCTGTGAGTAGCTCGAATTATCCCGAGGAGACGGGAGTGATTATCGTAGGAGCTGGTCTTGCAGGTCTTGCAGCTGCCAAACATTTGGCCAAAGAAGGACAATCGTTTGTTTTGTTGGAGGCCTCGGATGGTGTCGGGGGACGAGTGAGGACGGATGAATTTGAGGGATTTTTGCTGGACAGAGGTTTCCAAATTCATATCACTGCGTACCCTGAGGCACAGAGAGTTTTGGCTTACGATGGCCTGGATTTGAGGAATTTCTATGCTGGAGCGATGGTGTGGTTCAATGGGCAATTCCATCGGGTTGCCGATCCATTCCGCCATTTCACTGACGGTCTCGGATCATTGGTGAATCCAATTGGATCTGTTTTGGATAAGGTGTTAGTAGGAATTGTGAGGTTTCGAGCAGCGATCAAGGGCGTGGATGAGATATTAGCCACAGAAGAAACGACGATCGAAGAGAGGCTGTCGAAAGAAGGGTTTAGCGAGGCGATGGTGGACAGGTTCTTCCGACCTTTTTTCGGAGGAATCTTTTTTGACAGGGAGCTACAAACTACGTCGAGATTGTTCGAGTTCGTATTCAAATGCTTAGCTCTAGGGTCCAATGCTCTCCCAGCAACAGGCATTGGTGCAATTCCGAAGCAACTCGCTGCCAGCCTGCCGCCTCGGTCAGTGTTCCTCAACTCGAAGGTCACAGGACTAATAGAAGGCAGCGGTGTAATTTCTGGAGTCAAGCTGGAAAACGGAGAGCAGATCAAAGCCAAACATGGAGTGATTGTAGCGGTCGAGGGCCCGGAAGCTGCTCGATTGATGAAAGACAAACTCCCAGAAACTCCTTCTGTGACGAAGACTCCGAGGAGCACTGTCTGCTTGTACTTCAAATCAGACCAAGCACCTTTCACGAGCGAACCTGTCCTGCTCCTCAACGGGACCAAGAAGGGCATCGTGAACAACATGTTCTTCCCTTCCAATGTTGTTCCTTCCTATGCACCGCCCGGGAAAACCCTCGTGTCGGTGTCTCTGATAGGCACCCACGAGGGAACTTCCGACTTGGACTTGGAAGCCACCGTCCGAAACGAGCTTTCAGAATGGTTTGGCAAGAAATTTGTGGACAGTTGGAAGCATTTGAGAACTTACAGGATTCCATTCGCACAACCAGATCAGTCTCCTCCGACCGAGCTACGGAAGAACCCTAGACTCGCCGAAGGTTTATACGTTTGTGGTGACCATAGAAATTCTTCGACGTTCGATGGCGCATTAGTGTCAGGTCGCGTTGCAGTTCAGACACTTTTGAGAGATAGGAAGCTGGCGAAGACTGCTTAATTTGAGTGTCGATTGGAACATAAGGGCAAGCTGCTGTAACTTACTGTACGTAGAGTGTAAAATTGCATTTTTTCTGGTATTCGTATCTAAAAATTCAAGTGACATATTTTGACCGCCCAAGAGTGTTGTATAATTCGAATGTAGCTATCGGCAATATTTTGTAGTGTTTGTGGGTATAGTGCACATCTACACTCAGCTGCGCGGCTGTATGAAGTGGAAGGAAGTGATTCATTTTCAGGATAGCGACGTTGTAAGGGTATTAACTATATAGTTTTGCTGAAATTGGACATCAATGACATCTTAACTAATTGAAAAAGGCTCGCAATATTATGCCACAATAACTGAGTTCATGTAACGCAGTGAAGATAGAAAGATAAAATTTGAGTATATTCCAGATTCAATTTTTCATGTGGAGATTCTATGCGAATAGCACCTTCTAAATATGAAAGGTCAATTCGCTGACCGATCTCACCTCGCGGAGTTCTACTGATCCAAGAACTAACTAATTTGTACAGAGGACTTATCAAACATTCGATAAGTCTCCAGATAACTTAGAATGTTTCTCATGCACGATCGGAGGTCTTCTCAGAATAAGGTGGCACCTCCCTTGGAGAAACAAATTTCTCAAGTTGAGAATCTCGAGATAAGAGTCGTGTGCGCATGCCTAGTCTTCATGAAGATTTTCCGTCGACATGCTCGGGCGCATTGGACACAACCTCATGCCATTCACATTTTCTGCTTACTTCTATCTAAATTTTACCACGCTGGACCTGCTAGACAAAGGCTTCTGCATTTTCTGTTCCTGCAAGTGTTGATATCTCGTCCTTCGATTCGCAGTACTACTCTCTGCTTCCATAGGCTTCGCATTGGATACCTGTGCACTAGTTTCTATCGCAACATCCATCGAAGATCGAGAAGAAGTCTCGCTTTTCAACTCGCGTTGGCTTCCCTCTGCGCTCGTCTCTGCCACGATGACGGTGTCGTTGTCTTCTCGAAGGTTAGCAAAAGCTTCCTCCGCACCGGTCTCAAAACCGCCAAAGAGTGCTTCGTCTTTGGAAACATGTGGTAATACCGGAAGTGGCATCTCGACATTCGCATTCTCACTCGTACATTCGACTTCAGCGAACCTGACACTCTTCACCTTTTTTTCTAAGATGACATTAATGCCGGGGTCTTGATTTTCCCTGTCATGAATCTGAAGATCAACTGGTAGAACAGATTTCGTCCTCTTTGTTGATGTCGTTGTCGTTGTTGCAGTTTGTTTTACTGACTTCCCTTTAGACTCCTTGGAACTCGATCCCGCTCCGTTCTTAGTTGAACTGCTCGTTTCAATCAGCTCATAATTGCGGGAACACAAACCCATTTGCGAGCGTGTGAAGTGTTTGTGCGGTCTGGTACTCGCTTCGTCCTGGACATTTAGAGCGCAACGGGTTAATGGCTCATGGTTTCGAAGTGACGATGATTCATTGAAGCATGAGTTAGCAAAACACTGACGAAAGGCAAATCAATGCCAAAAGACAAGGCAATCATTTTGAGTACTAGACAAGAACTGCTCTTTCGTCGTCGGAGATCTTCGAACAGCAGAAAAGTATACAGCAAAGCAGAGAAACCAGAATCTTCTACTGAATGCTTCACCTGATCATCGAAACTCTGCAAAACAGCAGTTATATCGTGTAGAGGACGACGAGGATACCCCACAGGCAATGGACTCTTCTTCTGATTCTCGCCGACATTTCCTCCATACACGTTAAAATTCTCTTTGTCGGCTGTTGAAAATTTGCTCACTCTTCTTCGAACAACTCTGGCGTTGTCTGACGAGTTCTTCGCCGCAGGAGTGACTGGATCACCGGCCATTTGATTCACTACCTCCTGTTGTGCCACCACCAACTTCGATAAACGTCTCCTATCTGATGCGTAAACTATGTACACAACACCCTGACTGAAACAGCTCAACGAGAAAAATCGACGAAACAGTCCTTGTCTGCACCAAATGGCGCATACTTAGGAACAGATGTTCCACCGAGTAGCTATTGCAAAGCTCCTCGTCTCCAGAGAATCGAAGCCGACTGATGTCTTCCTTCGGGGACTTCCTCGCCGACAAGCAAGGGGAAGAATGAACGTTGATTCGATAGTTTCCACGCGGAGGGGGTGCAGGGGAAATGAGACACGTTCAAAGAAGAAGAGCGGATGAGAAGGGACGGCAGTGCCCGAGAGAGAGAGGAGAGAGATCGAGCATGTCGTTGCGGATCGACTCCACATCGACTGTCCAGTTTGAACTTGAAATTTGAATTCCGAGATGAGCGCTCATCGTGTCCGATGTCGATCGACGGCGCACACTGTGGGAAGACCCAGCCCAGCCACTGGGAGGCCGACACGACGGCAAATGACCAGACTCCAACGTATAATCGCTCCCTGTATTTTACAGTGTCCATCACTGGCTGCGAGTTCCTCTGAACTTCTTGAGGATGTTCGCATTAAGTGATATGTGAGGTGTTATATTAAGCAGCAAGCTTCCTGGATGACGATTTTATTGGTCCACGACCGTTCCCTTTCACTCGTGAAAAGTTATTATCTGTGGAAGACAAGACATTAATCTGAACTTTAAAGTTTGTTATATAAGAGTCGCATCATTGAATCCAGAAGTTACATTTACATCCCACTGAAGCTATCCATAATCAAACCCTTCAAATTCATCCTCGAAATGAAATACTTTGCTTCAAAAGTATGATTCAAATTCATCCTCGAAATGAAATACTTTGCTTCAATAGTATGATACAACATTTTTCAATTCAAAGAGAACCACGTAAGGAATGAATTCAAATTTCAGAGATGAATTTGTCTTGAAGAGAGCATCCATATTAAGTTGCTACTCAAATCCTTGCTCAAAGTGCATATGATGATATACATGAACGGATTCTCTCTTGAGTTGTGTGATTCTCCCGGTACAGTTAAATATATCTAAGTTTTGGAATCAAAGTGATGAGTATATTCGTGTTTCTCATAAGCCTAAGACAGTTCCGGGGCGTTCTGCAGAGTGCGGCATAACGCAGGGCATAAGGACTTTGTGCAACATCATAAAATATTGTACTCGAGGATCCAGTATCTTAATTTAAATCTCCAATGTTTGAAGTTCATATTGAGCTAGTATATGAAATCACTCCAGACATAAACACCAGGATAACTTAAGCTCCCAACCTTTAGAGACATATAGAGATGAAAACATACAAAACAATCACTTTACCTTCCATACTGACGACTAGAGGAAGTTTCATTCAAATCAACTAGCATACTACATATGAATGGGTGTGCCAATTACATTGAATCGACAAATAGAGAAATTCTGAATACAAATTATATAAGTTCATGATAACTACATCCAATCCCATACGTTGAGAATCAAATGTGTTTGAGAGTGTTGTATATGTATATATATATATATATATATGATGAGTGCATCACCCTGATCCAGCTTGAATTTTGAAAATCGAATGCATCACTCGCGAAAAGAAAAGATAACGATCAAAATTATACAGCTTTTAATCCTGTTCAACAATTAAGCCAAAACTATTACCTTAGTGAACTAGTTAGCATATTGTGTTTCATCAATCAACGCTCATACAAATGAACAGACGATTCCATTATAATCACGAATCTACATCAATCATGTGAAATGGAAGTATGTGAAATACCTTCAAATATGCGTAACAAATCTAAACATAATTATTGTATTTTTTTATTATTCAATATCAAATTTTATAAATATTAGATGTTCAGCAAGAAAGAGGTAATTGAACTAGGATTCGTTAGGACGTATTGGCTATAAAATTGTAACAAATTATAAGACAGAATGAAATTTTTTAAATAAAATAAGTATTAAATTAAATTACATGCATGAAATAATAATTTGAAAAAAAGTATATTTTTAAAATCCTATGTTTTGTAATTTTCATTGAAATACTTAGTCTGGGTGTTAATAAGTACTATATGTGATATTTTATGTTGCATAACTATATATGCAACAAACATTTACATGACTCAATATCTTCCTATTTCAAAATCCAAAATATTGAAAATCTGATTTATTTCAAGTAAGATAGGTTTCTTCAAATTGTATAACATCAAACAATAAGTAGCTTAATAAATTATTATTTATTAAATTTAAACTCAAAATAATTACTTAATTTTATTTTTGAAATTTTGTTGAATGAAAGAATCGTCATTTTTTATCATTTAGAATTGAATAAAACATGTTAGCTCTTAATTTGTAAAATTTTTGCTACTGTGTCCAATTTTTTAATAAAAAGGAATATGAATCGAGAAATAAGTTTTTAGTTAATCTTACTCTGGTCAAATATTATTTTTCCTATTTTACCATATTATTAAAATATATATTTCAATTTATAAACGACTAATATGAATCTAATTTTATAGCATAAATTACAATAAAATTGTAGATATCATTATAATTTATATGTTAGATAAACTAATTCTCTGCACAGTAAAAAAAACTCAAATTTGTTGGTTCTGGAATATTTTCATCCAATGATCATATCTATTTGTGATTTACACATTCTTACAGCCATTTGTTATTTTCTGTTTCATTTTCTTCCGAAATATAAGCTTCTTGTTGATTAATATCTGATTATAGGTATTATTATTTATAGTATTTATATTTATTTAACTAAAATAACAACAATTGTATCTTGCAGTTAAATTTTTGCAATGAAAACTAATTTTTTTAAACTAATTAATTCAAGTTATAAACTGGAAAGAGGTAAAAAACACCGGAGCTACATTGGACTTACATTAAGTTATTATAAAAGCTTGTTAGCTGTAATACTCATATGACACACAAACTTTTATTAATTTTTGCAGAAATTATTAAATATGGTTATGTTTTTTGCAATATTTCAAGTATAAAAATTGGAGATAAATAAATAAATAATTGATTAATTAATTAATCTTGAGATGTTTATGTTTGGATTATTTTATATCATGTTGTATGATTGTAAAATAAAAAAAATTATTTTTTATTTTATTTCGTACATTGTATATTTAAATTTTTTTAAAAATATCTTATGAGGAAATTAAGAAGGTTGCTTATAAAAAAAGATCAAAATTTAATATTCAAATTTCCACAATATCACATACAAATTCTCTCAAAATGAAGTTTTACATGATTGAATTACACATTTTTATTTTAATCTAAAATGTAAGATTATTGGTTTAAATTAACAAATTTAGAATTAAATAATGATATTGATGGAAATTTGAATTTGAAATTGAATTTCCAGTAATATCATTGTGTAGAAACTTTTTATTATAAGTTTATATTATAACTTTTAACAATGGAAAAGATTTTGAATGCGGCTATTATTTATATGCTATTTGATGTAAATGACGATTCTTTCTAAACGGATTCATGCCATGACGATACATTTAGAAAGGGTTTAAGTTTATTATGTATGTGAGTTTATAAAAGGGCAGAGAATTTTCGAATTTCTTAATTTGAATTTCATTGATATTTGAAGATTAAAACTGTATGATAAATTCAAATGATTTTGCAACATTTTTAAATCATCTAAGATTTTTTATACTAATACAGAAAATATAATGTGGATGAATGCTCTACAGATATCATAATGATTGAAATGCTTTAGTTGCGTGTTCTTAAAGCATAATATATACAATAGAGTAACTGATATATTTAAGAATACAATTTTTTGGATATATTATACGTCCTCAAATATAGATGTTGACATGTTAGAGTACCGTATATTTTAATGCTAGAGTGACATAGAGATGATCTTCATTCATACTTTATAACTGAATGTTTAACTTTCTGTCTCTGACTTGCAGTGTAACAAGAAACAGTAGTTCTTATATTTTAAGAACTATGCACATTATGAGATTCACATAGACAAAGAATGGTGGATAATATACTTTTTGAAGTTCTTATACTTTAAACGTTAAGCTTATAAAATAAGATCACCAATAGCTGAGTACGAAACTCTGTTTACTTTGAAAGAAGTCTCAATCAACAAGGATAATATAAGAGATCTACTTCAGTATTTTTGTTGTTGAAGAATGTCAAGCGTACGTAATGATCAATGATTGTAATCTGATATTTTGAATTAAATATAAATATTTAATGATCAATGATTGTAATCTGATATTTTGAATTAAATATAAATATTTAAATGATAGATATCATATCTAATCACATACTCAAACTAATTTTACTGACTATTTTATATAATTTTACATGTTTCGTGAACAAGCAGTTTACTTCAAGTATGCCAGCTTTAGTGATGACTGTGAAGAACTTAAGGTACTTCCACATGTAAGACCATAAATTTTAAAAATCTGGTTGACATATGATGTTCATGCGTATTTCACTTCTGTCGAGAAGTGAGTACTCTCATTAATACTCCATAAGTATGAAAGACCTATTGATCACGCATGCGAAGTCCTTAAACATGCGGTGAAGTAGATAACAAAAGACGGTCAAGAAGATCCTAGTAAAGCTTACAAGGAAGAATGAAATTAAAACATGAAACCTTGGATGTTAGGCTGCAACATTATCACAATCGAGAAATAAGTCACAAAGCACACAATGATACATCACAAATAGTGTACACACGACAACAGAAACATTAAAAGCGGGATCATCTAAAGCTATCCCTAGTCACATGTAGTCGAAGGTCACTCTTGTACAAGTTCACATGCCCCCAAAAGGAACTAGTGTGTCATGCTATGTTCAATTTTCAAGCAAGTAATACATGTGACAAACTCACTACGATATCTCTAGGTACCAATAAACCAAATGACTCCCAGAAGATTCCGGCATCTGGCCCTAAATGAAAATGAAACGGTAATGAAAATGATTTTTTTCCAAAGAATCTCTAGAGTTGTGGGTGCCTCTAAAGACCGGGCGAGCGCAAATCACCTCGATCAAACGACGCCTATCGGGGATTTAGCAGAGAATATCGACGAGGGCTGATGGGGAAGTCAACAAGCCAATGACGACGACGCAGAAAGGACGAGGAGGAGGAGGAGGGAGGGAGGAAGAGGAGGAGAAGGAGTTGGGGCGGGGGGGGGGGAGGGGAGCAAGACAGGCAAGCGAGAGTGCGACGACACGGGGTCGGAGAACAGTTGGCGTTCCAGCTCAGGGGATGATTGGCCTCTGGCAGCAGGGCGTTGCGCTCTCATGGACCTCGGCCCCAGCGACGCTGAGACACAATCGCGCTGCGTTGCATTGCGCTGCTCAACGAACGAACGAAGGACGAAGGACGGGGAAGCACGGAAGCTCTCTCTTCGTCGTTCTCGGACCGGCTCGCTCGGTTCGGGAAAGGGAAGGGAAGGGAAAAGTGGGTTGACCGACCGCGACCGCGCTGGGGCCTTTGACGACGAGGCACGAGGCCATCGCGAGGTTTAGAGGCTGCCCTGCGCTCGAGCATTAAGGAAGGCCCTGCGGGCAAGGAAGGGCCGGAGCAGCAGCAGCAGCAGCAAGCGAGGGGAGACTTTTCTGGCCGTCTCCCTGAAGTCGTCTGTCTCCGCGGGCTCGTCCGTCGCTTGTCTTCGGCTTCGGGTTCGGCTTCTTCTACGACGCAGGCCGGCGAGTGCCGTATGATTATTGTATTCCGATACTCGTATACTGTGATTGCTTTCGGTGCCCGGGGCGGGCCCTGTTTGCGGAGTGGCGTGCCGGCACCCTCCCACGGTTCACGTTATGGTTGAGATTGGGAGTTAGAGAGGTGTATTGTCCTCTGCGGCAGTCCATGGACAATGCAATCGATCGGCAAGGCTTGATTCATCAATTTCTCTCCTGATCAGTCTCCGGAGGTGGACGTGTTAATGTAGGCGGATCGCGGTCGGTCGGTCGCGATAATGGCGAGGCAAAGGTCACAGAGCTCTTGGCTGCGAGGCTTCAGCTTGTCCTACTACCTCAGGAGACCTCGCAAGCTCGCCTTCGTCTTGGTTTTCTTCGTAATTTCTACGTTTCTAATTTGGGATCGACAGACGATCATCCGGGAGCATGAGGTGATTTTTTAACCGGGAAACTTAGCTGATCGTGGGAAGGGTAACAGGTCCCCGACAGGTAGGGGCTCCGAGGCGGCCCTGAACCACGGATTGGTTGCAATTAATTCTCAACTAGCTTGATTTTGGCCTAGTACGGATTGACCCGGTGAATGCCTGAGTTAACGAAACGAATCGACAGGGCTTCTTGTACTGCTTGTTCTCGGATCTTCTAGCGTAATTGAGATTCATGCGCTATCCCTAGCATAGACACCGAGAACAACATCGGGTCTCAATTTTGGTCCCACTTCTTCTGTTGCCGTCTTCAGAAAACCACTAGTTTTCCAGAGAAAGCTCAGTTCATTTCAGTAATTTATGTGTTCTTGTTGTGTATGGAGGTGGGTACGAAGTCTGTTGTTTGTGATTATGTGTTTCAGCATTTCTTCTTTGCAGAGTATTTAACTTATTGTAGCTGGCTCGAGGTTATTCAAAGTTTCACCGCATTCATTTCGATAAGTAATCTGGTTTCTCGATGTGGCTGCGGAAAATGCTGAGGTGATTTCATCTCTGTCAACAGGTGGCGATAAGCGAAGTGAGCAAGGAAAATTACATCCTCAGCCAAAAGGCATGTTAGGCTTTCCAACCCCTCAACTTTCACCTCTGCAACTTGTAAAAGGCTTTGTGAAAAACAAATTTCGGACTTATTGAATTGTTGCCGGGTTTATATAAGGTTTGTGCTGGTCGACCAAGTTTGTAGATTCCTAGCTACATTGCAAGGAAATTGAAGCGTCTCCATCAAATGTGAAGATGTCTTTGAAGATGATTTTTTGAAAGTTTTCCTTTGGGTAGTTTTTGCATTTTCTAGTCTCGCACATATGCTGTCCGCTTAGCTCTGCTGACGTGCATTTTGCGTGATTCGTCGATATGATGTTGGTTGATACAAACTCGTGACAACTGAGGATCTTATTTGGCTGCATGGACGTTTGTCAAAATGAATGTGGACATAATACTCTGCTTTGTGAAATATCTGTAATTCGAGTAGAGTGTTCTTTGCTTGAGTTGACGTCATTTGACAATGGCTGTCAGCAACAATTCTTCACCAGTACACGTGGCATCCATGCCACATGTACTTCAAATTGCTTGCCGGAATCTCAAAATCGGATCATGCCTACAAATGTCGGAGCTTCCCCTCAGCAGGCTTTCTCCGATGTGGTGTTATTGCAGCTCGAAGATTTGAGAAAGTTCGTTAAGCAAAAGGTTGAAGTTGAAGATATACCGAGAGACTTGGACCTTGGAGATGACCAAGATGGGGACATCGAAATAGAGGACAAGCCTGACGTGGGTGACGATGACAGTCGTTCTCAGTCTGTGAAAGACCGCAAATCCCCACAATTAAATCACGTTGTTCTGGATGGATCGAAAGACGCACCAGCTGATGACGACCTAGTTGCCAGAGAAAGGCGGGACAAAGTGAGGGGTGCTATGTTGCATGCCTGGACCTCATATGAGACATATGCATGGGGCTTTGACGAGCTGAGGGTATTTTTCACTCCCGATACAAAGTTAGGAAATACTTGCCGATGTTTTGGCTTGTCGTATTGGTCCATCTTGAACAGTCGGTTCAACATCCAACTGATACATTTTTCGACTTAATCCAAATACCCCTCGATATAGAGATTACAAGTTAGAGCACTTACGTTTGTGACTTCAAACGGAAAGAAAATGCCCCTCTTGATGTGCGTGGGAGTATATGTACTTACGGTCTTGGCTACCGTAAATTGCTGCCGGTTGTTCGGGTTTGAAGTTTAAACCAAGAACGCTTGTGTTGGATTGTGTTTTTCCTCTCATGTAGCCTATGTCGAAAACTGGCGTGAACCAATTTGGAGGGTTAGGTGCAACCATTGTCGACTCTCTGGATACCCTGTATATCATGGGGTTCCATGAACAGTTCAAAAAGGCATCGGAGTAAGTAATTGGTCTATGTTGACTTTGAAAGGAGCATTGCTATTTATGATGAACAGGCATGCTGTAATATTCTCTTCGAGGACTGTTTTCTTTTGATATTTCAATACGAAGTGCACAAGGCGGATTATCTGTAATGATTTGTGTATATTTCATTCATAGTATCTAACATTTCAAACTTATATCAGGTGGGTATCTCAGAATATGAATTTCAACAAGCACTATGGCGCCAGTGTCTTCGAAACTACCATCAGGTATTTACGGGACAAAGAGGTAGCACAAAAGTCTGCAGCAAAGACGTAGGACAAAACTAGTTAGTCATTGAACTCGATGAGTTACTTCTTTTGTCTCACTGAACATTAGGTTACCTTTCAGGTTTTTTTTGGATCTTGTCAAAGGCCATGATTTATTATTGATCTGGTTGACAGAGTACTTGGAGGACTACTTAGCGCGTATGACTTGTCGGGAGATAAAATGTTCCTATCAAAAGCCCAAGAATTGGCAGAAAGGTTGCTCCCTGCATGGAACACGGCATCTGGTATACCTTACAACACGATCGAGCTCGCTACTGGGAGTGCTTCTAATCCCCAATGGACAGGAGTAAGTCGCGAGTTGCGAACACTTTACCCAAGAGTTATCTCTTGGTCTTCTTTTACTCCATCTATTGTGTTCTCTTCCTTCCGTTAACGCACATCGTGCGCATGGTACTTTGCCCTCTTATCTGGACCACCAATAGCTTTCTTTCTGTACGCTGCTGATTAGCGCTAAAACATGTTTTCTAATCCCCTCAAAACGAAATCGCACTGTTTTATGAATAAAATGTGTCACTGAATTCAAGTTATCGTATGTACTTGATCTGCTTGAAGGGCTCGAGTGTTTTAGCGGACATCGGAACAGAGCAGATTGAGTTTATTGGGCTATCTCAAAGAACTGGCAACCCGAAGTACAAGGAGAAGGTGAGAAACAACTGGATGATGAGGTTCCGCTGCAGATTTTATGGTGTTTGGCTTCTTGCTGTTCTCTCCATGTTTGCTTTGTGTTGGAAGTTCCCCTTGGGATTATTACTCCTCAAGCTAAGTAAGAATCCAGAGCCGCACTGAATGCATCCTATTGGAGTGTGATTTTCCCCTTTAGTAATCCCCTGACTTCAATGTGGTCACATTGAAGTCAAGGGATTACTTTGGGGGAAAATCACACTCCAATATATTATTAATATAATCCATCTGTACACAGTCACTGAGACTTTCATGAGATGAACAGACACCTATACTCGAAGAGAATTGTCCAGAAGTCATTCCTAGGAAAACCGATATGAAAGTGACCTTTTCCACAAGCAGTCCAAGTGACTGCTTGTGGAAAAGGAGGTTAATTATTCCATTCAACTATTATGGGGATGTTAACCTTCCTCAAACGTTGAGCTGGTCTGAATTAGTGGTTTAGGCAAATTTACACTTAAAAGTGAGAGTATGCTCTAGGAACCGTATGCACATCTGTTGTTTCCGTTATTCCAACAATGAACAAAAGGGCCGCAGTACGGATATTAGGTGGAGTTAAGATTACTATCTTGATGCAGCTGTGCGAATAAATACATGCTTTTCTGTCAGTGTCTTAGATGTGAACATGAAGTTTGAGATATAGGATAAAGCTTTCAGGAGAAATCGTCAATTCTTCAGGTTTTGGAAACCATCTACTTGTGGTCCATTTTTTTAAGTAACAAGGTTAGAGACTGCTTTCTCTAATCTTTGGTAGGTTTTTGGCAGGTTGAGAATGTCATTTTCCAGCTCAAAAAGGTCATGCCCAATGATGGACTGCTTCCTATATATATCAGTCCACATTCAGGGAAGCCCACCACCACGAAGATCACCTTTGGAGCGATGGGAGACAGGTACTTAATTTTCAGGAGACTTATAGTTTATATCTGTTTGTTGCTGAAGTGTATCAATAGACGCTCAGTTTCTGCATGGACCTCCGGATTTCTGTCAAGTATGCATGGAGGCCAAGCTTGCACATCGCTTCCGGGTACCAGAAAGGAATATGCGAACTTGGTTTCCATGTATCCCGGATACCCTGCTCGTAGCATATAACATTACTCTTCCGGTTTGTGAGTAGATGATTCGCAGAATCTGGCTCGTTCTGCACGAAAATTTGTTGCTTCTGTTGCTGATTCTACCTGGACTGTATTGGACTATATTGGTTTAAACTTCATTCATGAATGTTAATATTATTAGTTTGGAAATTGCAACCCTTTAGTAATCCAAGATTACTTAAGGGTTGAGTGCATTGCCATGTCTTTAAATTTCAGTCCCACTCTTAAGCCTTTGCGAAGCAGTTGTATTTGGTCCTTCTATGCATGGAGACGTATGTAGACCAACTGGACATTTGCGACTGACGAATGTCCAAGTATAAGTGACGCAATCTGGAGTTTCCTTTGGTCCTATTTGCTCATGAATTTGTGTTCATTTCTGCTAACCGAACCTCCTCTTTCTCCATACAGCTTCTATGAGTATCTCCTGAAGGTGTGGATTCAAGGAAACAAGACTGAAGTTGTCAAACATTACAGGTTTCGCTTCTTTTCTCTGTGTTGAAGAGCAGACTAAATAGAGCTTCATTTAACATATTTCCGAAGTATGTACCATGTATCACTTGACATGCTCATTTACGGTACAACGTCAATTGTTGTTATTATTTGTGCTCGAATTTATGGCCCAATGGTTACGTGGACTCCGCAGAGAAATGTTTGACCACTCAATGGAAGGTATGATGACCTTGGTAAAGAAGTCAAGTCCTTCAAACTACGTCTACCTTGCGGAGCGGACTGGAGACGTACATCAGGCCAAGGTATCATTGTTGAATTCTCATCAGAGGTTGATCTCGTGTATCATCCCCGTACTTAGACCTTCATCTTTCCTAGCTTCTCGTGTATCATCCCCGTTCTTAGACCTTCATCTTTCCTAGCTTTAAGATATAGTTTTATTTATAATGGATGAAGCTGATCAGCCAAAGATTAAGAAAATTGTGAAAGCTGACAGGCCTTGTTTGGTGAGGTATTTGCAGATGGACGAGTTAGCTTGTTTTGCTCCAGGAATGCTTGCACTCGGAGTAGAAGGTGCAAGTGAAGAGAATGCCAAGAAGTACTTGGATCTTGCAAAAGAGGTATCTTACCTTTCTCTATTAGGTTTCTGGATCAGTGACTCTGTTCGCCAATTACAACCAAGTTCTCAAGCTTATTGTTCCTTTGTGGCTCAAACACCTTCCAAGACTCTGAGATGTATGTGAAGTGTCATCTCGGGCTACTCTCAGTTTGTTGAAACTGGCCAGTACTGTAATCAATCATGTTTGTTTTTTTATGCAGCTTGCCCGTACATGCTACAATTTCTACATGTCAACACGCACGAAGCTTGCTGGAGAAAACTATCACTTCAGGGATGGAGAGGTAAGTTATTATTAAAATTGCAAAACGTCAACTTGTGGGTATGTGCAGTAGATATAGCTTACCTCAATAGATACCACTTTATCTCTTTCCTAGAGAATGAGCACGTTTTAGGAGCAAAATGACGATATTGATTGAAACGTAACACTGCATCTTATATTTTTGTTGAACCCTGTCTGCGCTGTTTATGGGTCAGGATATGAGTGTTGGAACAGCTTACAACATTCTGAGACCAGAAACGATCGAGTCACTTATGTACCTCTATAGGAAGACTGGAGACAATATGTATAGAGATTGGGGCTGGGATATTTTTCAAGCCTTCGAAGCCAATTCTCGAGTGCCTACTGGCTATGTTGGCCTCCATGATGTGAGTTGCCAACTCATCCTTTCGTTGTTTATTTTGTATACTTCAGTGGCCATTTAGTCGATTTCTTTAATTATCCCGGGAATCGGATCGTCATGTTGTTGATCCCATCTTACCAAGACGCATTTTCTATTCAATTAATGGCTACGTGTCATGTCTCGTACGTATCTGCCCCATTGTCTGCAGGTTAATTCAGGAGTCAAAGATGACATGATGCAAAGTTTCTTTCTGGCGGAGACGCTCAAATACTTGTACCTTCTGTTTTCTCCATCTACTGTTATACCTTTGGATGAGTGGGTATTTAACACAGAAGCTCATCCTTTGCGTATCATCCCAAGGGTCAACGAGCCCATTAGTTTGGAAGAGCCTATACATGAGGAAAGCAGAGGTAGGATGACTGAACAGAGTCGAAAAGAGGAGATGATGGAGAGAATGCGCAACTCAAGTGGTAAGAGGAATAGCCAAAAGAGGTTAGGAAGGAAAGAAGGTAGAGGAGGAACATTGGGTTCATTCGATTACAGGTAGATTCCGCTGCTCTGGTTCAATTTTGTATGTCATTTTATACAGGTCTAAAATTCAGCACCCTCATTTCGAGGAGGCATGTGTACTGCTACTTCTGAGTCTCTCGCTAGTATGTCAAACTTGAGGTTTGATGTCTTTGGTTGAACTTACTGAAAAGAGCACATGTGATGGGGCATAGGACACAGATAAAATATAGAGGATGACAGTGGGCAGTAGCCTTCGAGCAAGGTAAATTGCTTCGTAGGAAATGAGAGTTTTGAGATCTGAACATAGTCACAAGACCTGAATTTGATTAGTCATGTCAGCCTTTATTGTTCTAGGAGAACCTTTGCATATCGCAGGCTTGGATTCTATCTTCCACTGGAGATGCCTTCTGTTTGTCAATGTGGCTGGCTCCAGCTTCTAAACTGGTTGGTTAGTCAGCATGTTTTAAGGATTCACCTGAACAGCATGGGGTCGTGCTTTTCACAGCTTCTACCAAATGTTTAGCGCTTGAGAGGACGTCATTGTCTCTTCTTCGTTGAGAGGGCTGTCATAGGAAGGAGACCGCATCGCGGTAACATAGCACTATACAAAGTAAAAATTGGTAGAGATTGAAACAATGATCAATGTCATGTTTAATCATGTGGAAGCAGTTAAGAATGCTGACAGATGCAAACGAAGCTTAATTTCAAGTTGGGCATCCCCTTTCGTCTTAGATGTGGAAGCCTTGTTGCCCAATAGACACGAAGTCAAGTCAGCGATTTGATCTGACGAGTATCTGATTTCAGGTGCCATTCAGGTTGAACTCTGAAATCAAATTACTCGATTCTAATTCTTGTGGTTTCTTATTACCGATTGACAATTCAAATGGCATAAGGTGTGAACTACTTTGGGATGTTAAGATTGATGGTATGTTAATAATTTGTATCACGTGTGATCCTCATGTGAGCAGCTTAGAACAGAATGAGTCTGAAGTCTATGATTCATCGTAGCCGAAGAATGGTGTCCTCTTCTTGATACCTTATACCAATGAACTGTATTCCAATGACCGGAAGTTTTCCATGATACATGTTGTAAGACTGTTATATGATTATAAAATTTATAAAATGCAAACTAGTCCTTGAACTAACAGCACGCCGTGGCCAATTTTTATTGCTCACTTCTCGTCATTTTAAATTTAATTCTCCTTCGCCTTTCGAACTTGTTTTGACCTTGAATGATATCTTGAAACATTTTCAACGAGTCAAGGTTTCTTAACTCTTAAATACAATGTGCACGTGTGGTGACTACATGGGAAATAATCCCTTAACGAGCAAGCATGTTTTTAGTTGTTTTAGTACAATGAGAAACTGTGACAGCAGTGAACGTACCTTCAGAATTACATATTCTATGTTGGTACCCTGCGAGAGCATTCCTCGATTGGCATGACTCACTGTTAACATGTCTTGTGACGGAAAGTACCTTTGAAACTGTGGCAGCATGATGTTTCATGCTTGCGACAATGAACTCATCCTCCCGGATTTTGATATCGGACGGTCATACCGGTTATGCCTACGCCGATGTCAAATTCGTTCAAGAGACGACCGTAGAGATTTATTGCCTTCTTCTGGAAGTTAGTGCTCACATTGTCGTCGGTCTTATCCAATGGTTGGACTTTCATCATCTTTCACTCTACCCACCCATATGGATGTCAATTTCGATATCGAGGTTTGGCTTGACGACTCATAGAATTGAAAGATTCTATCCATGTATCGCCCAGAAGACAATGCTGATTTCTTTCAGTTCTAGTACAAGGTACCAAATCACTCTTAGTCAAGGAATGAACGCTGAAGACTCTTTGAATGCATTTGTTCGTCAGAGACTTATATACAGTGGCCATATTCTTTCTGCGGAATCGAGATTACTTGGATGCTACTCAGTTATCGATCAGAGCTTCGAAGTGTGCGAGAGTATCAAAACGTCATCAAAGAAGAGGGCGATCTATTTAGGTGCACCCTTTGGAGTGGCACTCGAGCGAATTATATCGTCACGTGATTTGTATAGCCATCAATCATTTGAATTGTTTCAGCCTGAAGTTAGGGTCTCAATGGGCTAACACCTCCACCCTGCTTGCTGAAATCGGTTATCGAGATTCCACTGTAAATTCGATGGACTGGTCATTGCGGTCATCGAGGGAATTGCTTCACAAGCAAGAAAAAAAACATCCGAAGTCCGAGCGACGACCTTGAAGCTTAAAAAAAGTGAGATTGTTTTAACTCCTGGTGGCTTTTGCTCCCAATTGAGCCCACATGCAGTTTGAGAGCTAGACCGAGTTAGATTCTTTTACAAATTAGGACTGACTTTTCTTGCTATGTTTGGATATGATGGCTCTGAACCCCCTATAGCTTCCAGTGTTGAAGTGGTATATGTGATTTAAATATCTATAGAAAGATATATTATCATGGACTACTTCATCGCTTTAAGGATATTTCTTGTTCACTTTTGCTCCATTTAGGGTACATTTTATTGCATTCTTATCTACCATGTCATTTAAATTATAAAATCGTAGGTCTCTCACAACTCTTTGATTTAGAAAGGTTAACCTTTTGCTTAACATGTGCTTATTTGGAGCGGACAAGTTTCTGTAAAAGTCAAGACATAAATATACTTGACGCCGTGAGAGGCGTAATCTAAGACCTATGTTTCTATGGACATGACGTTTGGAGAGGTTATATCGTAACATGATATCTGATGGAGTATCATTTCTATCTGACTTGCGTTTCGAACATCTTGAATGTAATGACACAGAAGACGACAACCATCCGAGTTAATACATGCTGAAACAAATAAGAAACTTTCTTACAAAATCAAAGAAGGGGTTTGGAATCAATCACTTCCATCTGAGAAAAAAAATAAAATAATATTTCACCAATCTAGCATACAAGATAACATTTAGTCTAGCCGACTCCACTTTGTCGAAAAAAGTCCAATTTTCATGTACCACAAAAACTTTTCCTTAGTCCCACACTCTTATGAAAATTTAACGCGTGTGAAACTTAAGTGCCCCGAAGAACTAACAATTGTATGTCTTCTCACTTGCATGCATAACTTGAATCATGTGAAGCCTCATGATATAGGCTATGTAGACAGTCAAAGTAGGAACTATGAATATTTATCCAAAAAATAAAGTAGTAAACACACAAGGGTATGTGAGAAGCAAAAGATATTATGCTTGATCAAGTACCAGGCATGTACTAACTTGTTATTCAGCTGTTCATGTTCATTATTTAATCAAAATGAAAGAGAAACTGGGACAAACGGAAACACTATGTCTAAGTACTCGATACCACCAAGTTACACATAGTAGGCAGTTGATGGCAACGTCAGACGCGGATTCGCATGTTGAGTCTTGTTTAGGGTTAGTCTTGTATAAAGCCCGCTGAAAATTATATAATTTTCAATTTTCAATGAATATCAATGATAAGATATCGCCATAATATTCCGCATGAGTAATAACTCCACTAATCCTAAGGTACAACGACCTAAATTTGGGTCGCCTTTTCAACTAATATCAAAAGAGATTATTACAGTCACAGGTCAAGCAAGGGCCACAGTATTGTAACTTCATGTACCGTTTTATAACGTTACTAAACCTCGGAGTGAGTTATTCTCGGAGACCTCAGAAAACGGAGACGTCAGGTCAGCCTAGGGCAGGGTAGGCTGCTGCTGCTGCGGTTGAGTGAAGTCAAAGGGTCGTGGCGGGTCATGCGCGGATCCCAGGGCGGTCGCAAGTCACAAGAACCGGTCCGACTGAAAATGAACGAGCAGGTCAAATCGTTACTTGCGAGATAGGATAACAGCATAGGAGACCCAACAAAGATATTCCCTGGTCCGTCTATCGTTTTTGACCGAAGGGCAGAGCAACAGAGAATATTAATGAAGGCCATCCATCCATCCATCAAGGAGTACAGCGATGTACAGCAGGGGTGGTCCTTGGGAATGGGACGGAATCTCGGAACTTTCTTTATCCGCAGCGCGCGGAGGAGGGATTGTGGAATCTGTGGGTCCGAAAGTCCGAAAGTCCGAACTCCGCCGGATCTTTGGATGTTCTCGAAGACTCGGGCGCGCGTCTCCCGCGCCGCGCCGCGGGGCGGAGCGCAGCGCGGCCGCTGGTCCAGAGCGCGCGCCTCACGCCGTCGTCGCACTCGATCGAACCTTTCTTGATGTGCTGGTGTCTTCTACAGGCGACGAATTGCCTCTCGAGACTGTCCCCCTTTTGCTGCTGCTGCTGCATGTCATGGCGTCGGGAGCATGAGCTTGATGCGAGGGCTCGGGCCAAGAAATTCTCGTGCCTAGATTCCGGAGGCGGAGTTACCATCATTTTTTTAAGGCACTAGTATTATACTATTGAGGACAATGGTGGAGTGCGCCAGGAGAGGATAGAGAGAAATTGGATTTGAGTAGGATTGAATTGAAAGCCGGAGGACGACACAGGGATCGAACGAAGGACGGAGAGGTGGGAGGAATGGTAGGACCCAATTCGGCTTAAATGCGGGAGTAGGAGCAGCAGGAGGAGAAGGAGGGAGGGCAGAGGTGCATGGCGCATGGCGCATGATAGAGCAGCCGAGGTGCAGCAGCTTGGGAGAGAGTGTGCAAGCTTGGCATGAAGCAGAACACTGTGCGGGGATAAATGGAGCAAGAAGGGGCTGTTTCATAATGGGATTAAAATGACGCGACAAGGTAACACTGTCTGGCACGGCGTCACTCGTAACATATTCTGCATTTTCTGCTCCACGTTTAAGCAGAGTCATGAGATCGTGCGCGCCACACTTGGATGATGCCCACCCTTCTCCTCCTCCTGACTTGTGGATCCTTCAGCTTTGAGATCTGAATCCGAAAAGTTCCTGATCTCTCGCCCTCGGACATAGTTTGTTCTGTTCTATTGGCCACCCAGCCCGCACCACACCACACCATACCAGTCAGTGAGTGAGATCGATTCATCGATCGGCCGGAGGTTTTTCTACTGAATTTTGCGATTGGTAGCGTTTAGCCAGAGGTTGAGAGAGGCAGTCGTAGATAGACCCCTAGGACCCTGCCGTGGGCGTCAGCCGCAAGAAATCGTTTGATCCGAGTGCTCGGACACACAATTGAGTTGAGTTGATTAGATCGGAAAGACAGAGAGATTGATTGAATCTACTGACTGCCAGGATGAATGCTTCTAATCATACTTAGTCGGACCGACAGCAGATGAGGGCATTTCTCGGCGTTAAGAGAAGAAGCATTTGTGTCTGTTTTATCAACCCGTTCACGCACCATAATCTCGCTGCCTCGAAGAAGGCTTTTCAGCCTGATTCTTCAGCACTCGACTGCAACACAATCTTTCGTGTGATGGAAGCAGGGGTCAGATACTCCTCCTGCACTCTTATTGATTTTCGTTCCATGATGATGTTTTGCATGACATCTTTTTGTTCTTTCTCGACAGATTCCATTCGATTGGCGTTTGATTGACTCGGTTGAAATTGTCAGGTCACAGCTGCTTAATTCTGATGTCAAAGAACAGAGCATCTATAATTCGCTCATGTTTTCTCGTATAATTGACGTCCCAGCCTTTATCGAATTGGATGCTGTTGGCCGGACGGTAGAAAACATGGTTATTACAGAATTCGGAACGAGGATTGAAGTCTTGTGCACTGAATGTACAGATCATCGCTTGCTTTTCTCGCTGTCTACCGATCCGGCATGAAAACCATCGAATTCTAGCAGATCTTACCGTAAGAAGCAGCGTATTCCAGAGAATCTGATGCTCGTTATCTCTGATGCTATAAATCGATCACGACGATGGTTTAGTTTTGGTGATTTTAGTGGTCAGTCCGAGGTCTCCAACGCTGCAGCACACGAATTCCAGCACATTTTGCTCGGAATTTTCGTGATGTAGGCAGTCCATGGCCAACCATCCCCGTCTTCACGGATGGAACATGGTCATTAGCTATTTTTTTTCATGCCAGTGCCTCTTTTAGTGTTCAAGTTTCGAAATACAGCTTTGCCTTCCTTCCTCCCTTCAGTTGCACCTATTGTCCAGCTGGCCATCTATCCATCGATCTCCAACCCAATTTATTTGTACAGCGCAATTTGTTTTGTAAACTTACAGTGTTCCCAGATAATGCAGCCGAAGTCGAATGCGGATCCATTCTGGTTAACATTTGTGCTCCTAGTCATGCCATGAAGGTATAAGAGTTACCTACCGGTGCGGACGAGGAAATTACTTGATGGGACTTCGCAACCAATTCGCAATGGGACCCAACGAGTATCGTTTTACCCGATGGGACTCCACTGACGGCACACCGTAATCCATGTTGTCAACAAAGTTCTTGTAACTATAGGATGCGGATTAAACTGTGGGGGAGTGACTGCAGCTCGCCCAATCTGCTACTCGCACTATCACCGAGTGACTGCACCTCCAAAAGTGACCGCTCCTGCGACGTTCCTGTCGGTTTGTCGTGAAGTCGATCTATCGATGTATCTCGGCTCTTCCGGTGTTTTGATGCATCACACATTCGTTTTGTTATCGACTTGAGATTACGCTCCAGGAACCGATGTCCCACTGCGAGCTCCTGGAAGCTCGAGATTACTGACCACCTCCACCCCTAAACCACTGTGAGCTCAAAATCACATCTTGGATTAATCCGCAGTACTCCCGAAGCGCCCCGCGGCTTCCCCTCAGCCCCGCTCCGCTCGTTCCTCCTTCCTCTCTCTGCAGGCATCTCTGGGGTTGTCTCGCTGCCGCGGAAATCGTTCGATATTTGAAAATAGTTGTCGGTGTGCCGTCGGTGGGGTCCCATTGCATAAAACGATATTTGTTGGGTCCAGTAAGGTAATTGTGTCCCGGAGGGTCCCATCAAGCAATTTCCTCGTTACGGACTGAAACCCAAATCTCGTACAGGAGGTTTTAAATTACACATCACCATATCACCATAGAACTGTTACGGGCGATCAGGTAGCCAAAGCCTGCGGGGTTCCCGAGGATTTTGGATCCAATTGCAGTCGTCGGCAACTGTTATTATAACGCAGTCGTCAATTTCCTGCTGCTAGGTGAAGTAATTTTAGTGTTGTGTTATTAGACTTGCTGCTCGCCGATGATGGATCTAATAGAGTTATCGTGCCTGCCTTTGTTCTTAGTAATTTCTCCATGACCATATGAAACAGAGATTACAGGAAACACATTTGGTTGTGTTCCCTTGGAATACTTATCCTTGCTTTTATCTCGTATGAGAGAGCATTTGTCTTCCCTTTGACCTATCTGTTGTGGAGTTTTTGAATGATACGAGTGAGCTTGATATTGTACTTCTTCTTCAGTGATCAGGGGCTTTAATACTGCTCGATAAACTACGTTCTCTTCGTGTGCGAAGCAAGGTTTAAAATTAAAGGCCAGCAGTAGGTTTTGATCCCACTGACATCGATGTGTTGGCTGACCTGTTTTGCCGGAGTTGACATGCTACTCGGTACGACCCTATGAAGTTGCCTAATCATTAAGTTACTTTTGATTCCAGAAGAATGTGCCAGGCAGCAACGCTAATTTCAGAAGGCCATACAATGCTGTGAATAACAAAAATGCTGGCCAGAAGCTTGTATGGGCTCCGAAGGGCCAAAAGCCGGAGGTAGAATCTAAAGCTGCCGTGAAGTCCTCTGAAGATACCGATGTCAAAGGGCCCGCCAAACTTGAAGAAGAGATGAAAGTAAGCTCATCAGAATACCATACCAGAGCGGGAATGTCAGTGTAATGATTTTCCAACGATATTTTACTACCGTTTTTGTCAGATCTTCGTTTTGGAATACAGACACAGCGCAGGAGTTCATACGTCTACTTCGTGAAATTCAGCTATGAGGAATACTGGTCCAATTGAGAGATTTTGGGGCTGGATCTAGATTTTTCCTCATCAGTTGATATATTTCCTCATTAGCTTGCGGTGCACTGAATCAACTTTCTGCATTATATCAAATGTGAGTGAAAAATCGATAGGCATTGAACGTGCTTTATGAGGTTCTGATACCATTCGACCTCAGGTGGTGGAAAACAAAGCCTTTAAGGGTGGAAAGCTTTCAGCTCGTGCACAAGTGCGGGCAACTTTCTACCCGAAGTTTGAAAATGAAAAATCGGACCAAGAGGTACTCTCTTGAATCTGTTGATGTTGTTAGCGCTGTGTTTTTTCTGTTTCTAATTTTCACGCAACTCCAGTCATTGTCTTCATTGTTCTTACAATTGTAACCAAACACAATTTGCTACAGGTGCGAAACAAGATGATTCAAGCAGTGACATCTGGGAAGGGCATAGTAGAGGTGAGAATGAAAAAATGTCTTTCGTAAGTTTCCTCTGAACTAAGATTATGCTTCGCCCAGTCTGCGCAGGATCATCATATAATAAGTTCTATGCAGTACAACTGGAAAGTTGATTATTTTACAAGCAAAAATCAAGTTCTGAGAACCTTGTAATTTCAGGTTTCATTGAAACACTCAGGATCTTTATTTCTGTACTCCGGTGATGATATCGGTGGAGCATTTGCAAAGAACAGCTATGGAAACCTGTAAGCACCCGTTGTACCAAAATATTGCCAGATGCTAGACATGATGCCATTCATTGGCTATTTGCAAGCCTACATGTCAACACAACAACGTCAACAGTTTGATAAGCACATACAAGAAAGAGTCTAAGGGTGCTCTTTATGGTCACTGAAGACGTCCTTTGCATAATCGTACCCCGTCGGACAGATTTTTTGCAAATCCGTTGTGGACTCGTTGCTTTTCTTATTGCTTCGTTTTCTTCGGATTTGCAGATATACAGCAGTTGGTGTATACGTTTTGGGCAGAACGATGCAAGAGGCATGGGGTGCTCAAGCTGCTGAAAAGCACAAGGAGTTCAATGCGTACCTCCAAGTAAGGATCTGTTCTCTCAACTGTGATATTTTTTTTTTTCATTTGTCAGAATGTTAATCAACACTGTGAAGTACTTTATTCTGTCGTTGATCTAATCACTTCATCGAAAATGATCACGAGTGTGAGCAATCAAGCAAGATATATCTCAGAATTGTGTTAATGTTTTTTTGTGTTTGTATAAGCGCGAGACAATTATTACTCTTGTTGCTAAAGTTATTCTAGCCATGTATGTCTAGACGATTTTGTTCATACTACAGTTAGTCCCCCTTTGGCATTCAGTTTCTTTTTTTTCACAAGGCTGTAGTTTCGAAACCTGGAGTGCATGAAATTGAACTAAAAATATGTGCACTATATATTAAATTTTCATTACAATAGATAAGTCCCTCATGGGCGATACTATACATTGCAGTGCCTTACTTCCGCCGTATTCTTTAGATCTTGTGTGCTATGAGTGTCGTCGTCGATTGACAGATTCTGGTGAGAGGATAGTCTAACGGGGGACATAGAGTCACTGCAGGAAAATCATTTATGCATTGCGATGGAGCTCGTTACTGCTGTCCTAGGGGACCACGGACAGCGGCCTCTTCAAGACTACGGTGAGTGCTATTGTTTGCACAAGTCCTCCTACAGGTCCGTATGATGGATGTCCTGACCGTGCAAAATGTTGCAGCCTGAAAGGATCTGTAGCAAGTAACTAACATTCTCCCTTTTTTGTTGGTTTGCGGAACAGTTGTTGTAACAGCAGTGACTGATCTCAAAGCGCGGCCTCTGTTTTACTCTTCCCCGGATGTCGTGGCTTTTTGCCATAAGTGGCGTCTACCCACGAATAATATCTGGTTGTTTTCATCAAAGTGAGTTTCCCACATCATAAATTCGTCAAGCCTTGTTGCCTCTCTGTGAACCGCCACTTCTTGGCTCTTTGCATCCCTAAACAATCAAAAGTTTTCTTGTCGTGCCAAGAAACCTGTTATTGGCATGAAAATAACTGTTAAAGCATACTTCTCCAAACTTGAATTGAGCTTTGAATATTATGTTCTGTTGAGAAGTAACAAGCTTTTGGTTGTCTTGAATTGAAGGAAATCGGTGTCGTCATTTTTTTCTGCGTACGATGCTCTCTGTGAGGAGGGCATTGCCAGCACTGTAACCAAAGTAATGGATGAGATATCAGACTTGTCTGTTCCAGGTACTGTACTCCTTTTTAAATTTTCTCCACTTCATGATTTGACTGTTGTTGGCCTCTGTTAAAAAATGGGAAATGTCACGGAGTTTGTTGGAGGGTATCAGCGTTGAAGGAGGATTCTTTTGTTTTCCTTTCCGAACGATTTCTTGCGTCGATGAGATTGAAGAAGACGATGATCTCAAATTTGAAATAAATTTGTCAAGGGAGGACCGATTGTCCTCAAACGTGTCCGTGCTTGTTAGCTGACCTTTGGGTTACTGCGTAAGCAGGGTCTAAGAGTCATGGAGAGTTGCAAGGAGAAATCCTTGAAGGCCTGGTGGCACGCATTGTGGACCCCGCAAGCATAACGAGCATGGAGAAGACTTTACTCCAGCATCCCGCTCCAGAAAAGAATAATGGTAGTATTTGTTGAAGACATGAGAAATTGGAGCTAAGTTTACCGTTTTCAATGTTAAGTCGACCGATTTTGACCTCCCGTTCCTCTGCTTAGACTTTGTTCTAAGATGAACTTCATGTGTAGGATCGGGCACCCTTGGACCTGGACTTCGTGAAATTTTTTCTGCAAACAGGGAGAGCGAAGAGAAGGTATGGATTTCAGTCGTAACTGGCAGATCAGCAGTGTTCTGACTCCTCTTTTAACGCATAGAGGACATTAATATGCATTTCGTGCACATTATATACGCCTGGGTATTTCATATAACGACAATCAAACCCAATATAGGTCAATATTTCGAAACCCCAATTCCGCCTCATGGTTATACTTCACATATTCTGTGACTTGCTTCACATCGACACACTCTAAGAGAATTTAGAATGGTTGGAAGTGTATTACGTATAACACTAAAGCCATGAAATCAATTGTATATAAATCAATCTATACATTTGCCATCTGATTAGTCTGGAGTCATTTTATATAGCACGAGACATCGTGCTTGCAGAGACGTTTTTCAGTTTTGACAATCGGTTTTCATTATTCGAGAAGATGCTCTAGTTCAGGCGGCCGCTGTGTACATAATGTTTGAGCAAAGAGTCATGTTGTATGTGTGACGGTTTCTTTGAAACTAGCTCCTAAAGGTTTTGATTGATATGATTCGGTAAATGGCAGCAAATGAGAGCACTTCTTCAGAGCGTTGGCGAGAACATGTGCTCAAATATGTCGGACTGGTTCGAGGAGAGAACTCTTGATGTTCAAGGGCCGGAAACGTACTTAATCGGCAGTTTTCTCCAGGCAACTCCTACAGATAACACGACTTTGAAGCTACAGGTAATTGTTTCTAGTATCCTGAATTATTTGCCTCACCGAAGAGAAGTATCAGCACTTCTTGTTTTTGCGTGTCAAACTAGTTAAACAAGACCTTTGCCTGTATCTGGACAGGAACTGTGTCGTGCAATCCGCTCCCGGAAGTTGCCTGTTCGCTTCAGGTGTCGCTCAAACGCACGTCGTAAAACTGGGGTCTCAGACGTTCCGGATTCAAAGGCGTTCAGAATGACTATCCATGTGTTATCTGATTCAGCGTTTCGAAGATATCAGAGCGAGATGAGGTATTTAATATGTGCTCATCTGTGAATTATTATAAATACGCTTTCTATCCCGAATTTGTTGTTTAATGACCGACGTCATGCTCTTACTATGATACGCTCTCGTTCAATGATCGTGTGAAGAGATTCATGTCTCTGTGTTCTCTGTTCAGGAAACAACCTGGTCTGTGGCCTCTGTATCGAGGTAATCATTGCAGTCATCTTGTTTACCACTCAAAGGTGGAACGTTCTCGGTCTCTTTTTAGCTGGACTTTGCGACGAGATCGGACTGTAAAAGTTAATGTTAAAGTTTGTACTTTATTTGGTCCCTGTAAGCTGCTCTCTTTGTACTCTGACTTGCAGTATGTTATAATATCACGGAATTCTTAAGGCTTGAGTTTTCATCTTTTAACAGGGTTCTTCGTCGATATTGAACTTTCATTGGCGGCTTCAAGTGATGCTTCTGTAGCAACAGTTGAAGATGTCGCAGAGAAGGTGGCTGATGCATCTTTGGAAGATTCACCTGTTCCACCCACGCCATCCAAAGTCGGTGTTGAGCAAGTCTCAACGTTGGATGAAACGGAGCACTTGATGCTTAAACTGAAATTTCTTCCATATAAGGTACCCGTATGTGTTAGTTTGTGTAGTCACTTAAGTGTTCTGCAGTGTTCTTTTCAGGGGCGATATGGATAAGACTCAAAGTTAATAAACCTTACTCTTTTCCGGCTGGATGTGTACCGTTCAAATGTGATAGGTCTTGCCAATCTTTTCAGTTTGATAATTGTAATTTCTTGCCCTGTCCCCTCCTGCTTGCACATTGGATCGGACTCAAGTTCAATAGTATGAGGCTTTTTCAGGACTTTCAGTATTCTCTCACGCCTCAATCCTTCCACTCGTTCTTCTTCTCTCAATCCGGTTTGAATTGATGTTCCTCCATACAAAAGTGTTAGTTACGCTCCAGATAATTCTTTGGATCTCGGGTTCAAAGTGGTCTTCGTACATTTTGCCTTGATTTGCATATGTGCTACGTCCTCGATTGTTTTTATCCAATCAGTGACCGTTTGTCTCTAAGTACCTCCTAATCGCATACGGCATGTGTTGACTGTTGACCATCAGCATTACAGCCTGACAACGGACACCTCCAAGTGGGCGTAGAATTTTGGCCAGCGCTTGACATTAACATTTCATGTTAGGACTGTCATTCAGTACTCGAAGCCGGAGTACGCACCTGGCAGTTTCATATAAAACATTGCTTAGCCTCTGACGCACATGCTAACATAATGCATGTCCATGTGACAGTTGCGCACATTTCTCATCCGTAATGGTTTGGTACATCTGCTGAACAAAGGGATATCTGAGTACAAAACTTACTACATGAGGTGAGACCCATACTAGAATTCTGACTTCTGATTCTGACTTTTATCTTGGGTCTTGTTATGCCTGTCATGGAATAAATGAAAACTACCTATCTACCTAAAAGAAGACTTATCTTTCTGGAATGTAGTTCAGTCATGTAACTTCAAGATACAGATATCTATGTTAACAGGTCCATATATGACTCATTATGGCTTTCACGACCAGTTCACAATAGCTTTTGACATACAATTTATCTTCTCCTCTTTCATCACCCTTCGAACAGGCAAATGAAGAATTGGGGTACATCAGCCCAGAAACAGAAGGAACTTGTTCAATTGCTGGACGAATGGTAAATTTTACTCCCACGCCGCTGCTTTTTTTATAAGTTGGTAGTCATGTTTACATCTGATCTCTTAGGAGTTCACGAAGACTGTGTCTTGCAAGATGTATTAAGTACCACTAGACAATCCTGTTGGTGATAGGGTGTACAATAGTCGTGCTCATGGGGCGTGGTTACGAGTGCTGTTTTGTTAACCCCTCATTTCCTGTGGCACTGATTCTGTTGATTACGATATCTACTTGATGACAGGGCAGAGCATGCTCAAACACACATAAGAGATAAGAAGCTTCACAACAGCTACTTGACTGTAGCCGAACCATTCCTAGAGAAGTACGCGCAACGAAGTCCAAAGAACCGGAGGTTGGTTGGGGCAGCTGGCTCTGCAGTAAATGTTGAGCAGTTTTTGGCTGAAATGTCTGGGGAGAGAAGTGAAGAGGAAGATGACGCTGCTCATGCGGAGGACGAAACCCCGAGTACTTCTTCGGCATCGGATGCAACTTCTGCCAAGAAGGCTAAAGGAATGCTGGTATTCTTCCCTGGTAAGAACGTTAGATTAAATGACTCCCTTCGGAAGATGGTGATAATCACGCTTCTTACTGGTATCGTGTCCCACTTCTTTCAACCCTGTTTCTCCATGCTCATAAGGGATATGAGATTCCTGTACTTTCAAGGGGTACTATTCTCGTCCTACTGTAGTCAATTTTCTCTCCTGGTGGATATTAGTTAACCTGTTGATAGATTCTTTGGAGTGTCTAATTTTATCTGCTAGTTCCGATACACGAAGCGGGTAGTCGCAGGCCTGATTGGCTTCTTCAGCTGTCAAAGCGGTTGCACTGTATTAGCGTGCTGGAAACTGGTGTCGGTCATCGACGTGCAAGTGCATTAATTTCTTCCAATTTGATAACATCAATGCTTTATACTAATTGAAGGGTGAGAATACACTGTTTTTTCTGGGAATACCCGTTAATGCTCGGTGATTCTTCTTTTTCGCGAGATTCTTGTAATGGAAGTGACCGTTGGCTTAGAGGAAGTTATGGATATAGTGACCACTGCCTTCACTCTCTAAGAGTATCTGGTCGAAATTAACTTGGCTGCTAGCTTACGTAGCTCATGTACTGGTGGTTCACCTCTGGAATTGGTTCCCCTTTCACTTTCAGCTTCTTTTGGTGTGTATGCTCTGTCAGGGTATCTAGATAACCCAGACTACTGAGCGAAGTTGCGTGTGTCTCACTGCAGGCATTCCTGGATGTGCAAAGTCAGGGCTCTGTGCAGAAATACGTAAAGTGTCTGAACTGGGTCATCAACATCATCTGATGGGAGATCTCACCAAAGGTTTGCACCAGGCTCTTTGATGTCAACATTTGTCGTAATCATGAGCTTGATTTCAGGAAACGAAGTACTCTCGTCACTTCATCTGACCGGTGGCTTATCTAAACACGTAGAATTCTAGACAACTTATCAGACTGAAATATATTGACTGTCTTATGTTTCTGCATTCCACTTTGATTCGAGCGGAGTTCTGTTTGACTAAAACTAAATAACTCTTCCAGCGACTCTACACATATAGCTGTTAGGTCAGAGCTTGTTACATAAGCTTAGGTCTTGCTTAAAATGTTGACTCTGAGAAGCAGTCATGTCAGTTGGAGCTCATTTGAGTTTATTGATATGCAAGTGCCTGTGACATTTCGCCTCTTAGTCTTGTCGAAGTTTACAACAAACTCGTGTCATTTATTTATATATATCCTTTTGGTTACTGTAGGTAGGTTCTGGCAGATACTAGCCGAACAGCGAAAGAAGAAGCCACAGGCTATTACTTTGGCTGACAAAAATGCACCCAATGAGGAAGTTTGGAAACAGGTAAGGTTTTGTTTACATGCTGCTCTTAGTTATAAGAAATCTATCATTTGTTCACCATTTTTTAATGTATATAGGGTTTGAGGCCTCTTGCTTTAATGGACAAGCTCGTCTAACTCATCGTTTTCAGACATAGGACATTGAGCATATACACAGTCTAGATTCTCAGTGGATAATGGATTTATCAGTCAAATGATTCATCTGAAGCTTGAAGTAAGTAGATTATGTACTTTTCTGAGTTCAGAATGAAAGACTGTAAGGAGTGATTGATTGAAAGTACTATTCTCTGGTGTGGAAGTGTTTGGAAGAATGGGATTCTGATTGCCTCGTTTGTTTGTCATGATTTTGCAGATAGAGAATATTTGTGAGAGCACGCACGCAATCGGAGTTCCAGTCGTTTGTGATTCAAAAGGTTGCTACCAAACTACTTTCATGTTTGAAGCTCTTCAGAGTTATATCACAGCTGGTTTCAGCTATTAGTCTTCCTCATTTGGTTCTTCCAATTTACCAATATACAGATCAAACTACATTACTTGCACATGTTTATGAGATGGAGCGTTGACTTGATGTCGTCAAGGCTTATGTTCAATACAACAGATTTCTTTGAGAAACTACACTAATGTAGAGACATGAATGTTGTCCACCTGGCATCATAATTTTAGCAGCAAGCTGCTCGAATGTATTTCCACTTCTAGAAGGTTCTCACAATCACCAGAAGCTAGGTCGGATAACATTTTCCAAACTGACCTACAAGCCTGTACCTTGGCCTCATGCAGGCACTGAATCCAACCCTTACTCCCTGGATGCCTTGGCGGTCTGTACGTACCGGGTTCTTCAGAGGACCGAACATCCGGTAAAGTTTGATCATTATCCGACATGAATTACATGCTCATCACAAGTGTCGAGTCTTTTATGGTTTTTTTCTTACGGACCTGGGCCCAGCCATTCAGCAGAGAGGATCCGAATCTCTTCATGTATATTTTGCAATTTGCTCACACCCACATAGTTGTATGGGATTTCACTGACCCATGAAGCCAGCTGTAGCTATTTGTCACGCATGAATGTCTCATCTCTTCTGATAGCTCCTGGGCTAAGATCAAGAGTTTGCCGATCTATTTGTAAAACTCATTTTGCCATCTTTGTCTCATGTAGGGCCACCTGGATAAGAATTCGCCCAATCCCGGTGCTGTCATGCTCATGTTTTACAATCTCTATAAGGGCAAGGTAAATTCGTATTTATGATGGGCCAATCATATGTGCTAAAACGATATCTTGAAGTCTCGCTTTAGCCATAAAAGGAGCGACATAAGTTGCTATAGCATGAAAATCTATTTAAAGCTTCATGTTCTCCAAGTTGTGATTTTGTGCATTGACCAGAAACCACAAAGAAGAGAGTTTCAAGCTCAAACGTAGTACAGAAATGAGGTACAGACGCTGAAGTGAACAAAGGGCGATGGACTTTTGTAGTGCTTTTGCATGATTGGTACTCTAGCTAGAATATTACCGTCATCTCGAAAGTCCATGATATGACTGCCGTTTAAAGTGGGCATTTCGACAACGATCGAAGTAGAATAACCCTAATCTGGTGATCGTTGTTTCAGCACTCGTTTGGAAAGCGAAATTTAATAATTATCTTCTTTGTATCAGGACCGGAAAGAGTTCGAAGACGAGTTACAACAGCGTTTTGGTCATCTTATAAAGATGCCATTTTTGAAGGCAGACAGGTGCGTAGAACCAAAAGGTATGTGTTTTCTGAAATGGGGAGAACCTTATTTGCGTTTTAGCTTATCACGATCGTATGCTTTGCAGAGAGCTCATGCCAAAGGCCGTCCTGGATGTTTTTGAACAAGGACTTGATCTGCACAAATTACACACCATGAAGCATGGAAGGTGAGGAACTCCCTTTACATGGAAGATTTCTTCATTGACGTAGCTAACAGATCTAGCGCAACTTTTTCCAGCAAAATGGCCTCCAGCGCAGCATCTACGAGTGACTTGTGACTGACCACGAACTATGCCCATCCAAATAAACAGGCTGGAGAGCTTGAAGGGCACCTACAAGGATGCTTGGGTAGCATGGGAAACCTCGTTGAGGAAGACGTTGTTTGCCAATTCGGAGTACTTCAATTCCATTCAGGTACAACTATAGGCCTTACAACATATAGTATTGCTTCTTACCGTTATCAGGCCTTTCTCAAGTTCATGAGGATGTATTTCGCAAGATGTGAAATGTCTACTAATTTCGACCCTTGTTTACCTTCAGGTTCCTTTTCAAGAAGCAGTAAAATCAGTGCTTGATCAGCTAAAAGCCCTGAATAATGCAGGCTTGATCATGCATGTTCCTAAAGCCTCTGAAGAACGATCTTTCCGCACCTTCACTTTCGCTGCTGTTAAGTTGCCTCAGAAGGAAGTTTCGAAGGCGCTGGAAGCGGTGAGTGGAGCTTACGAGTTATCATCATCTCTGTTGTCATCTTAGAGCTTGAGAAAGACGCTACTTTGGAGTTTGTTAAGCTACATTCACTTATGAGATAGACTAAGCTGGACGAACGTGTTTCTGTCGCAGATTTCTGCACAAAGCCCTCAAGCTCAAACCTATCTGAGCGGGAAAAGCTGGAGAGAAAATTTGAGCAAGGCTCATGTCACGCTCGCACACAAGCAGGCACATGGAGTAGCAGCCCTTTCAGCCTATGGATCACTCCGTGCATCTCCAGCTCCCGTCCAGTTTACAGCACTCGTCTTTACAGACAAATTGTGTGCCCTAGAAGTACAGCTGAATGCTGCTGGTGAAGAGCAGACCATCAAGTCCCTAAACTCTTGGCCTCACGTGACGGTAACGATGCGCAATTCAACATTCACACTAAAGTTGCCATGATCCTTACAGTTTACTATTTAACAGCGATTTGGTCTCAATGAAATCTGAAACTAATTCTTCTCTGTGTGTGTCCGCTGCTGCACAGGTGTGGACTGGTCAAGGGATGAAACCAAAAGATGCAAATGCACTGCCAGCCCTTGTTGATAAAGGCCAAGCACAACGCATTGTCTTCCCAAATCCGATAAGCATCACGGGAACAGTAGACTTTTTATGACCTTGCACTACTGCTGTGTGTAGCAGGGCTAAACCAACTGAAAGGTGGGTCAACACTGACTGACTCGACAATATAGGCTAGAACTGAGAGTTCCATGTCTAAAGTAAGTTTGGGGTTCGATTTTTCTCAATTGACGTAATGAAGCAGCGGCACCGACACAGTACAACCGCTTGTGTTGCTGGACGCAGCAGCATTCCTCCACATACATGAAGCTGCAGTGTTTTGAAGTACTTACACAACATTCACAGAAGTGAACACATACATCAAGGATAGCGGGAAAGTGTTTGCAAGGCCGCACAAGACACCCGCTCAGCTTATGATGTAGGTAGGTAAGACAGTACTGCACAGCGATCTGTAATATCCGAGGTTCTCTTCACATTTCAAAGAGTCTGATTTCACAGAAACCTTCACTCCAGTTTACATAGATCTACTTCAAACTCTACCTACATTTACAGTCAAGAAATACATAGTATGTGTTCGTGGTATCTCACATCTAACTACGGATGCATCAATTTCCTTGAGTTCTTTACTAGTACTTTCATAGCTTCAGGAAGGAATTTAAAGGCTACATAAGGATGGCGTCAATTTACGCATACCGTTTTCATGCCTGTTGCCTTTCTTGGTATTGCAGATGGCGAAGGTTTCGGGAGTACAATGAGCATCAGAAATTAGGCAGAATTATTTTCCAAATAATGGCTGCTCTGTGACTGAACAATGTTGAGGCTAGAAAGCTTTTAGATAAGCTGAGTAGATATTACCAGCCATTCTTTGAATAACAAGTAACGACTCTCCAATTCACAACCTATGCTTTAAGATGCGGTCCTCATTCCCTGTTCAACTGTTGGTCTACTACTTGCTTGAAGTACAATGAAGTATCTCCTATGAGTGCACTCATCTCTCTACTTCACTCCATGCTTCTCTCATATGAAGAGTTGCCCTTGCCCTTGGATATGTGCTCTTGAGCTTTACGCTTCAGCTCTGTATGTTACATATTTTGTTTTTATCAGGAGAGGATTCTAGTAGACGCCATAATCTTATTTCAATTTCCGAGAAGAGTTTACTTGAATGACTTCGAACTATAATCCTTGGATCATGAACAACCAAAACGCCAATGGTAACCCCGCCCATCACCCCCAGAACCCCAAGAGTAAAACTGTTTGCCGCATAGCAGTGAATTGATGAGTGTAAACTTAAGCGGTGAACCTCTTTCAAATTGGAGATAACCCGTGAAATTCACTCTCCACTGTTCTGGTAAATTGATGCATTTCTCAACCGCTGATGCCGAGGGACGGAGCTAGGCATAAGCATTTTGTCTGCTCTCCGGCCCGGACAGCATGGTCGTTCAAGTGGTGTGCACACATCAATACATCATCACGTACACGTTTTAGTTGAATTGTTCTTGAAGTATGTATAAGTGGCCAGACACCGATAGATTTAGTCACTTTGATGAACTTGTGTGCCGTACCACTCAGTGAAGTCCTTGCTCTGAAGGCTGTTGCTGCCTACTTCGGCATCATAGAACACCCTCTCCAAATACATGACGTGATTTAATGGATTGAGCGAATGACGGCCAGCACAAGCTCGAATGCAAGAATGTACAACCTCATTGGAAAAGCTTTCCCTGTGGCTTTAAAAAAACCAGACGAAACCGACATATTTGACGGAAATACTCAGCATCTTAAACGCTTTTCATCACCTTATATTCCGCTGGCCCGCATGGAATCCGAAGTCTCAACGTTCACTTATACAACTCGGTGGCTGCGGAAATCAAGCAGCAGAGATGCAAATTCTTCTCCAACTAAACCTCATTTCCACTTCAGAACTTATACGAGACCACCTGACACCATTCGTAGGTGTCGGTCCAAAAGCCATTCCCTTCGGACGAATGGACATCGGTTGACAAGCCTTTTCCTGAACTCTTTCATGGCTACCGACCATTCAACACCAATTTGACAATACCAATTTGACAGGAGTGTGGATTCCAAAGTGCACCAATCTTGCACTCAAAAACTCTTTCTAAAGGAATAACGCAATTCCACTGCATCGTGAACGAGAGTCTGAAGTCATAGTGCGTTGGACATGGATCGAGGCCTGACGGGCATGGCTTGGTACAATGCAACCGGTCGAGTCCCATGGTTTCGAACAGACTTTGGTAAAGTAGACCATGTGGATCATGATAGATCTTGAACAGACTTATGTATGCGGCGGGGGAGTGCGAAATGAGGACAACCATGCACATAAAAAATGTCTGTAGCACATCCAGAAGAGCTTGATGGACACTTTCATTTCCGACGGAATAAGAATAAGAATTCGATTCTTTTGTTAGCTGCAACTCAGCCTATCAGATGTGACAGTAAATGAACTGCCAATCCCCTAAACTGGATTCCCTAGCTTCGGCACGTACATCAAAATGACTCACCGAGATGCAAGTATACATCATGTCACCCAGGCTTTCATGCCCTCTGCTTTAAGAAGGGATTCTTCATTTCTTGAGAGAGGAACAACTGTGAACAAGAATCATCTCACCAAAAATTACAGAGCCCAATTTCTGCACACAGAACCGCGCATTCATAAGGAAGCGCTCACGAAGTCAGAAGAGAAAGCGGAAGTAACTCCACACATCTCTCATACCAGCACCGTCTCCGGCTTATGAACATGAGTTCATGAGTCAGATGTACAGTAAACAGCTCAGCAAACTTTACAAAACCCAATTTCTGCACAACAGCACCGACCATTCATGAGCAAATGCTCAGAAAGTCAGAGAAGGAACCTGAAGCTACTCGACACATCTATCACTGCTACGACTCTGCCTCATCTAAATAGATTACATTTGATGGATGAAAGTTTGATGCTCTAGTAACAGGATAACCACGACGTTGTCTTCCATTACAGCCAGACCAGCATGTCATTATAGTTGTACCTTGCCAGGTGCTCTTTCGCAGTTGCCAGCGCTTGGGAGATAGTCTGCAGTTCCAGCAGATAGTTACATCAGTAGAAGTTGAGGTTCACCATCTAGCAAAGTTTTAACAAAGACAAGACTCAGAATCCGATTTTGGAATGGTTTGCACGTACAACTTAACGCGACCACCTCTGTGGAGCACATTGGCCACAGCTTTTAGAACCCATAACGACAATAGCTCAATGCACATCATATTCATTGATTTTCCTTACAAAAAGGTTAACAAAACTAAAGGCCAATGCCCGACTTGAGCAAAGTTCCGGAGGATCAACTTCGCAGCCATGACTGTATAGACTGACAGCCCAGAAGCGTGTGGTCGCATAACAAAGTTCTGGCTCATATGATACTGAGATACCATAATCTCTTGCTTATAAAAGACGAACAACTTCCTACCATCATCCTTCTGAAAGTTGGCAGTGAACCTCAGGAATCCGGGAATTAATTTGACCTATACACAGCAGGGATCTTAGAACCACTTCGGACTTGGAAACAAGTCCGAAACCAGGTGATTGAGATGGAGCTTGCCATCATTCACCGCACATCGATTCCCTCTCCGAAATAGGCCCAGCAAAATTGATGCTGTCATCTGAGGATTCCTAGACTAAGTTCTAATTCTCGACTACAATCAATTGTGCAATTAAATTCGATAAGCTAAAGGCGGCTAAAAGTCACTGCCTCTGTATGTTGCAGAAACGGCGGTATTATGAGCACCAGAGGTTGAATGCTTCACGGCCGCTAGGTGTGCAATAAGGGCAACATAAGAGCGTGCTCCAGTAGGGCAGAGGCTCTTTCACTCTCAGAAGGCCTTGGTAATGAAGTTGATGCAGGATATGAGTTTGAAGCAAGAACGAGACTTCTTTAACGGGTCAAAGACTCTGATAGAGAATATAAACCTGCTCAGATAGCGGTACATCAGCCTCTGCACCACGCATGGCAACTCTTGCAGCAATCACATTAGCATCACACTCTAAAATAATCCTGCAAAATCACACAACCTGTCAGATTCAGCCAAAGAATGAAGCTAATGTCAAGAGCATATGAGAACTTTAGCAATGACTGAACAAGAGGCAGCAGCAAGTCCAGTTTGCGACGTACCCTCCATCAACAATCTCGTCCAGGCAAAGGAGAACGAGATCCAAGTTCTCCAAAACCGTTTTCTTCTCCACATTGCTTCTGTGCGAGAAAATAAACTCTCAGTCTTCAAAAGTGGCGAGGCTTCACATTTACAAAAAGGTGAGAATAAGGCGAGATATCCCACTTGACGCCCGGAAGAAAACAAACGTGACCAACCTTAAAAGAATGGCGACTGCGTCAAAGAAGCCCTGCAGCACTGTGGCCAAAATAAGCTCATTCTCATCATCACCTCCCGTCACGTAAAAATGCAGATCCGATATAAACTTGTAGACAACAACGTAGCCATCGAACATACCAATCTCCGCTGCGTTTTCAAGATACATAACCGGAACGTGTGAGTACTCGAGAGGTGTAGGGTATCCGCATTTGGATTCCATCTAAGTGCAAAAATGGCTGAAGCGAGAGAAGAAGGCCATGACTTTCTGAGTGGACAAGAAAAGGACAGTATTAGAGATCCCTGCTATACTTGCGACAGTGTACCTTCAGCTCGAGCACTTATACGTTGCGTCTTCGTAAAAACAGATTTTTCGAAAGCCAGCTTGGAGGCAAGATTTGGCCAATCATCTGAAAAGTACTTCACAGCTACGCGTTTCCCCTCGGAATCCAACAGGAGAATGTTCTTGATCAATGGGGCCGACACCTGCAGCGAGAAAATTGAAGAAAACAGTTTTTCAAAAAACTGCATTGCAGTAACCTTTACTCGACAAACCAGCAAGACACCCAGCCCGAATTCCGCTTCCGCTCCTCGCCACGGACATCAGACCTAGCTAACGACAACTCTTTCGAGCCGCAACCAACATTTCTGAGCTGCGATCGCAGCGTTATCCAGCCCAAACTTCCGCGGGCACAATCCTCCCAGTTAAAGAGACTCGCAGGCAGATCAGAGCCCGATCCGCTACGAGCCAACAGAAATCGAAAATGCGGCTGTCCCAGCAGCCCAGCAGACCCAAAAGCGCAAGGCCCTCGCGCCACCTCCACCCCTCCCTCCCTCGACGAACGACAACACACCCAATCAACCCAGACGAAGGACGACCGACCACCTGCGCTCTCCAGCGCAAGCAGAGCATAACACAAGAAGCAAACCACAGATGAGAACGGCATCGAGATCCGCACCTCCATTGCGTCGATCGATCCCGCGTCAAATTTGCTGCATGTAGGAGGTCTCTCTTCGGCCCAAAATTGGTTCGATCGATGGCTCTCGCGCTCCACACTCGCCCACCAAACCTCGCCCTCGTCGTCTCGTGACAAGCACCAGATCAGATCAGATCAGAGCAGAGCAGCAGCAGCAGCAGAAGCTTCGATTGTGCGCCTCGCTCTTGCGTTGGTCGCACTTTGTCGTCCCCTGCGAACTGCGCGGCCCCAAATCTTGCGTTTCTGCGCCCGACGACGCCCAATTTCCCTCTCGCCTGCTTCTACCGCTTGCGCCGGTCTCCCGGTTATCCCCTGCTATCCATCCTCCCTCCCTTTCGTGGACTCTGTGTGCGGCAACAATTGTGGCTTTCGATCACATTGACATTATTTATTTGGTGCCCTTCTTTAGAGAGATGCATTGAGGTAATTAATTGTGATGGTATGTCATGGTGACATATAGGGAAGATACTTTCAAGCACTATGAAGAAAAGCACGCACATGAAATTTAGATACTGAACCAATGATCACCAGAAATATGTTCTATAGTAATTAAATTATCCAATTTATTTGAATAAAAGATCTAATTTAATTATCTTATTGCATTTTGAATTTTTTATGTGCATAACATTACGATTTGACTTTTACTTTTATTCTCCCATGGATTCATTATTTTTCTTCCATGTTTGCGCTTTGCTTTGTAGTTCATTGGATGTGATAGCATGTGACTTTCAGTGAGATATTTGCTTGATGTGACCCCATCAGAACCTAAACTGCTTGATGTGATCTATCAAGTTTTGTTTTATTCGATGGGAACCCAATGACAGTACAAGTCACCAAGTTTTAATAGATGTTACTGTAAACATATGATTGAAGTTTTAGTGGAGCTCTGTCATCGCAAATTGCTATTAAAAATCTTGACAGGAATGGATTAGATGAAACAGGAGGAAGAAGTACTCGAAGTCGGGGTTTGACATTCCCCCAGGAATAGCTAACTGACTTCAGGGGTGAGATAGGAGTACAACCGGAGGAAACCGCCTGACTCCCTCTTCTTAACAGGAGGCTACACCCTGAGGCTTTTTAGAGTAGAACCTGGGGACACCTATTGTGAAATGTCATTTTATTTTATGAATTTCGGGAGCACTCACAAGAAAATAGCGGACGGAAGAGCTTTCAATCCTCTGCTCGTCCTATGGAAAAGCAGGTGCTTCACTCTTCCACTCGCGCTTATGTAATTAATGAGTCACCAATATCAATTGACTCTATTCGAGCGGGCATATCATGTAGCCAAACACGCATCTATTGACCTGGGTTCTTAAAAGCATATTTTGCTTTCAGTATATATGCTCTCACATTCTTCAAATGAGCAAATGTACACCTCTATGTTGTACAAGCGTAATTAACTCAATAGCGGTCAAAGATTGATGTGATTTTGTTTTGATGCAAACGGAAACCGTCTTTAGTAGATATGGTTAAATTAATAAGAAGCAGTTCATCAAGCAATCTTGTGACTTCATCAAAATTCCAAACAAGTATATACATCGTATGGGAGAAAATGTAGTTTTATCTTCATTGAAGGTTCTTCCATTCGTGGACGACTGAGATTTTAATTAAAGATCACTCTCTACTGTTCATTAGTGATGATTGAAGTAAGTACACTGTATCTCACAATTTGCAACCCCGTGTGAAAAGAGGTTCTTTATAAATCTGAGTCAATAGCTGAAATGTGAATTTTTGAGTAATCTCCATTATTCACACTGCCCCTTTTTACATCTCCAGCATTTCTGCACCGTGATGAGAACATGTTTTTTTTTGGGTTAAATTGTAGATGTTTTTTGGCAAAGTATAACACATTCACTTCACTGCTTTCCGTAGCCGGATTGACTCATGAATTCTTGAACAACTGAACGAACACAGCTAACTGCCGAAATTTAGGAGTACAAATGGCAGAATTGAGGAAGACGTGGAGGAAGAGGAGTAAGTGAAGTGTGCATCACGACCATCGTAACCTTACTCTCATTATAATCTGTTGAAGATTATCTGGCATGTGACTAAACAGAAGTTAGCTTACATGTTTTCTCAAAAACTTATTTATCATGCCTATCTTATTTTCTTCCTTTATCAGTAATCACCCAGGCAAGGCGATGGACATGAAGTGAGCGTTGTTATTATCATAGCACGGAATTACCAATGAACAAACTTCACAGACAGATAGTGTTGAAGCTTTGTTAGTGTTGGTTTTGCCGTCTGAAAAAATTGCAATTTTTGAAGTCAGCGATATTTGGATCTACTCTGAAATTGGTCAATATCAACAACAAAAAAGGATTGTTAGTTCTAACTAGCGCTTCGGATAGCCTAGGAAAAGACAATTTGTTTATTGTGCCAACTCTTGCTCTTTTTACCTTCTTTAGCAATTATTTTAAATGATCTTTGTAGATACTAGTTATTCAACGAAAATCTTTTTGCAATGCCAGGTTTGCAGCAAGCATTCATATTCAACTTTTTTGACGCGACTGCCTAATAAGAGATTTCAGCCGCATGGAGTATATTTAGCAAACACTATTCGATACGTGAACTATTGCAGCAAGTGATATGAGCTAGTTGATGAATTTGCTCGGCTATCCGAACAGTATGTTCTGGTGACATCTAAATCCACATAGGCTAAGATCAATTATACTTACTAATTTTAATGATAGATTCATACATATCTCCATACCTTGTGATGATGCACAATCTCATCTTATTTTACCTTCAAGTTTACATCTTCACTAATCATCTCCATGGCTTTTCAGTAAAGCATGATCGGAGACTTCCGCGCCCTATGCCCTTGACGACTTGATGTTATCAAGTAGATCTTCAGGTTGAAGAAGGTATTGAAGTTGTATATTTACTAGGCAGATTTTTTATTGGAGCATGTTTTCCAACTCTGTGATGCCTTGAGTGCAAAAGTAGTGGACAACATGGTTGACGAAGCTGGACCTTCACGGCCAGCAATCGATAGTTTCCTCTTGTAGAGGGCTGCAATTGCTATTCAAAAAATGATATCTTCACAACAGTCCAGCCTAGCACAATAGCAACCGAAGAAACGTAGCAAATTTGCTGGCATACAGCAGCAGATGACACAAAGTCTGGGATTGACAAGGAGCACACAAAAGCTCTTCTCTGCGCAAGAAACTGGGCAGTAATTGAAACCTAAGGTGATCATCTCAGCTTCATCATCAATAAGACTTTTATCATTGTTGAATCAAATGTCAGCTTGTTGCAAGGGACAGCACATCTGTCGAGCCTAGCACAGATGATGCTTCAGCCAGCAGCCCTCTTACTTGTAGTTGGGCTGCAGCTCTTAACGGATGTCAAGTTCCTTAGTTACCACTTTGGCAATGTGCGAGATGTAGCGTTGGAACAGTCCATCATCTTTGTGCTGCTGAAAATATCGCCAATCAATCGGAGCTAGACCTTGGGCAAACCCAACTTTGTTTTGACTCTAGCGTTGCAGATGAAGGCGTCGAGATTTTTGTTGCATTGGGTAAGAAAATATTGTTGGTAGTTGTTTTTGAAGCAACATATGCCCTTGTGACCTCGGCCATATATGAGCGTTTTCTTGCCTCTATTTGCAGACTAGAAGCCAAGCAAGCAGGCAGGAAGTGGCAATACAACCACGACATCTAATGCCAGTAAGAAGAAGAAGTATGATGGAGAAGTATGCATGGACTACACTGATAGACAGGAAAGAGATGGAATCTCATAATAAGCTGCTCCATTTGCACAGAAGCACAAGCCGCGAAGAACTTTGACTCCAGGATCGGCGCTCTTTGCAAAGATGCAAGTGAGTATAGATATGTTTTCGAATTTTCTAATACTTGTATAAGTGCGAAGCGGATACTACAGTGTATGGGGTTTTTACAGGGGTGTGATCAGATGTTTTTTTATGTAGGCTATGTCAGCAATCATGCTTCATCGATAAAGTATAAGGCATCTGCGTCAAAAGTGAAGCAACGACAAGGGTTTCAGGGGAGCAGAGCAATAGTTATGTCTCATTCACAAGCGGCAACAAGTAAAGTTTTGCACCCCGCGTGTTCTCTGGCGATGCTAGTTGTCTTAGAGAATTTGCTCATTTCAAAATGGGTTTAGTTTTTAGGGTGGGTGGACAGAATCTCCTAATGCATGCACTACGTTATATGGGTGATCATTTCATTCAAGATTGCTAGCTTTCAGGACTTATGAAGGCCGTAACAATATGTTTTCATATGTGTGCCACCGTAGTTACCTTGCTTGGTTGGGACATCCATGCATTAATCGGAAGTACAACCAGAAGCGCTACTTCTTGTTGTTACTCTCGGTGATCAGCGAAGTCCTTCTAGCAGCACAGCTAGCCATGGTAGCTTCTAGTACTTTCTTTTATGTCATACTGAATAATTCCAACGACATCGGAAACAAGAATCACTGCTTGATATTTCTCAGGTGACCTCTTCTCATTCAAAGAAATTCTCCAAAAAATTATCTCTGCTAGAATGCACCTGGCAGTATTGATTACTCCTTGATCATGTTGTGCTGTGAACCTTATTAATTAGGTATTGGGATGGGGACATCTGGGTGTCACGTTCGGAGTTGTTGTGTGTTGTTAGTCTGGGCGACAAATCGATAGAAGGAATGTACCAGATGCTATGCTCGATGTTAGATGTCATTGACATCCCAATATCAAAGATGGCGACAATCTGCACTGGCAGTGACTCCACACTGATTGGTAAGCACAATGGACTGGAAACAAAGTTGCAAAGAACTGTGGAGTATCTTTTGAATGTCCATTGCGCAGCTCACAATGCACTCTCTCAGCCTTTGGGGACACAATCAAGAAAATGAAAGCTCTTCAAAAGTTGAACGGTATCTTGAAGGCGGTGCATAATCTATTTAGCAAATCTCGTCAAACGCAATGGACACGCTTTGCCAAGAGGCTGGGTGTGATCAAACTGCAAATTCCCTTATAGAAGCAAAGTTGGTGGTTTTTCAGAGCTTAGTGCAAGGATGCATTACAAGAGATTTAGCAACGCTGAATTTGTTCTTGAAGAAGAAGCAAGAAGGGTTGGAATAAAGCTGCAGACTTACATAAGTGTCTCATTGATGTCACTTCCATCTGCCTATTGCATAGTGTTGTTGATGTGTTAAAGCCCTTAGAGGAATTTAGTAAGTATTTTGAGCAAGATAACAACCTGCCTCACAAAATTCCTGGT